TTTCAAATGAAATGTTCAGTCTTTCCATTTACCTGTTTCTATATTTTACTATCGGTAATTAGGTATGTACCTGGTTATCAATATGATTTTCATAAAAATAAACAGATATTACATGGGATGGGAGTATAAACTATATTTACATAATTTCAGCAATAATCTTTTTATAAATATAATATAAATACTAGTAATAACTATTATTGACTAAGGTACCTAGTTCTATTTTTATGTTGATAAATACCTATGGTCGCCTATATTGCATTCATTAAGGTAAACAATCTTGACACAACTTTTTAACAGAATCACCCGTTTAATAATAAAATATTAACGATGCCAATAAACTATTAAAATAAATCGTTATTATAGACTGAAACCTATTGAATCTAGTTATCAGTTGATTTTTAATGCTGTATTTTCAATAAAAAGGAGTGCCAAGTTGGATGAACAGACTGAGTATCTAGTAACAGAACTTTTATTTTTTATTTTCTTAAGCAGATTGTCCGTTTACAATGATTTATTGCTAATAAGTTAAAAAAATAATATAAAAATAATAGTGAAGGACATTCTTTTGGGCATGCTAGGGCCGATTTCGTCGATGTCCTTTCCTCACAATCGGTGCAGCGGTTTAGGCGTGAAGAGAAGACAAACAAACAAACAAACACACTTTCCCATTTTATAATATAAAAAAATATATTATAAAAAATATAAGTATGGATTGATGGCAACCTCCACAATTCTGCGTGGAAAAGATATAAATGCAGTAATCTTAAGCGACTCCAAATCTGCTTTACAAGCACTCGGAAATAACAAAATTCTCCACCCCATAGTCATAGATATCAAAGATAATATCGAAAATATCACAAGTAGCGGAGAATCCATAAAATTCGCATGGGTCCGAGCCCATATAGGTACCGATGGCAACGAAAGCGCAGATGCATTGGCAAAGGCAGCGGCTCACAAGAAAACGGCGCCAGTTTACGACCTATGTCCGGTTACCCACATAAAAAGAATTCTCTGTGAAAAATCCATAAATGCCTGGCAAGAAAGATACGATAAAGCAGAAACGGCAGCGGTCACAAAAGTGTTCTTTCCAGATGTTCGCACTGCTTTTATGGCAATTCGAGAAATTGAACCAAGCCATCTGTTGTGCCAGGCTTTCACTGGACACGGAGGATTTGCACACTACCTACACCGTTTCAAAAGAAAAGATTCGCCACAATGCATTTGCAGGCCCGACGCAGATGAGACGGTGCTTCATCTAATTACCGAATGTCCGAAAAATCAATTGGCTAGAATGGACTTAGAAAACAAAATAAGACACAAAATAAATACAAACACTTTAAAATCAATAATGTTAGATAAATCTAAAAGACCACACTTACTAATATACATAGTAGAAATAGTCAAAGCCGCGATAGAACGAAACAAAACATAGTAAAAATCCATTCCATTAAACTTACAATTCATAGTTAAATATTATATACACTTATTATATATTTATAAAAATATACAACATAGCAAAAATTGGTAATTAAAATAAACATAAACAAGGACTCTGATTCAGTCAGAGGATTGATTTGAAACCGGAACAAAAATCCGGTTTAAAAAAAAACGTTTAGGGATGACAGGTAGTAGTCAGGGCCTTCAATCTCGGAACAAAAAAATCGAGATACAAATTTGAAAAGTTGCCGTCTTAGGAAAGCAGAGGTCGCTACTATTATAATACGGATATATAGTAATGGACATGAGCGATGTTCGATCAACTTGTTTATTGTTGGACAATATAATTTAGAGGGGTTATTTTGCTAACAATGCGTACCCGACCTTAAGTTATTACTATAATAGTAGTTTATTCCAAACAATCAAATTTAAAATGTATATTATATTTTCACTACAAAGAGAATTATAACTTCACACACATTTTTTTTATATAATTAATTATTTCTTTTAACCTTTTTAGGTTAAATTAAAGCATTTATTACAAAACTTGTATTAAATTTGACAAAGCTAGTAAAATCACAAAACTATTGTAATGGCAACATCAACATGCACGTCATGTCAAAATGTCAGTTTGACATTGCTACTATACACTATACTACTATACACGCACGATAAGTTGAGACTTGACAGTATGCAAAATATTACTTATTTGTATTATTCTTCATTATAAATATAAATATGCATTATCCTATGTTATTAAAGTTAACTAAATTAATAATATTGGATAATTTATATTCATATTTATGAAATAGAATAATACAAATAAGTAATTTTTGCATACTGTCAAGTCTCAACTTATCGTGCGTGTATAGTAGTATAGTGGGTACCCTGAGGATAATTTCGTTGCATACAGAGAAAGTTGCCATCCGAGGGATCGAGATGTCGCTAGTAGTCATCATTGTAAAAAATCGTGAAGTTAGATCTCTATTCCCTATATATAAAAGGTACTCTGTGGTAGTAGTCATTTAAGTGACAGTGACATAACGTATGGTGTTGTGTTAATAAAATAATTTTCCCCGAAATAATGGAAATTCAAACGAATATTGATCACAAGATTTTAATGGAAATCGCTACTTTTGCTTTACTTAAATGTTTTATGTTCTTTTCCTAAGGATAACATTATGATATAGTAATCAGGGGTTTTCAGTAACCTAACCTAAGTTTAAGCCTTAAATCTGCGGTGCTATATTAAGTGTAACCTTTATTCTAAATGCTACTTTAGCGCTACATGTTCGTATCGTACCTGAGTCATGCGGCTTATTTTCCTACTAAAAGATAATTACCTATATATGTACATTTTCTATCCGATGCTCTAGTGTAGGTATCCCATAATACAAGGAACAGGCAAACTTGTGTAAGTGTTAAAAAAAGGATCTTAAGTGAAAATTAAAAATGTTAACATTCTTTATTGTTAATATAGGTGATCTAAATGTCAGGTAATAATCTCATCCAGGTAACCTTAAATAAGTATGTAGGACAAAAAGGGAGGGGAGGTGTCATAATAATTTAGTAAATTCTAGGGAAAGAAAAAAAAGAGTGAAAGGAAAAAACGACTATAAAACAAAGTTAAGGGTCGAGCCTGGAACAGATAGTAACATAATAACATTAGGAACCTTTAAAATGTATTTAAACATATTGAGTAGGTACAGTCTGTCAATAAAGTCATGACAATAAAAGGAGGTCGGAGGCTTACATGGTATTCCTGTTATACATCGACTAAAACGCTTTCATTTTTGGTAAAAACTGCTATTGTATAATAATACAAGTTCCATACATTTCTTGAATATCCGAGTTTCTATCTTATCTTATCATCATCTAAGTTTTTTTATGAACTTTCCTGATACTTAGCTGGAATCTACTCAATCCTTTAAAATAGCTTAAAAGTTTTTGTATTAAAGCAAATTAGTATACTCACACAGATACCGAGTACATAAAGAAGGAATAGGTATAATATAAAGGTAAGGTAAATAAACGCTCAGCGTTCCATTAGCTGTGGTTGAGTTGCGAGCTGAATTTTTGTCACGCAAAGTATTAATTATTAGAAATACGTACACGAAATCTTTTTAGGTAGAACGAATAGAACTCGAGAAACAAAAATTGAAAATTAATATTTTTGTAGGTTATGAGTCAATTTTGACAGCAATTTTGATCAGTGCTGCCATTTTTCATGCAAAAATAACATGTTTCTCGTTGCCTATGGTAAAAATAAGTTTATTATGTTGGTACTATTGTCAAAGTGTGACAATTTACCGCCATTTTGTGTTTGTTTTGAGATTCGTCTGACAGCGATGCGCGACTAAGAATGATTTTATCTTTCAACCAATTCTTAACTACTAATTTGGCTATTCGAAAGGCAAATTAGTAGTATACTAATGTCATTATTTGAATAACGACTACTAATTAGTAATACTAATGTCTTTATTCTGTTATTAATTATTATTTTTGCAGTGAAAACTATATTTACCAGTGAGTTTGTTTAATATTACTTGATTTATACATATTTTTATTTTAAAGAGTTCATATATCGATCTAATCATTAAACGATTGAAAGTAGTATCCATTGACTCTGCTCATCTCTTTCACTCGTCTAGTTTGCCCGACCAAGCCCGAGTCGACCCGGTTTGTTCATCTTCGTCACGTACGTCAGTCGAGAGTACGTTGGTCGCCGCCCGATACCTTCGACTCCATTCGAATGATATTAAAACGAAGCCGACTTGGTCGAATGATTCGTGGAGTCGAATGATTAGTATTCGAAGTTTTTGTGTTCGTCGGTAAAAAATATATTTGCTATTATTTACTTGATAAATAAAAAATAATATGGGCTCAACACTTAGAAAAAAAGATAAATGTGGCTTTACAACAATCTTTAATTCAGAACCGACTTGGTCAAGCCCGACACGCCGTGGTCTTGGTCTGCCCTACCCCTAGAGTGTTTTTAGAGCCCGGAGGCGCGGAGGGAGAGCAGCCCCCGCCTGCTGTGACAAAGCTGCAAGCATCGTGCGACCCGTAGCGCCTGAGGCTGGTCGGAGCCTGAGGTGTCGACCAACTAGCCGTAGGTGTGAAGGGGAGTGATGCTTGTGACTTAGTCACGCAAAGGCGGAGGGGCTGCTATTCCCGCAGCGCCGGAGATAAGGCAGAAGTACTGGTTCCTACTTCCCTAGTCCTTGCATCCTAAAAAAAATATGAATTTTTAGGTTAGGTTAATTAAAAAAAACAAGCATTTCCGAATAAAATCTTTAGTGGGGGGGAGGGAGTCGGGGTAACCTTCCCGTCCCCCCCAAATGAAAACTACCCCTAAATTCAACCACAGCTAATGAAATTAAGTACCAAATCGTAAAGCATTCAGCAAAGTTTTTATATTTAGTGAGAAAAGTATAGGCAAGTATAGACATTTGTAAAAACATTTGTTAAATTACCCATATTTGGGTAAATTTTATAGTTAGCATGGTCTTAAGCATTTTTGACACATGGATTGTGTGAATGAAATGACGTCAGTAAGTCACATTTGTTTGTTTGAGTGAGTTGGTTGTGCGACTTTAGTTAATGATAAGGAAAATATTGTAAAAAAATGTATATTTACTCAATACCGTACGAAATTAACCGGGAGCTATGCAGAATATTGGACAATGTTGACGATTGGAAAGAATTAGCCGATCGAATGGGATACAAAGCATTTGAGATCAATGTAAGTACAACTTAAATTTTGTCTTCTTAATGTTGGGCTTTCCCATGTTAATTTAACCAATGGAAATACCACAGCACAGAATTATGTGCTATCATAATATGTCCAAATTATTAATTTAGGCAGTAGTAGAAAGCCATTATAAAACATTCAACTCTCGAATTAGGTTTTTCCGGCACATACACTTTCAATTTCAACAGTAGAATCAAACCTGTTTTGTTTATTTTCGCGTGTGTGCAGGTAAATACGTATACAGAATTTTGATGATGTACGTTGTTGGGATTTTTAGAGTGAGGGGTTATATCAGAAACTTATTTTTAATAAAAATAGTAACTTACAACTCTAATAAATTTCTTAACAGATATTCAAATATATTAAATATTTAAGTACTGTAGTTTAAACATTCTCTATAGTTGTAGCTAGACAATCTGTTCCGCTTTAAAACCGACCTATTAGGAAACAACAATACAAAGGAGTTTCTACTTAAAATAATCCAATTTATGATTTTCAGAAACATCTCATTATGACACTGCATTACTAAGCATTCTAAGCAAAAAAAGAACATTAATTTTGATTATATCTTACATGTAAGTTCAGTTATATATATATGTATATAGTGGTGTCGATTCTGGCATGATTCTCTAAACTAAAAACTAAATTTACCATTAGTCTCTCCTTTTCATTCTGTGTAGAGAATGACAAGGATGCACTGTTGTCAAATTTAAGTTTTGGCTTAAAAAATCATGCCAGAATCGACACCACTAAAAAACAATGTAGTAGAAAAGTAACCAGTTTATAAATAGCATATTGTAATGCAGTACTCCTTATTCACTGATGTAATGCTCTAACCTAAACTGTTACGTTACATGGAGAAGAATACTGCCAATTTTTGAACGGCCCTTGACAACAAATCAAGACAGCTGTCCGAGTATGTGACATATTCAGATATACTTGGGCTGCATACCTCGTCATCCAAGTGCAGCATATGTCAAATTTGACATAAGTTTCATAAATTTTATTCAAAACTGAAAAAGAGTAATTAATAAGTTAACTCAGAGCATAGGTTTAGAACACAGCCCTTAAGCGACAGGTTGCTTGTTAAAGGCCAAACAGCCAAAGAGTCATCTGTAATGAACTTTGCATTTTCTTCCCCATTACCACACATTTAAACAAGGAAAAAATAGTATTATTTTTTTATTTTTTATGCATGTAACTGCTTGATGTTTAAATCTAAAGAAAATATAACTAGATTCTCAAGAACACTTTTTTTAGTTATATTTTCTTTAGCAGTTACATGCTTAAAATATAAAAATTGTTACTATAATTGCTATTTCTTCTTTCAAATGTTTAATACTTGTAAAAGTATTTTTTTGACATTTTGGGTTACATACAATGCGAAGAGATGGCGCTGCCTTGCAGCTTAAGAATGGCTAGAGGAATTTCGAAGCGGCCATCTGGGCCGCGGTAGCATAATTGGTCAGTGCATTCGCCCGGATAGCGAAGGGTGCGGGTTAGTGTCCCGTCTGCTGCCAGGTCCACGTGGAATTTTTTCTAGTTATATTTTCTTTAGAAGTGAAAAATAATCATAAGAGTTATTCAGATTAATACACAGGTACTTTGACATAGCCACAAGTAACAGTTATGTATATTTGCTTGATGTTTAATATTTTCGTTATTCAGGAAATAGAACAGATAGCACGCAGAAATTCGATGTCACCAACTAATCAACTCTTCACCACTTGGGGTCAGCAAAACCACAAAGTCGGGGAACTGTTCATTGCCCTGTATCGCATGGAACACATACCAGCCCTCAGATGTTTAGTACCAATTGTAGATGACAAATTTCACACGCTATATAAAAAGCTCTGTCCCGAAGGGATTAGGGAAAGGAATACCTCTGTTATTGAAGGTAAAATATTAAATTAGAGTATTGATTTTTTTTCCTAATAACAGTGTGTATATATGTATACAATACACTGAGTTACATGAGAAATTAAAAAATGAAGTGTAAAAATAGTGCGAACATTTATACATTCATAAGCAGTATATATAGCACCATATTTTTTTCTTTAATTTATATATATAGGTTATAAAATATTCTAAAATGGCGCATATTTCCTTTTATGGAATTATTATCCATTTAAAGTATGTACATTCTTAAAGTTGCTAGTAGTAGTTAGTAAGTTTATTTGAATCAATTTATAACCATTAAAATTGTTAGGGTTTCATTATTTTAAAATTAGTAAGATAAGGCAGATATTTTTTTGAAAAAAATCATTAATGATTTGCTTATATGTAACGATTTAGTTGTCTGAATTAGCTAGTAAAGTTTTTCAGGTAACACATAATTCATTATGTATCCAAATACACACTGTATTATTAGTTTTCTTTTTTATGTATCTGTTAAGAATCAGCTTAATACACATTAATTTAATATTTTCATTTATGCCTGTATATGTATTAATATTTTACAGATAAAGCAAACAAAAAGCAAAAAATACATTCAGAAGAATCTTCAATTCCGCTACCAGTAAAATTGATAGAACAGGTGAGTTCTTATACTTATGAAAAATATTTTGTTATGGATTCCAAGACATTCTGAAGCCCACAAATGAGTAAATCATTATCAGCCATTTTATAATTGATGTACCTATTAATAACTTATACTTTCCCAATAGAAAAGGTTTTTAAATTTTATGACATAATGAAATTGTTAGTAATAGTAATGATTTTTTTTACAAAAACTTTTTCGTTGATACGTGATTGTTCATCACGATTCAAGACATTAGAGTTTGAACTTAAAAAAACTGATAAATATTGTCAAAAAATAATGGACACATTTGTTTTTTCTTTTGTCAATCAACCATTCGGTCCAAAAAAGAGTTTACAAAGATGGAAGGGAATGGCAGTGACGTCTCATGACGTCACTTCTAAGTAAAAATTGTACCAAGACGTGACGTCATGCGACATTTCAAATCAATATCTCTGTAAAGTTAGGATTGAGTGAGTAAAGAAAAAAAAATATGTGTCCCATACTTTATGATAATCTACCTGATAGACAAATAAAATAAGTTAGTCATCATGCCTATTGTCTAAACTGTCGATTACATATTCTCGACTTATGAACTAGGACACTTTACGTTTCAATATACCGTTTTAAACTTTCATGGTCACTAAATTTTTTTTTTATAAGCGTAATTGCATGTACGATCAAACTAGCGATGCGCGACTTCGAATAATACTAATACTAATCATTCGACTCCACGCATCATTCGACTAAGTCGACTGCGCTTTATATCATTCGACTGGAGTCGAAAGTATCGGGCGCCGCGCATTGCACGCAGCGACCCGCAGAATATTTCTAACGACTAAAAGTCGGTCGACTAACCAACTCTCGACTGACTTACGTGACGAAGATGAGCGAACCTGTCCTTACCTTATTCGTTGCGCTCTTGTACATTTACATTAGTATTACTAATTAGTAGTCGTTATTCGAATAATGACAATAGTAGTACTACTTATTTGTCTTTCGAATAGTCAAATTAGTAGTTACGAATTAGTCGAAAGGTAAAATCATTAGTAGTCGCGCATCGCTAGATCAAATCAATTGATTCCTAAACCACTTGCCCGATAATTCGCTTAAAAATGCAAAACAGACAAGTTTTCCCTTTTAGAGAATACGTCATTGCACCCGGGACCTAATAACAAAGAAACTGTGTTAATATGGATCAAAAATATTTTCAATACAATAGATATTATAGATATACTAGTTGACCCAGCGAACTTCGTACCGCCCTAAAAAAAATAGGGGTTGTCCAGCGGACAAAATTGTGAATCTAAACCATTCTCAGATCCCCTTGAACACACACAAAAAATTTCATCAAAATCGGTCCAGTCGTTTAAGAGAAGTTCAGTGACATACACACTCACAGAAGAATTATATATATAAAGATATATATAGTAGTTTGAATTTCGAAATCAATTTTAAATTCGAAAATGTAACAGGTACTCTTTCCGATTTCTTGACATTATAATAAAAATTGGTAATCTAATAGGGAAATCCTTAGTCCATGGGAAAACCCCTAACTTAATATCAAAATTATGTCACAGAAAGGGGGGAAATACTGTCATATCAAATATGATACAGAAAATAACAAGTTTGTTTCCAGGGATATAATACATTTAAGAAGTAATCTACCATTTTGTTTTGAAATGGTTGTAAGAAAAACGCTTATGGTGGGTCAAAATTAAATCTGGGATCAAATTGGCTAATTGTTCCTTTTTTTTGTGAGTTCCTGATATTTCGGCACTGGCGCAAGCGCCAGTAACCGTTTTTCCGTGTTCATAGCGCTTGTAACAGTGCTGAAGAACCTAAAACTGAAATATTTTTCCGGACATATTTGATCTAGTTTGAGCGTAACAATCCAATACAGTGCCAAAAAATCTAGACGTAAACAAGTGCGCATCACATTGTAAGCCACTGTCACAATAATTAATACTGAGAATAATAATTTAAATTTCGCATGTTTTTCCTCAATACAGGGTGTTCTTCTGCCAACATCGAGTAAAGGATTGAATGGTACACCCACGGATGATGAGTCAGCCGACTTGGTAAGACTATTAATGACATGAATCACGTTTCAATATACGTACTATGTAGTAACATGTTCACTAGTGTTATTGACATAATCTGAATATACCACATATTGAAAGGAAATAGAGTAGCAAATGCCGTGCAACATTTTCAAAGTATTAAAATTAATCATTATTTTCTATTTGATGATATGTATCTGTTTTAGAGCGTATGTTTTCTTGTTGTTCCATAAATATAAATGAACATTAATTTGATTTAAGTACTCTTAGCTGAGCGGCCAATGCCATCTCTAAGAGAGAGGATGCGGGTACGATTTCTATTAGGGATAAAATGTATTCTCTTATTATTTAAGGGAGGTAGGCCATAGCGGATTCTCCGCTCAAATTGGCACGCCTGTATAGTTAAGTTACCTCCATCTTACAGAAGACAGTATACAGTAAAATAACACTACCTCTGGTGGTATTGTGTTTTTGTTGTTGAGTAAGGTTTCAGGGTTTCACGGAGTAGAGGATATTTTAACTGAGTCAGAGTGGGCAACGGCGGCGCGAGTGATAGTTTTGGCATTTTATTCACCCGATGGTAAGTGATCAACGTAGCCCATAGACACCTGCAACACCAGGAGTATCACAAATGCTATGCCGGCTTTTAAGGACAGAGTACGCTCTTTTTTTGAAGGTTTTCAAATCGTATTGGTCCTGAAACGCTGCCGGTGACAATGTATTCCACAGTTTTGTCATATTTGGTAAAAAAATCGTCAAGGTTGTGGATAGCCACGCATCAAGATGGTGGGCATAAACTTTTTGTCGAGATTTACGATAGCGAAAAGCAACAGCTGGCATTAATCCGAACAATTCCTCAGAACACTCCCCGTGATAAATGCGATAGAAGATGCAGAGCGAAGCTACATTATAAAGTTACAGTCGGTGGGCCGGTGTGAAGTACCCCTTCAAAATTCAAAATTCAAAATTCAATATCGTTTATTCAGTCTAGGCTGTTACAAGCACTTGTGAATGTCGAAAAGCTACGCCATCGGTTCGCAAATCTACGGCGGGAGACCTTGTACTGAGAAGAACCGGCAAGAAACTCAGCAAGGGCTGTTTTTTTCTCCCTGTATTATATACAGAGTCGTCAAATTGAAAAATGACTTCAATATGAGGTAACTCATAAAGTCACTTTTCATTACAAACAAAAAAAAAATGCAAATAATATAAAAATTATGACTATAAAATAAAAAATTAAAATATGTAAAAAAAAATGGTTTAACAAAGTTTAGGAATGACGTGTCCTACCGCTTAGGCAAAAAGAAAATAATAATAATGAACGATTAAAGTTTAGAACAACGATTAATAGTAGTACCCAGTGAATTAAGAGCAGACTCATCTCCGCTGGCAGCACCCGTTCACGAGCATGACGCATGAACCAGCCATCGCTTCGCTCAACCATTTTTTAGGGAACGCAGCGACCCGCCTCACACGACACCACCGAAGAGATTTTTAAGAGAGCATGACTACTCATAACCACACATGGATACTATGTTACTAAAATAGAAAAAAAAATACATATAGGTACCAGTGTACATTATTATAACAAACTATAAACACAACGGCAGGACACATGCATGTGATTACCTAAACACTGTTGTCGACCCTGGCAATACTCTTCCAACCCAAAACCAATCAAACATCAGTCCCCCCCTTTCAGTCTGTATAGAGAATGACAAGGATACACCACTGCAAAACCAAGTTCAGGTCTAGAAAAACATACCAGAATCCACACCGCCATTAAATCTTTATCAGAGAAATAATATATGTTCACTTACATTTTGATTGCTGTGTCACACAGTATAAATACAAGTTGTGTAATGTAAAATACAATCAAAAATTAATAATAATTATCATTACAATAATAAAGTAGTGTAGAGCAGACTCATCTCCGCTGGCAGCACCCGTTCACGAGTATGACGCATGAACCAGCCATCGCTTCGCTCAACCATATTTTAGGGAACGCAACGACCCGCCTCACACGACACCGCCGAAGAGATTTTTAAGAGAGCATGACTACCCATAACCACTAAAACCAATCTGCAAAATGGTTACTTCGTTCTATTGAGTACACCAAGCTTCTTGGAGGTTTAGTTTCTTGCCGGTTCTTCTTAGTACAAGGCCTCCCGCCGTAATTTTGCGAACCGATGGCGTAGCTTCTTGACCTTTACAAGTGCTAGTAACGGCCTAGACTGAATAAATGGTTTTTGATTTTGCTTATTTGGCGTTGCCATCCAGATGAACTTGGATTGATGGATTATGTGTGCCGAGGCGAACGTTCGTCTATCAATGCTTCTTTTGCTGGGCCCTGCAGTAATGTACTATTTATATAATTGAACCGAATGGTATTCTATCCTGCAAAACGACGTCGCTAATAAAAATGTAAAGGTTTGAAGACTTCCATCGCCGAGTAGTGTGTACGCCGGGTTTCAAGGTGTCTCTCAAGAGCCAATGTTTGTGTGATGAATACAAGATGATTTGTGCTTAAGTCATGGATATTTATTTGTATTTATGTATAAATATATGTATCAGTATATGTATTCTCTCGAAGGGCTCGATGGCGCAGGCGGTTAGAGCGTTCGGCTGCGATCGTTGAAGTTAAGCAACTTTCGCAGTGGTCGGTCATTGGATGGGTGACCAAAAATCTTCTATCTCGAGTTCGTCCGTGCTTCGGAAGGCACATTAAGCCGTTGATCCCGGCTGCATCTGCAGTCGCTAGCACCCGCCAATCCACACTGGGCCCGCGTGTTGGGTCATGGCCCAATCTCCCTATTCCATCCATAGGGAAGGCCTGTGCCCCAGCAGTGGGGACATTAATAGGCTGATGATGATGATGATATGTATTCTTATCCTAGTATTCCATAACACAAGCCCTACAGTGCTTACTTTGGGGCTAGGCTAATTGGTGAGAGTGTTAGAAATATTTATTAATTTAGGAATATTTCGAAAGTAATTTGCTTTACCATATTGTTTCAGTCGACCTCATCGCAAGAGAGCAGAGAGAACGATATCAGGGCGGAGATAAGGAGAAATGTGGCCGCCATACCGATGTTGCCATACGATGAACTGAAGGAAGCTACCAATAACTGGAATGCTAGCAACATGCTCGGCCAAGGGGGATTCGCTCAGGTTTTTAAAGGTAAAATATTATATGTATATCATCAAATTCATATAGGTAGTAATTTAACGATACTTATAATAAATTAATTTTGCATCAAGTGTTCATTTTAGCTCGGCTTATATTTGTTCTCTGTATTTTTCGAAATTTAAAAAAGATTTTATTTTTTATTATTGGAATTGTTGACGCTGATTAGGGTAACACTAAATATTGTACATGCATATTATAAGTGTGCACATGTCAATTATGAACTATTTTTAATAAAAAAACGGCGGAAGCGACTTTTTATACTGTGCGATGGTTTATTGGTTTATTGCAATATTTTTTTAAAAACAATAGTACTTATATAAAAAAATTGTAGTAGCATTTTTGATTTTGTAAAATTATTCTAATTATTGGATCGGTTTTTGGATCCGTCAACAGGAGGAGATATAAAAAAACGGACATGTGCTGTAGTGCAATTCTGTAAAACCCATAAATTCATCTCACTGTGTGAAACGGATCCGCTTTTGAATCTCTTTATGTTTCGCTTCATGGAATTTTCGCATTCTGTAACCAATTGTACAAGCAAGTGAAGCGAGATGTCATTTATATCCTAAGTGATTTGTAGTGTTACCATTTTAAAAGTTTTTGGTAAATCGAGATATATCGACTTAGTTATTATGCGTGAAAAAAAGCACGTAAATTTATTCTTTAGATATATTTGTAGATATGAGGCTCAAGTTTAAAGTTTTAATGAATGTAAACTTAAAATAGTCTTATTTTTAAAGTTTGGTAACATGGACGAATGAGGGCTTACTCTATGCGCATCTCTGTAATCGAGTGAAAATCGACACTAGCGCTACTAAGTGAGAGTGGCGGTTTAGTAAACTATCACAGGTGAGACCGTAACATACCTAAATGTCTTTGACGTTTCAATGGCATTCTGTAACGAATTTCAGCGCTTGTTTACACCTCACATTAAAAACCGCACTCGAAAGTAACTGTCAAAATAAAAGTTACTCATTAGCTGCGGTAATAGAAGTGATTGTACGAAGTGAGTATTTTTGTAGACTATTATCATCATAAAACAAGAGTAATTATTAAATTATTTATAATTACGTTGCTTTTGTTTATTTAAGTAATAATTCTTTAAAATTATGTCTATCTAGTATTTCAGATGACTCACTCTATTACTTGCTTTTTACTATAGAAAGCCCATGTATGATGTAGATTTGGCCAGAAGCCGCCTACAAGCCTAATTTCTGTGTAACCTTGAGCAATTTCATGTGAAGATGAATATGTGACTAAATAAAGATTTTTTTCAACAATTGGAAAATGATTTAAAGTATTCATTTAGAAGAAACCAAGTGTAATGGAAAAGGATTATCCAATAGAATGAAGGTAAAGTACCTAATTGCATAACAAAAATAAAACCCAACCAAGAAACTTTTTATAACAATTATATAAGAATAAAAAGTTTTTTTTTTGTTTCAGATACTGTGTACACTTTCATTTGTGCAAATGGGAGTTACTAAGGATAATAGGGCAAAAAATTACACACATTTATCCCAACCATCAATATCAAGACTTGTAAATGAAATTGCCACCTTTTTAAGATTTTATGTCATCCAGACATAGCAAAATGCATCACAATGCCAAGTGATAAAGAATTGGTAAGTAAACTTTGATTCACTACAATTAAACAAATACTTGGGCAAATAGGTGTACAAAAGATATAATAAAGTAGACCCTCCGGTATAAATATTACATATAATTCAAGTAGAACAGTGTTTCTTAGTTTTTGCAATCCTTTACTTTAATTATTTTAGAATATTTTATGTGGGTAATAAAATTTCTATTTGCAGTTTATTTAAATTATCTAATACTTAAGTAGTAAATGCTAACAGAGCTATTCAGGACCACTTTTTATTTAATTTATTTAATTAATTTTAATGCCTTTACATTACATATGGCGGTCTTAATGCCAGCATAGCATTCTCTACCAGTCAACCGGAAGGAACGAGAGTCAATAAACGACATTTAACTTTGGTTTAGACCAATTTACCTTTAAAAAAACTACTAGGTATATTTTTTTGGAGTTATTTTAATAAACTTTACTTTTGTTACAGATTTTTGGAGAAATTTAAAATGCCTGCAGCTGTTGGTAGTATAGACTGTACCTTTATCACCATAATAAGACCAAAAGAACCTTTAGTAAAAAGCATAAAGCAACGGTGTTGTGTAAACATTAAATGTAGTTAATGTTAATTGTATAAATATATTTTGATTTAAAAAATAGTCACTCATATTTTTAACCCTTCACCACAGTAAACTACAAAAGTAATGATTTTATTGAACTATTTCATCATCAGCCTATTCCTGCCCCCACTGTTGAGGCAGATGGAATAGGGAGACTGGCCGTGACCCACCTAGTAGTAGGACCTAGTGCGGACTGATCAGTGCTAAGGACTGCAGATGCAGCTGGGACCAATAGATTGACGTGTCATCTGAAACACGGAGAAGATCGAGATAATAAGTTTTTGGTCACCCATACAATTACCAAAAGTTGCCTAACTTTCATGATTGCAGGACGAATACTCTAAGCACCTGCGTCTCCGGGCTCCTCTTTATTTAGATTGAACGTTTTAAATGTTCTACATAAAAACTAACTATTTAAGAATTAGTTTCTGTGTAGTTCCTATATTTAATATACATACCTACTTAATTCTGAATGATATATAATATAGACCGGCGAGTTGCGTAAACCCCCATTGCAATGAAAATGAAGATAATTTAATAAAAGGGTGATTATTTATAGTAAAACTCATTAAAATAAATATGTAACATTTTTATTCATAAATTATGACAGATGCCTTTGAAACTGTACATTACATTGTTACATTTTTGTCAGAGATGCTCGTCAGCCTATTTGCCAATTTTTATAAAGAGAAAATTGAATATTAATCGATGCTTTTCTGAACAAGTATCTGAGTGGTGTTATATAAAGCAGTAGTAGTGGATCACTAAATAGCTCAGTGATTATTACTTCCATCTGTCAAAAGCAGTTGGCGAATAGGCCTACTGTGGCCTGTCCAGACAGGTCCACCACACCAGGTGGTCTGCAGGTTGTAGATGTAGCTGGCGCAGTGACCACTTCTCATGAATATAATGTAAGCAGTCTAGCACCGCAACAATAGGCCATGTGTCATTAGACAAATTTTAACAGAGATCTTTGTTGAGATGGAGGCGAACCCTGCCAAGGACTTGTTGTGCGTGTTGCTGAAATAAAAAATATATATATAAGTTGTTGAATAACAACAATAAATGTCACAATTATGATTGGGCCTGGGTCAGAATAAACTTATTAATGATACTCTTTTTTTCTTTTAACACAAACTTTATGATTTTTATAAAAGTAAAGTATTGAGATAAGAAAATAATCAATATTATTACATTCTATTAATACGTACTTGGAGCACTATATTCGGAAATATTCACAACTACAAAATAACAATATGTACGAATCAAATTTTCTCTTATTCTCTTTTTACAATGACACTTACAAATAAATCCGAAAATATATAAAAAGAACATAAATCAAAAAAGAATTAAAAGAACTTATTTTCTAATGTGCCAGTGCCTGCGAGCGAAATGTCCATAGACACTGGCTGTATTGCGACATGGACCAACGTTTGTGCGGTGGAAATAAAATAATCAAATTTTATGCCAGTCAATTTAATTGTGGCTTTTCAAACAAGTGGTTAACATAGTCTTACAAAAATAAAAACTACTGTAATTTACGTATACTTACAACATTTCGAAGAAATTAGTGCCCTTTTCCTTCTTGTAAGATTAATGGGCGGTCTTGAGATCTATAACGTTTTCTACTCTACATGGTAAAATTATTTTTAAAAAGTATTTTAGATAATACACGAACAATTTTTAACCTAGAATAAACCAAGAATAAAAACACAGACCACAGATTACAAGATTTTATACAGTAGAGATTATCACATAACGCAAAGGCAATGCGCCGTTCGGCCAAGTTATCAAACTTTAAAAATAAGACAATTTTAAGTTTAAATTCAGTAAAACTTTAGACCCAGGCGTCGTATCTACAAATTTATCTAGAGAATCAATTTATGCATAGAGCCACACGGCCGAAGCGGCCAGGAGGGAAGTAGGCATTCACAGCTTTTCCCTCTGCCGATTTTCCCCCGCAACAGGCCCAGCTCACGAACAAAACTAGTTGCGCTCGGATATTTCTCTAAACTGAATCAAGTCACGTGAGTGTATGTTAGGAGATCAAAAATGCCAAAATGTTCTGTAATTTTTTTTTAAACATGTATGGAACATAAAACTAATAAAAGGATGGTGTTATATTTCACATATAAGTTTTCACATATAAGTAGAATTATTAACAACCTAAACTTCAATTTGACAACATTGTATCCTTGTCATTCTCTATAGAGAATGAAGAGGAGAGACTGATGTTAAAATTAGTTTTAAGTTTAGAGAATCATGCCAGAATCGACACTATTATTTCTATTTCACCACTTTTAAAAACACAATATAAATATTATTTTGTTAAAATTCAATCGTCGGACTTGTTTCACAGAACAAAAAACCTGTCAGTACATGTTTAGGATCCGTCGAATCGACTTCATTGATACCTGGCGAAAAAACGAGGGTGTATTGTCTATTTTTTTATGCGTGTGTCGTAAGTACAGTTTAATTTTTTTGCGAATGTATATTAAACTGCCTTTGTGTATACTCCTCCCTCGCAAAAGTAGCAGAATGATTTTAATAGTATTATGGATTATGTCCCTACTTCTTTCCGTGTTGCTCTATGAACTAAGTCGATGTATCACGATCATAGACACATGCTATACCTATGATCTCGACTTACCGAAATTTCTTAAAATGGTAACACTACAACTCACTTGCGATAAAAATGTCATCTCGCTTCACATGGTGGTAATATTTTTTACAGAATGCGAAAATTCCGTAAAGCGATCCGTTCTGTGATGTGAATGCATATCCGCCGCATTCAGTGAGAGCCATAGATACAAAACTATGCCATAGATGAATGATCGGTCTCACTTCAAGCGATATCTATGATTATAACTATGTCTATGATTGCAGCAATTGCTGATTCTGTTTTTAATAAAATGGATTAATTTAATTATTCATTGGTGTCGATTCTGGCATGATTCTCTAAACTTAAGCTAAATTTATCATCAGAGTATCCTTTTCATTTTGTATAGATAATGACAAGGATACACTATTGTCAAATTAAGGTTTAGGTTTAAAGAATCATCCAAGAATCGATTCTAGTATCTATCTATTAAACTTTTAACAGAATGGAACTCCGTGCACTTGGGGCATCGTTCGAAACCTACGGCTATGAGTGGAACCTTTTTAATGTTGACATAAAATCAACGATATTAAATACCCTAGATACAACATCACGAACAAAATCGTGGCTTAAACCTGTCCAAAAGGTAAATTGGACGATACGCGGAGCTCCGTAAGATAATCGCGTAGTCAAAAACAATGTAAGGCATTATTTAAACATTCAAAGTTACATTTAATGTAAAGGTCTTAATTAAAACGCATGCGTCAATGAGTTATGACAGTTCAAAATGCAAGCTCGTAAAAATTTACCACTTATTGCTATACGCGTAAGAATAAAGACCTTATTTCTTTGACTCTACGCACTGAAGATGCGCTATTAGCAACATAGCAGGTACGGACCGTGAGGAAAAGAGACAGCTATATTACCGATCATGCATTTGAATATCACGTTTTTTTCTATTAAATCAATTTATAGTAAGTATTAGAACATAATTATTTGCTTCAAATGCGTTAATTTTACAAACATTTATTAGATACCTGTAGAAAAGGACACTTTACGTACTATAAGTATTTATTATGCATTTTTTCACGGAGTTTTGCGGCATCTTGATTTTCAACGTAGTGCTTGAGTCGTGTTCAAGCACTTCTTGATTGGGACACATTTTGAGCGCACGTGTTGCATCTAGGGTATTTAATATCGTTGCATGTCAATTTTGAAATTTGTTGCACCTAGAGCGTAGTTTGGAACGCACCCCGGTAAACAAATGCAAATACCCACTTAGGTTTTTGCGTGATTTTATCAAAAGCGGTCTTTTTTGCTGATGGCTCAGGAGCCAAAGCTGAATAAATTAAAAAAAATATATTAGAAGCGGTAAGTATTTTTCCATGAAGAAATCTCATCTAATATTCCCAAAAGTTCAATGTGGAAATTACATTTGTTAAGAAAATCGACTTCCAAACGTATTGCGGTCATTGTTTAGTTTGTTTTTGGCTCATTTGAAAAACTGTAGAAGAGAGGCGAGATGAAGTAAGTTAAATAAAATGTGGTTTTGATTACTGAAGTTTTAATTTATATTAAAATCATTTCTGTTTTTTGCAGTGGTGTCACAATCGTCGCATCCCTCTGTAGAGCAACTTAATGTTTTGATCGAGTTCCTGGCAGCTAATAGAGATTTAGCTAAAGATTTCTCTAAGAACCTCAGTGCCAAATAAAGCTATCATGGCTAGCTCCAACAAATGAGGCATCGACATGCAAAACATTGAGATCGGCATGAACAATCTGTAACAAAATATTTACAAAATTTAATTCCAGTCTTTTAATTTATCTTTACATAAATTTATATATTTATATGTTCATGAAATATGACAAGTTTTAAGAAAGTAACAAATAGATGAAAATCAGTTAAAGGTGTACTTACTACTTGAACATTTCTTGCATGCTTACCTTTACGACAATAATACCCTTCTTCATTTTCTTTGGGTCGTATCATGGTGACAAAGATACCATCTATGCAAACAACAACTCCAGGTATTTGAAATTTCTCAAAAAAACTGTAACAAAGGTAAAGAATAGCTCATTTAATATTTGCTTTACTAAAGAAACTGCCAATAAAAGTATTTTTTTATGATTTCATTACCTAAAATACTTTAAGACACGGGCTCATAGATTTTTTAGAATTTTGATATTGTTCCAGGATTGTAAAAGTTATAAGAAACACTGGTCTACTTGATTTATAATATAATATTTAACTTATTGGTTATTCTAGTTAATCAGAGTTTACTTACTGTTCCTTTAACACTTGGTGTTGAGATGCATTTCGCAGAAATGTTATATATTTTTACGATGTCTGGATGACTTAAAATTGAGGCAATTTTATTTATACTTCTTGACATTAATATTAAGCACAAGGCAATAGAGTGAGATCTGAAAAAATAGGTGGACATGAGTTTTTGAATTATTAAATAAACAATGAGACCTACATTAAAAATACTTACTTTAAAAGATCTTCTATAAACAAAAATCGTAATTTATTAGCAAAGTTTGTTTGATTGATTGCCATAGCTACACACTAAGTCACTTTGACATAACAATTCGAGTGCGGATCCGAAAGTGAGTGTAAAATTCGTTACAGAATGCCATTAAACTTCAAATCCTTGAGCATATTGTCAAGCTATATCCTGCGTTAGTTCATTTCACCGCCACTCTCGCCTAGTAGCGCTAGCGTTGATTCTCACTTGACTACAGAATGCCAATGATAAAATCCGAAACGGATCCGCGCTCGAAAGTGAAATGTGACTTTACAGAATGCCACTCCTGTTCATATGCGTTAGAAGTGAAACCTACAAAAATGTGTTCACGTAAAATTCTTCAGCCGCCCGCGGCCATATTTGTTACCAGCTATTTTTATTTTATTTCTTTTGTTATGTTTTTCTTATCTAAGGTTTTTTCGAAATATTTATTTATAAAAAATTGCAAACATTGGAAAGGTTAAAACTGTTGATAAAAATCAAGCCTATATTAATAAACAACTTAGGCACCTACCAAAGTTAAATACTTTACTATTCGGGTATTGTAAAATACTGGGCAAATTTTAGTATTCTATACTTAAATTGTTTTGAAAAGTAAATAATAGTTAAAAAAAAACAATTTTGATGATTAAATTTGGTGTCGACTCCAAGACCGTTACCGTTCGGCTATCTGTCTCTTGCAGACAGTTACAAAATTACGGATACATTGTTTCAAATAAGTACTGTTAAATTTTCGTTTCATCGAGAAATCACAACGGTGCTAAAGAAGTTATCACTTCAAAAAACATACATTTATTGGTTCTGCAATATTCTGTTTCGCCCGGAACTGAAGATTCGTTATTTAACATCTCTTATTAACTTTTCTTGTTATATACAATCATGGAAACAAAATTGAGCATTATTTACGGATGATGTTATGTACTATGATGCTGGTCAATTGGAGCGCAGAGGAGTAGACATGTATTTTGAACAATGCGATAAAAACGAAGCGAAGAAGATATGTGTTTTTTTGAGTAATGCGATTGGAACTGTGAGGAGAAAAGATGCGTATTTTGAACAATGCGATTGGAACAAAACAGAGAAGAAATTTGTATTCTGAGCAATGCGATTTGTAATTTTTTTAAGACACTGCTTCGCTCCGCGCTGCTTTAAGCTTGCTTCGCTCGATTAAGCCTCGATGACACGGGGTGAGTTAGAAACTACAAGCCAGCGAGTTCGCTTCAGCTTGTAAACTCGCCTCATGTCATCGGCTATTCTACAATCTCCTACTCGATGACACGAGACAAGTTTACAAGCTGCTAGCGAACAGGCTGGCTTGCAGCTTGTAACTCACCACGTGCCATCGAGGCTTTATGTGCAAAAGCAGGCTATTTTGCGCTCTTTCAATTGATTATATTAGTGTTGATTTTGCTAATAATTTCGTTTCTTGGTGTGACCATCTCTCTTGAACATTAACAAAGATTTAAATTTTGTAATTTATATAGATTTATTTGATCATATGGCGTTTAATTTAAGTGTATGTAACTATGGCTACAACTAATAACCAAGTTGCGCAGCCAGTCAAGAGCCGCAGTACAAACTAGCGGAAGCGACGCTTTGGAAAATTATTACATTTTGCGCGGCTTAAGCTTTCGATTTTCAATTGGCAGATGTTGACAGAATATTCAACATCTTTTGTCTGTTGGCTCTGATAAGGGGCGCTTGGGAATTGGTTATGCGAACGGCATCTACTGTTGTCCCAAGCCATCTTGTTCGCGACATTATTTGTATTGTTATGGTGTGAGTTATCTTAGCGTGGTTGTTGCGGTAAAGAATCTGTACAGAAACGAAAACGAAACGAACTCGCACCGACCCGGCGAAAAAAGCGCCTTTACTTTTTTTTCCCCACCGAGACAGTATTATTTAGCCGATTTTAATTTTCAGCTAATATAATTTTGACCTTATGCATACATACAACCTCTGTGGTTTTACAACTGAATTAAAAATAAAAATAGTGCAACAATGAGATTTCATATAACATTTCTGCACTTTTTTTGTTCTAAGCAGAAAATGAGTCCTTTTCCGTCTTCCGGTTTTGTAGTGATTAATGATAACATTACTACTTAGTTGAAATAAAACCAATGTAAACTTTATCATGTCAGGTGAATGGAAACAGTTGACTGTAGCGGTGAAGAGACTGCGTGCTGTGGACGCACGAGACAGGGAACTGATACGAGAATTGTGCCTCAACCAGTACCGACACGATAACATAGTGCCGTTGTACGGGTACAGCTATGGAGGTGAGTGGATATACATTAATAAATAAATGTATAAACTCGGCGTTAAAAAAATCGAAAATAAGTTTCAAGCATTATTACCTCGACGACCTCCGTGGCCGAGTGGTTTGAACACCGGATTTCATGGTGTCGCCGACTCGAGAGGTCCCGGGTTCGACTCCCGGTGGGGGCAGATGTGTGGCGGCGACATCTATATGCACCACATATATACAACGGATGGAGGAAATCATTACTCACCACCCTCAAGAGATGGCGTTACCTGCACTGCGATCATAATAGTATGGAAGCCTACATCGCGCAAATGAAATTCGGAGGCTAACTCTTCATATATACGATGCCCGACCAACATCAGTCGGGCCGCGGCCCCCAAGCTACCTCCACCCAACTCGGAGGAAGATGTTCCCCTTTGGCCTTCCTACAGATGTTTGTGTGATGAATACGACGAGCATTTGTACTCCAGTCATGGAGATTTAACACATATTTATATATATATATATATATATATATATATATATATATATATATATGTACAGTATATGTATTCTATCCGTTACCCTAGTATCCCATAACACAAGCCTTATAGTGCTTAGTTTGGCTAGGCTAATTGGTGTGAGTGTTGAAAATATTTATTTATTTATTATAACCCTTATTCACACGCACGCACACATATTTATCGCCACCAATATTGGTGTCATTTGAAAGCCCATTAAATAAACTTAAAAAACAATACAATTAATTTTTATTTTCTATTGGAACAGTGCAAAAAACGATAAAAATCCTTAATTAAGCCTTAATTAAAAACAGATTAATTGCACACGAAAAATTAAAACCTAGTTTTGCACCCGTACAAAGCCGGGGTGGGTCGCTAGTAATAAATATTCGGAAAACCTTTATCAAATAGTAACAGAAGCTAAGGAAGGAAACGCAAGTGTCTATAGCAAATGGAGTTAACTATTTTCAACTAAGGTATTTAAAGAAATTTTATTTGCTTCGAACTCAACTCAACTGAGAAGAAATAAATAAATATTTCCAACACTCACACCAATTAGCCTAGCCCCAAAGTGAGCACTATAAGGCTTGTGTTATGGGTTACTAGGGTAACGGATAGAATACATATACTGTACATATATTAGTATATTTTTATAGAACTACATGTTAAACATCCATGACTGGAGTACAAATGCTTGTATTCATAACACAAACATCTGCCCCCACCGGGATTCGAACCTCTCGAGTAGGAGACACCATGAAACCCGGCGTACAAACCACTCAGCCGCGGAGGTCGTCAAAATTTAATTCAACTTTATAAAAAACCATAAACGAACATTTTAAAATTAGCTCTTGCCAAGAAGGTTGCGGTTATGCCATAACGTAATACCCTATTCCTCTTCTGCTGCTATCCCATTCGTCAGCTAGTCGACGCATACCTGCGCTCTGACTTTAATTCTGTATAGAAATAATCTATACTCAAAAGTATATATTGTTAAAAAGTGTGTCTGTCTGTTACCTCTTCAGTTGAATTCAATTTTGTGTGCGGAAAACAATGTGTTTATTTACGACTTTACATTAAAAATCACTAAAATTATCAGTGTTTTTCTTCTATATTATCCATGTATTATATATATAAACATATAAACCTTCCTCTCGAATCACTCTATCTATTAAAAAAACCGCATCAAAGCCGTTGCGTAGTTTTAAAGATCTAAGCATACATAGGGACAGACAGACAGGAAGCGACTTTGCTTTATACTATGTAGTGATTTAAAACGTTCACAACTAGGTGCGGAAGTCTGCCTGGTCTACCAGTTAATGTGCGGTGGCACGTTAGATCAAAGGCTGCGCAGGAAAATGAACATCGCCCCTCTCACGTGGTCGCAAAGGCACAGGATCGCGCACGGTGTTGCTAGGTAAGAATAACCACAGACACATACCGCTATTCTTGGCTTTAAACGACAATAACAATAAAAAAAATCACTAATTGCGTAAAATTAGGCTGTAAAAACGATAGAATTGAAACGAGTGGCCAGGCTCCATGCTTTACTGCCACCTAATGTGGTCTCAAAATATGACACCTTCGGTTTTCATCAATGTGAAAAACTGCCTGTTTTGCTTAAATTTAGGTCTGTTGAAATAACACTCATTTGGTGGCGGCCCGGACCCCGTGGAATTTGTTAAATGCTTAGAATATAAGAATACTGGTAGAAATTCGACACGGACATTAATTTAATACATCATAATTTACGTTAGCGCTACTGAAACTCATTTGGTAGTTACAAGAAACTAGATGGCGCAAGTGGTGAGCGCTATCTTGTTTTACAAAGACCCGAATAAATTACTCGCCCGGATAGTGAAGGGTGAGTGCGGGTTCGAGTCCCATCTGCTGCCTGGTCCGCGTGTATTTTTTTTCTAGTATAATTTTTCTTTCGTTTTAAACATAAATTAATCTTTACAGAGGCCTCCAATTCCTTCACACTATGTCTGGTACACCACTTATTCACGGGGACATTAAGCCCGCAAATATATTACTGGACCAATGCCTTATACCCAAGATTGGAGACTTCGGATTGGCGAGAAAAGGACCTTATGGCGACAACAGGTCGCATGTTAAAGTGTCAAGGTAATGTATTTGTTATTTACATATATCAAATCCAAATCTCATACTTTATACACAGTATTATTTAAGAAAAGATATGTATTTTTAACATGTAAGGTGCATGTTCTTGTTGGTAGTCCAAATAACAAAATAAAATTTACCTTATAAAATAAAATAAAACGAGCGAGCCTTACAGTAGTCGCGTATGATGTGAAACATTTGAAACCTCACCTTATATTAGTAAAAAAAGAAATAAAACCTACTACAAAAGAAATAAGCCATTTGAACATTATGTTCTAAAACCAAATCAAATAGCGCGCTCTTCCCAAACTTCCTGTTACACACTTCCGTGCCACTTCACGTAATCACTCCCAGAAATTGCACGAAAGCGAGAGGAAAGATGTTACATCAAAAAAATCAAACAGTAGGGAAAATTAATCTTATTATATGCCACGTGAGTCATGTACGGTCCAAATTTCGCAGCTGTAGATTTAGTGGTTTCAGCTTTGCGTTTAAGAATTAGTAAAGCGAAAAAAATATCTTTACAGAAATTGTAGAGTTTACTGCAGTTACGAAATCTTGATTATATCAGCAAAAAGCAAAAAAATATTGCGACGATTACCTCGTTTTGTTACCGGCGACTTTCATTTTCACTTGAATTGAATTTGAAACCTTGAATTTCCTAATCGAACTGATTACGTCTTTCTGATTAAGTAAAATAATCAAGAGTTGATACCTAATTCAAACATTTTTATTGTGACCTAAGAATAATTATTATAAAAATTTTCGTTGTTGAGTTTTTGCTTGCCGGTTCTTCTCAGTACAAGGTCTCTCGCCGTCGTTTTGCGATCCGATCGCGTAGCTTCTTGGCATTCACAAGTGTTTGTAACAGCCTAGACTGAATAAATGATTTTTGATTTTGATCTCCCTCGTTCAAACAAAGATTGTGTCCTAAGAATAGTTATTGTATGAAAGCTATAACGCCCATTCTTATCATATTTAAAATAAACTTGATAATAAGGTCAAATTGAATATACAGTATGTTCCATAATTTGCAGAGTGCACGGCACCCGTCCGTACTTGCCCGACGAGTACATCCGATCGGGCTGTCTCTCTCCCGCAGTAGACGTGTTCAGTTACGGGGTCGTAATGCTAGAAATAGCCACTTGCCTCAAGCCCATAGACAACACGAGGTCTATTCAACGCCTCACGGATTTCATGAGGATCGAAACGGACAGAGCTATGGATACAGGTATGGGGGTTTAGTTGTTTGTTTTTTGTACTTAAATACTTTGAATAGAATAGAATAGAATACTCTTTATTTGCATTAAATAGGGTTGACAAAAGGTGTTTGCATATAAAGCATATGTTAAAAGCTAAGAATCTTAAACCTATTTAGCCATATTAATAGCATGCAAAAAAATCTAACATATTAAAACATAACTTAAAAATTTACCTATCATTCATTGAATAACAAGTATTTTATCATTATAATTTCATTTCAATTTTATGTCAATATTAATTACAATTCCCAATGTCAGTTGAAAATAAATTATTTTATGTCAATTTACTGTCATATATATATAATACTAGCTGACCCAGCGAACTTCGTACCGCCATAAAAAAATAGGGGTTGGTGGTAGAAAGTTGAAAATTTAGGGATGTATGTATTTTTGTATGATGTATCATAAAAAAATAAAAAATATATCTAAAATTGAAAAAAAAATGGGGCATTTTTGGCAGGATTTCATCGAGTGCGGTTGACATCTTATTTTAATTATTCTTAAATTCGTTCATAGTGGATATTGTGAAATAAAATTGGTGTGGTTTTGTGTAGCAACTGTCTGCGTAACTGAAGAATTAGTGGAATCATTAAATTATACGCTATTCCGGTCAAGTGGACGTGAGAATTTTATTGTAGTGTTGACTACCTCACAGAAGCTTATCGAAAAAGCCAACTCGATACATTTCGTGCCAAACACTCCAAGAAACATTAGAATGCGTCACACCGACATTCTAATGTAAAAACAAAAAGAAGATAAATTTAATTAAAGACTAGGCTGTATGGGCATTGTTCCCTTTGCCTTCCCTAAAACGGGAGAACTTTAACAAAAAAAAAATTTAGGGGTGGATTACCCTTAACATTTAGGGGGATGAAAAATAGATGTTGTCCGATTCTCAGACCTACCCAATATGCACACAAAATTTCATAAGAATCGGGAAAGCCGTTTCGGAGGAGTTTAACCGCAAACACCGCGACACGAGAATTTTATATATTAGATATATATAAAAAATAAATATGTGGCACTATACTACTAATAATAATAAAAAAATGGGTGCGTGTACTTATGTAGGCGCGTGAGAAGTTATCCTTCGATGGCATCGTTTAAAATTAGTTTTTAATTGCATGCATATAATTAATTACAATAAATTAATAAAAAGTCTGGAAAAGGACACAGTCAATAAAGTTCAGTTTTAATTTGAAAAAATAAATAAATAATCAAAATATTCAATTAAAATCGCTACTGAATATAATTTATTAGAACATATGTGATTTGCACTTGTATGAAACTCAAACACGTATTCCGAATATACAAACTAGAAACATGTGGATAAATATTATAAATATGAATAGGTACCTATAACTGTTACTTTATTACAAAAAATAAAGATGTGGTTCTTGGTTCTACTACACCAATGGTCAAGAGATGGCGCTGTAGTCTCCTGAATCGCGCTTTGGTTCCGTTGTTCCAGATTAATAAATACTTTTGATAGGCCTTCACAATGCAGTCGTTAGCACCGACTAAATAGAGATTCTATTTCTATTTTGTTGGTAGATTTTCTTAATGTGCGATAAACACAAAAGTAACGCATGAAGTTGGTCGCAGTGATACAGTGATGCGCGCGCATCTTAAAATTTCACTCTCATCATTTTTTCATAACGCGCCTAAAGAAGTATAACTTCAATAAAGTTAAGCTGTCCGTCCGGTCGTCTTACAGCGGGTTTATTAGTATTTCAACTGGCTTCTGTGTTTATATTATTGTCATAAGAACAAATACGTGTTAAAAATGACTATTTTCAAATATCGTTAAAACAACAACAACAAAAATGCTTATATTTATTACAAGAAACATGTTATTTTCGTAGTTGTGTTGCTCTAAGTAATTTTATAATCGCTGCAATGGAAATTCAATGAAAACGTTAAACCCTTTTACAATCGTACGAAGCTCTTTTTAAGTTCGACTCGCATTTGTTTGTTTTTGGTTTTTAAATGACTACAATAGTAGGGTATACAATATTATTTTCTATTCTATATCTACGTCGATTATAAACATGCAGTAAAATTGGGTGATCTTGTAATCTCTTAAGTGCTAACTTTTAAATTCTCAATCCCTCCCATGATTTTGTATTGACACCGTAACAATATACTTTTTAAAGAAAAGTTTTACAAGAAAAAAATACCACGCGGACCAGGCAGCGGACGGGAGTCGAACCCGCACACTTCGCCTATAAAGGGGTACTTGTGGGTTATCTACAATGCCAAGACCATCTCTTGCGCTTGAAGACCGCTGCCTTGCAGCTTAAGGCTAGGAAAATTTGGACGCGGCCATCAGGGCCGTGGTAGCATAATTGGTCAGTGCATTCGCCCCGATTGCGAAGGGTGCTGGTTCGAGTCCCGTCCGCTGCCTGGTCCGCGTGGATTTTTTTTCTAGTAAAACTTTTCTTTAGATTTAAACATCTAGCAGTTAAATGCTCAAAAAAATAAAAACAATATATTTTTTTTGTAAATATTGTTCCATAATTAATTAACGCTGTGTTAATTAATTATGGGTGCTAAACTGGTGTTAGGGGAAAAATATGGACGATTCAAAAGAGTTGTATTTTTCATCCAATTTGAATAAAGATATTTTGACTTTTGACCGCAGCCATATACGAAGACCCTGCTCTTCAAGGAACTCCAAACTCCAACCCTCAAGTGTGCCGAGATTTCATAGACATTGGAATACATTGCACAAAGTATGCCAGACATGAAAGACCCAATATGCTAGAAGTTTACAAGAAATTAAACGGTATGATAGTACCCGGGAAACCAGCTATGCAATAATCGGTATGTATGATACTTTATTCTTGAAAAATTTATCGATTAAAATCATCTTAAACGATGCTTTTGTCATTAGGTCAAAGTCGTTACAGGTTAGTATCGTTTGCAGAATATCGTTGTTAAGTTAAGATATGTCATATTAATATGCAAGCGATATATCAGCCTAAAGTGGCAGCCTAATGAATTTCTTTGCCTGTAATTTTCCATTTATGTTCTATTTTATAATTATTGAATAAGTCAAAGTTATATATTCAAAGTAGCCGTATCGAATTAGATAAAATATTTTTATGATTGATAATGAATATAGGTATTTATTTGACTTTCTCTAAGTAGCGTTACGACACACGCCATGGCGAAATTAATTTAATTGTGTTTACAAAACTGAATTCATAATATCTTAGTTTTAAATTATAAAATACGTTTACTGTAAGTCGCTATAGCTTTGTCGCCATCGTATTATTATTATTTTGTATTATTATTTTCTTTCGTGAAATTTATAAGATATTGTTGGTGCAACTTAAAACCAAATGTAACATCAGTCTCTCCTTTTCATTCTGCATAAAGAATGACAAAGATACACTACTGTCAAACGTAATCTTAGGTTTAGATAATCATGCCAGAATAGACACCATTACCTATAGTTTTTAAATGTATAAATGGTATGTTATGCTTTTTGATATCAAATAATTTTGTGAGTTAATACTGTTTCTTTATTTACAATACAAAGACAATATTTTGCTTTAACTAATTAATAAGTGTGGCCGTGATACTTATTCCTTTAAAACCAGCATCCGCTCAATTACTATAGTTCTTAAGCCAATTATTATAAAGACGTATTTCATAATAGCAAAGAAAGAAAGTACTCTACTATTTACAACTTTAAGTGAACTCCAACTTTTCTATATATAAAAGAAATGATAATTCAATCAGTTCTGTATAAAGCGTAATTATAAGTTCAATCAATAATCTTCTGTAATGATAAAAAATAATAAAAAAACCTTTCGATAATGGTTGTGTAAAAAAGTTCTAATCCATGAATTTTTTTACTTAGTGTATATTATTTTTTAAATGATACTGTGAAGTAATTTGTCATAGTAATTAAATTGATATTTTTGCCCTTAAAAGGTAACTTTCACAAAAATGCATTTTATAAATTATTAGAAGATAAACTTTAATGAATATAATGTCTTCCATAATTATGCCTTATTATGTTAACAATGTTTTTATATCTAATCGTGTTGGTGCCTTGTTAAATGACTGAATTATTTCAAAATAATACATTTTTATGCAATATTATAAAATTATTTTTATTTATCAACATACCCTCTTAATATAAGCTACGTCATAAGATATTGGTTTTAAAATTATATATAAAACATGGATACAAAAATATATAAGACAATTAAATATAGTAAATAAATAAATAATCATATTGACTAATTAGATTCTTAACATCAAATAACAAATAATTGTAAAATTTACGAGGACAATTATATCAAATTTCTTTCTTTTTACACGCTTAAAAGCTTTAAGCAATACCTACTGTTATGTATCTATCACAAGGACTAAATCAAAATGATATTTACAAATTGATGCTGGTGCATTCCCAATTTCAAAACGTCTAAAAAAAAATTGTTACCGCCTATCAACCCCAAGACAATTAATAACAATTTCTCTAACATAATTTTTTCTTACTACCTATTTTGTTTTCAAAACACCATATTATCCACAAAAGGTCTATATTCCGGCTTAAGAGTGCGCGTGGCCACTAAGTCCTTGTACCATAACGCCGATTGCCTAGCCTTCCTCGGCCTTGCATCGTCTTCATAGTCGACCTCGAATATTCCAAATTTTATACTGGAACGAAAAGTTATGTATATTATACTAATTGGCGTTAAAAAAATAACATTTCGCCGTTGAAATCTAAATGTATAGGTATGAGCTACTACCTGTGCTCTGTCGGATTGGTGGGCGTCATAGAATATAAAATGGATTATTTGACACTGTAATTGACTTTTTAGTAAACGTTTAAGTTTACTAGAATATAAAATTAGAAAAAAAAGGATAATTTTCTAGAATAGATCATTAAGAAGTGATACGCTTATGGTTTGTTTAGCTTTAATTTTCTCATTTTTGTTTTCCGTGTAAAAAAAACATTATTCCGGAAAAAGTACCAGGATGGTCTTCTGTCCTCAAATGGCTGAGGTTCTAGTTATGAACATTGAAAAATTCTTTGTTTAATATCTGGTTATGCAAAAACTTCTCACCAACATTGAACTCTTGGCAGAAGGGAGGCTCAATATTCCGGGTGACGTGTAAAACCGAACTATCGCAACTGAAAAGTTTCAGTAATTCGGTCTACCGGAGGCTTTAAAGTTGGACGAAGAACGCTCACAGTCCATTCTCTGCTGTATGACGTCCACCAATCCGATAGCACCAGCGTCGTGACTATTAAGGTCTTTACCTACTTACACGAATCCGCTTCCACCCGGAAAAAAGAATATTGTTAAATATTGCTCTTTAGATATACTTTACATTGGCAACATAAATGAGCAGACAGCTAGCTGTCAGCGAGCTAACCGCCGTCAGACTGCCCCGTAGTTGATGCCTCGCTTACCACACGTTGCAAGCAAGCGGTCTGCGCGCTGTCTGCGGATTACTACCAAGTTGACGACCTCCGTGACCTGGTTTATACGCTGGGTTTCATGGTGACGCCGACTCGATAGGTCCTGGGTTCGAATCCCGGTGGGGCAGATGTTTCTGTAACGAGCATTTGTACTCCAGACACGGATGTCTAATATGTATTTCTATATAAATATACTTATATATGTACAATATATGTATTATATCCGTTACCCTAGTATCTCATAACACAAGCCTTACAGTGGATACTTTGAGGCTAGGCTAATTGGAGTGAGTGTTGGAAATATTTATTATTATTTATTTAAGTAATCCGCTGACAGCTAGCTGTCGCCGCGTGGACTGTGTAGTCGCCTTAGTTTAGGGCGGTGTTAGTGGGAGCGGGATTTTTAGACCTTTGTCTCTATCTTCTTAGGTTAACTGACACAAAACTGACAACTGATTTAGAACTTCAACTCGTTAGAATTACGATCCATAATCGATTATATTTTTGTAATTTGCTGTGTCTTTAAAAAGCTTACCATACTCAATGAGTCCCCACCATCAACATTTACCTTAACCCGCTGCTCCATTCAAAGTTATCCATGATACTCCACAGAGTGTAACAAAGGACGTTACATCCATCTACCTCCACAGCGTCCAATATGGAGTCCATATATTTTATAAGATAAGATATTCTCTCTTCGTCATACAAGCCAGCGAGAGTGCCAAAACCGTTCTCTGTTATCATTATGGGCGGATTGTTGCAGTTGTCCTTGACCCATTTCAGAGCTTTCCTTATACCTTGAGGAATAGCCTGGCGAGAAAATGAAACGAAAAGAAATGTATGACAAAGGTTCTAAAAGCAGTTGATAATGAAGAAATAAGTACATCGAAATTTCAGTCAGTGTAGTCCTCACGAGGTAAACATAGGCAGGTCAATGTGAGCTATGGGAAGATTACCAAAAAAACAATGGGACCATAAGCATAATTTCATACACACAAAGAAGAGCTGTTAAAAGTGACAGTGACGGTTTCACTAAGTGGGAGAATGCCATGGTTAGCTCGTACGTCATGCTCGTGAACGGTTACTGTTTGCGGAGCTGAGCTGTGGCCGAGCTGAGCGTTGACTTTATACTTACTACCTATCTGATTTCGCAAGAAGATTATATACTCGAAGCACGGTGAGGTGTAAATATTTTAGGTGGTGTATTACCTAGGTACCTAATTATTTTTTCTTCGTATCGTAATTAAAGTTTTGTTATATTATCTGTGTCAGCAGAACAGCACTTATATGCTCTCACATCATCATAATCCTATTAATGTCCCCACTGCTGTGGCACAGGCCTTCTCTATGAATGGAATAGAGAGACTGGGCTATGACCCACCACGTGGCTCCAGTGCAGATTGGTGGGTGCTATCGACTGCAAATGCAGCCGGTATCAACATCATAACGTGCCTTCCGAAGCACGGAGGAGCTCGAGATAGTAAATTATTGATCACCCATCCAATGACCCTCAGCGCTTTTACATTCACCCCTCAATAAAATTGGCAGAAAGATTTATGTACGGGACGCCGGGCTGTCGCAGTAGCGGACAGTTACCGACTCGTACTGCGGGGTGGAGGAAATTACACGCAGGAGTCTTGACGGCGATAGTGGACTGTAGGTTCGGTGAATAAAACCCCTGGTGTTCGGTATTGAAGAAATCGGTGGGCGCTGACAATGATGGCCGGTGAGAGGAGGCTTCAGGTCCAGAGTGAACCGCTTGTTTCTTCCTGTTCCTTAGGGTAGGAGCGCCTGTCGCTGAATGCATGTCGGAGCCTGTTCCGATGCGAATTTTATATGCTAGGACTGAGCTGGCCAGCGATCCATTACCTCACCCCCGCTATACTTTATTTTTCATTTACTCAAAAAATACATAGGTGCGAGCTTAAAACTATACGTACATACATTAGGCATACAAATAGGCATATTTTTAGCGCAGTTGCGCGTCCGTAAGCATGATATTTTAGGTGTGGCGCGCAAAAAATAGGTCTCCGCGATATTTATATTTTCCCCCTCCACAGGGGCTTCGCCTTGCCACAGGGCTCCGCTGCCCCACCCACGCGCTCTGCGTGCGCCGGGAGGGGAGCGCGAAATGTTTTAGGAGATCGTTCTATACAAACTAATTTTGCCTTATATTTGGTACATTTCTATCTTTATCGTCTTGATGCCTATTTATTTATGTAGTCCTATGCGTTATCTATCTAATACAATAAGTTTCTAATAAGAATAATAACAAACAACGGCTCTATAGCCCTATAAAGTTTACAATTTTAAAAGTCATAAAAAACCTACTTACATTCATTTAATGCCTAACTATTATACATCATTCTATAGGGCAAGTGAAATTATACAAAATAAAAGCTTTATTAATAAAATTATACCTATAACCTATCAAATATTCATAAAAAACTATATTTAATGTTTCCCTTAATTACGCCTAAACTATTAAACTAAAAACGATCTAAACAAAACTTTACTATCTTAATCCTATTACTAACTTTTTCCTAATAAGATATAAAACAAACCAATTCAAACATAATTACATAATATTTTCGAAGACTATCAACTTAGGCAAAATCTTATAAGACTGCTAGAAAGAGACAGCCTATCGTCTCTGTCCCTCCTATCGGTCCGAACTATCATATTCTAGTATAGTTTCCCTGCGCCACCGCTTGGCGTCGCGGCGATCGATTAGACAAATTCTTGTAAGATTATGGGTTAGAAAGAGACAGAATATCGCTTTGAACTATCAATTTTACAATCAATTACTATGAGTGACGCTCTCTATTATTGCGATATCCGACTCATTCTAATGAAACAACAAGGAAATAACATTTTTATAATGTACACATCCGTTACATGTGAAATTATAGACACATTTTACAAATCAATCTCGTTTCGACGTAAACTTTATTCCTTCTCGCTTCGGTCGTCGCGTACAATTTAAATGGTAAGATATATTGCTATGGATACTCCCTTCCGGGTCGCGACGTGTTGCTTCAAGTAACTGGTAAGTAAATGATATATGAAAATGAAAATGGTTTTCATTTCCCAAAGAGTCAGTTTACAGTTCAAGTTGAGACAACCCAGAAAGTAATATAATTAATACTTGTGTTGGGATGCCTCGCTCTTAGCCTAGTGCAGTTAACAAAATTTGGGCACATAACAAAACTAATTTCTTAAAGTATTGTATAAGTGTGGGTGTGTATGAATGTGTGTGTGTGTGTGTTTGTGTATGTGTGTGTGTGACTGTGTGAGATAGAGAGTAAGTGCGTGAATGTGTGTACAGTTGTATATATATTTAATTTCGAGTACGACCATTATGTTATTCTTTTTAAAATTAATTCCGTGTCTTCATAGTTAAGTATATAATTTACTCACAGTTAGGGTTACTATTTATAATGTTGAAAAGTCCAGACAAAAAGCCTGACATTTCGATAAAAGTCCGGACATTTTAGTCACAAAATGCAAACATCACCCACTTTGTTGCAGTGATTTTATAAGCGTGGTAGCAGACGCTCGCAGGTCTCGTTGTTGATTTTTAAAGGTAATTTATATTTTGTTTTTAAATTAATGAGAACTTAATAAAGGTTATGTGACTTATTTGATATAACTTAATAAGTAGCTTTACTCATATTCCAGCTAATTAAAAAAAGCCTGACAAAAAATGTCCGGTCAAAAGGCAAAAAGTCCGGACAAATCCGGACGGATGGTAACCCTACTCACAGTGCAATGCGGTAGGATGGCAACTTCGTAGTCTAGCAGTGACCACACAGCTCCGAGGTCATCGTCGTACGATGGTACGGGATACATTCCTTCCTTATAAGTCTTGCGCGTGTAAAACTTCGTGGAGTAATGATTAAAGCCGTAGAAATCACTCGTCCCTTCAACAACAGTTGAAAGTTAAAAAGGTTTTATTTGGCTTGCGGCGCAAGTATTGTAGATGTAAAATTCATATCGGTGTCGATTCTGGCGTGATTTTTTTTAACTTAAAACAAAATTTAACATCTGTCATTTCTTTTCATTCTGTAAAGAGGATGACAAGGAATAAGTACACTGTTGTCAAATTTAAATTTAGAGAATCATGCCAGAATCGACACCATCGACAATTCTTTCTTAGTTTAAGTTTATTGAAAAATATGTATATAGCATTTTAAAGTCAATGTCTGGTATTGAATAGCTAGTAATCATTAAACTGGTTGATTTATAAATCCAAAGAAACTTTACAGGATAAAATCCATTCTTTAAAAATTTTACTAGTAGAAATTTATTTTTGTGAAATAATGTCTAAACATCTGTCTTTAAACAGTGGAAAGTGATCGTTATTATTAAATTGCTTACCTTTGACAAATTCGATTTCATCCTTACTGAACTCTGGCAATCTACTCTGTGGGTATCCCTGCTGCTTACTCTTCTCTTCTACCAATTTCACTACTCTCTCTGGAAACCCACCTTTATCAGTGAATATCGGGTGACTGTAGAGGCCGACTTCGAAATCCATGGCGTCTAAGCCGGCTTGGATATCTTCTGGTTCATCTGTCTGGCCTTCGCGAAAATCTGTAGCTATTGTTATCCCAATGGTACCTAGAATATCATCAGCATTATCATTTCATGATAAACTCCTTGATATAGAATTACTGGGCCAGCGTAGATTAGTCGGTTCCTAAAGGTGTAAACCAGACCGAATCAACAAGTTTACTGAGATGAGTATAAATTTTGGAAAACAATCATGCTAACCTTAAAATAAAAAAATAACAATTGAATAAAAAATGCACCTTTTATTTTCTAGAGCAAGAAACATTTAAGTAATCGATTTAAACGCGTTTCCACTAAAATGTTTTCTGGGAATCGCGCAAAGTCACGTGTGATAACATTGCCTTTAATCACCTGGGCCAGGCTGCTATTGACTCCTCCCCCTTACAAAGTTCTTGACTGCACCTGAGTACTTACCTAATTCACCATAACTTCAAAAACAACTTGATCACAGCGAAATAAAAGTTGATTTACCGTTTTCTTTGGCCCTGTACTCTTTGTCATACAGATGCCAAGCCCTCGCGTGCGCCATAAGCATATTCTTCGCACTCAAATACTCGCCGATGCCATGCGCGTTTATTCCTGGCGCAAATCTTCTCGTCCCGTAACCATAGAGGCCGATTTGCTTCGGCTCATTCAACGTGATCCATGTCTTTACCCTGTCCCCATAAAGGTCGAACAGAACACGAGCGTAATCTTCAAACCAATCAGCTATGAGAGGATTTGTCCAACCGCCTAAATCCTGGAGATTCTGAGGCAAATCCCAATGGTACATCGTCACAACTGGTGTGATACCATTAGCTAAAAGTTCGTCGATCAAATTATTGTAATACGCGGCACCGTCTTTGCTTATTTTATTGGCGAATCCGTTTGGCAGGACCCGCGGCCACGATATAGAGAATCGGTAGAACATGACGCCTAAAAAGTGTAACATAGCGACATCTCTCTTGTAGTATTCGTAGGATTTGCATGCGTCTTTAGCTGTCGTGTTGTCTGCGATTGTGCCGGGTATGTCGCCGAATGTGTCCCATATGCTTAATGATTTGTCTGAAAAGTTGGTAAGTAGGTACCTAATATGATTAATAAATAAAAAAATAGATAAACTTAAAAAAAGTAGAAATGATCGGAAGGAAAAACTTTAATCTTCCGCTCAATTGTTTCGTCCCTGCCTTCATTCGACTGGGAATCAAATCTGCAACCCCAGTTTTGTTATAGTCAAATTTGAACAATAATAAGAGAATAGTGGACAGATAATTGTCGTTAAAAATAAACAATTTCTGTGTTATAAGATTACCCCCCACGCTAGAATAATTCTCCAGTATCGTGTCGGTATATAAGTAACGGTGGTGGCATTGGTGTCTCGCCCACAGGCAGGTCAATAATAGGATATGCTTATTTGTCCACGTTTTATATAACAATAATAATAATTTACCTGTGACATTCCAACCACCCTCGATTTGATATGCAGCTGAAGCTACGCCCAACTGCATACCTTCCGGTAGTACTCGCATCATCTTGAAGGATTCCAATTAATTATAAACTATCTCGCTCCGTAGATTATCTTAAACACCATATCTTTTCAGAATAAACTGATATCACGCACAAACATAATATATATTAAGAGTCGTATGCAAAACTGAATAACTTATAACCATTTTCGTGCGGGCTGAATATCAATCAATTTACAGATAAGATAAATATAAGTTAGTTTATTGTTATATTTTTCACTTAAGATTTAAGTTTTCATTGTAAATAAAAATTACGATTATAAACATAAACGCAGTGGTAAATATCAATTTTTAAAATAATGTATTTCCTTATAATCAATGATGTTTTTTATGTAATAATATAAATACTTCATTGTCAATAATATACTTCTTTTAGATATAATTATTGTTTATTCATTTTTATATTTTTGCCTTTCGTAACTTTTTTCAGTATATGACATTTTAATTTTAGTAATATCATTACTATTAGGTGCAGTTTAATAACAATTATATTAGCGTTAATTCTGCAACACAGTTTTTGTAAAACTAAAGCAGTTTTAACGATTCATAATTTTATGTACATTGCACTTGTTCCAAATAGTTATTATTATTATTATATTAATAATATAGTTCACGATTAAAATAACTCTGAAGCGATTCTGTAGCATATACTTTCCTTTCGAGTGTGCTAAAAAATGTCAATGTCCTTACCATAGACGTAATCATAATTGAGAATTAAATAAAAAAGGAAATTTGTATCAATTATTTTCATTTTTAATGAGTTGCGCCAAGATATTTGTCATGAATTAGTTTTTGAGCATTTCGACGGAGGGCCTACTTACTAGAATAATACCTCGTATTGGCATTTTGACTAGTTCTGCTTTTACAGCTTGCCAAATAAACTTACCTTAAATTTTGACCAAGAACTGATTGGATTTTCTTTATTTGTAATCATTCGACAGAGCTCAAACTTTACGTAGTCCTACAAATTACCTTCTAAATATTATCTTTCATCAAAATTATTAAGTATGGAAATTGAAGCGTTAAGTCTGAGAGTTTTATTTCGGTGAGTCATAGCGTTCGACTTACAACAGTTACAAATTTATCCTTCTAGCTACAATTGTTTTAAGGGCCGTGCTACATCTTTATGTAAACGAAACCTACATTTTCCACAGTGGCCTCTCGCAGGGCAGGCACATACGATAGATTTTCATTTTGTGTCGATCTTTATTAGTACTTCAGCAGATATAATATTATAAATATTCTTCATAGACTTGTAAACAAGAAATCGAGAAATACCAATTTAGAATGCAATACAACAAAACGTGACTAGCGCTGAACAAAACGCGGAGGGAATAGATGCATGGGTACGACTGGAGAGCCAATCGGCACAACGCACGCCCACCCGCGCGCACCTAGTTTCCCCCCAAGACATCTAATTTTTACTTCTGCGCAATAACGGTCAGCGCTAGTTTCGTGCCGCAACTTATACACTACCTTCATCTCTGTATAAGATGATGTTCTAAAGTCATTTTTTTATGAAATTTGGCACCTAACTATATATAGAAGCTACTGTAGTTTACCATATACTAAAAATAAATAACGCTGATGCCAGCACCTCTCTTGGCTATTCGTGTTTGCTATTACCTAGTGAACTTGACATCAGTCTGTCCTTCTCATCCCTTATAAAGCATGATAAAGACAGACTGTTGATAAGTTTACAAATAGCAAATACGAATAGCCAAGTGCCGGCATGACAATAAATGAAATTGTTAACTTTTTATTACTTAAAATATTCAAGCAACGTCATGAAATCCTCCTACAGTCTTTAGTACAATGAGAAAAGGAAACGTTGAGTGATATTTGTGGAGTATTTTAATAAGTAAAAGACTTTGAATCAGTCAAAATATATATACTTTATTTTAAACACTGGCATTTCATAAAAGACTATTGTCATAAATACACACCACTGCTCTTCCACCCATTATCAGATACTCAAAGCGCAGAAAATGTTGTTTACTAAAGTTAAACATTTATCCCCTTCATAATAAAAGAAGAATAAGCTTGGATTACTTACTTCATGTTTTGTCTCTGTTCATTTAATGACAAATGGCATTTGAATGACTGGAAAAAAAACTGGTAACTATAGACCGGTTAACTGAGTCCTCGCCTGCGGGGTAAAGGGTGTGGGGCAGGACGAAAACGGGGACCGTGAGAGGTTTTATAAAAACAGCTGTTATCTCACTGGATGGCCTCTGGCTTATAATTATGTTTGTTTACATCGTCGCCTTAACCAAGAGAGAAATCTTTCTAATCTGCGCTTCGATAAAATGTCCCTTATTGCAGATATTTAGGGTCGAGTTTTCAATACTCAGACGTTTAAAGCTTTGGCGCAGAAAATATTGATTTTAACTAGGTAACAGCTTAATAGTGAAGTCTAATTGCAGTTAAGAAGAAGAAAAACTAAAATAGTTAAAATGGTGTAAACATAAATTTTCAAACAATAATATTAGGGTTCATGTGAGGTTTAAAATTCGGATTATAAATAATAGCAAATAAGCTTTCGCTTTAAAATTATATTAGCCAAATACATTAACACTTACTTTTATATGCCCTTTATAATAATATACCTATGAAAAATATTCATTAAATTATATTAATTGTTACGATTTTTAAGTGAGGCAATTTTAATAACTCCTTTTTTGACGTCTTATTAAAATAGAATCCAAAGATATTCATGTAAATAATAATATTAACAATTACATTCTTGTCATTAAAAATAGTACATTGTCAGTCAATTTAAAAATTGATGCCCTAAATAGTCCTCATACATAAACCATTCACATGGCATGAAAGTATTTACTGTCAATTATTTTGTCAACAATTACATAGTTCAACACGTTTTAGTTAATACTGTATGTATCCTATCGTTATAAATTACAAGGATTAGATATGAAGTGATAACATTCAACATAAGTAATATTTATTTAATCTGGATAACAAGTGAAACAATGATATTAATTTAACCTTAATGGAATAATCCCTTAATTGTGGGTGTTAACATAATCTATTAAACATGAGCACCTATAATTCCATAGAGATCCGATTTTTCCAAACGAGAAACCGGTATATATGTAAATATTAATAATAAACCCACTAATAATATTAATTCATATAGGTATTAATTACATAACACATAGAACACACAAAATTCAGATATTTATAGGTAATAAATAACATAGGTGAATGCTTATTTCGAATGAATGAATGTTTTATTTGCTTCATTTCTGAGTACGTAATGATTTTTAATTCTAAAGTTAGTTACGTATGTGTTATAGAATTATATGAAGGAAGTAAGGTAAAAACTCACGCAAATCTGAATCAGAAACCCTGATCCTTCTTGCAATTAGACCTGCGTTATATCATTTTCAGAGTTCCGTACTCAAAGCGTAAAAATGGAACTTAATAGCTGTCACTCTGTCTTCAGTCTGTCTGTATGTCACAGGTCTCTAAATAGTAAACGGAATGAGTTAGCAAATTCATAATATTTGTCATTTTAAGCCTCAAATTGACTAATAAATTTCAGCTTAAATTTCCGTTACCCGAGTAATTTTTACCTCTTTTAACGAAAAAAGTAAAATGGATAACCTCCATTTTTATTACATATCGGTTAAATAATTAAAACAATCACACACACCTTCTGCATACAACACACGCATATAATTTCACAATGGCATAAATATAATATTTAGATCATCTATTTGAATACTATCACTGGATTTAACAGGAAATTAAGTATATACTTGGTTGATACTGAGCAGTCGTTCAATATCGTTCTAAACAAGTCTGAGAATTTCGTCGTTTGAGGCGCTTTAGTTGTGATAGTACCGCTTGCTTCTTTGCAGTCCACGCAATGTATTTCATGCCCCCTGATTGTCATGTCTTTGCTTCCTATATTGTATTCGTCTTGGTCGTTGATTAGTACACCTTTAAATCTGATTTTATCGTCTGATCTGAGCAGGCGTGTGAAATTTGTGAAGTAGTGGTCGAAAATAAGTGTGGTTTCTGCTTTTCGCTTCAATATGCCACCTCCGGCTTCTAAGAGCAGTTTCACTTCGTAAGTATACCTGTTGATGGTAAAAATACATGTTTTGAATGTGCTTCAACTCTATTAACATGGAAATGAAAGAATGAAATGAAAATGTAGACTACAATTTATTCATGGAAATGAGATATAACTGGAAGAACCAATGGCGCAAGTGATCAGAGTGTCCAGTTTGCGATCGTGGAAGGTCTACTTTCGTTCGGAATAAACGATCATTGGATGGGTGATCTGATATTAATTATTTCGAGCTCCTCCATGATTCAGAAGGCACTGTATGTATCCATAATTAAATGAGAATTGGAAAGCAAGCTAGTAACATATTTGACGGTAAAGTTTCCAATTAATAATACAGTAAATTATACTCACTCGTCCAAGTTGTGAAGGTGGCAACTTTTACCGCTTTGTCTAGCCACGCTTCGCACAAACTCGCACTCTTTTGAATCTAAACCTTGCGCTCCATTGCATAAATTCGAATATTCCTCGCCGTAATAACACTTGAAGTACTCCTTCAAGAAGCCGGGTAGCCAGGAAGCGAAGTAATTCCATCTGTTCACGACGTTCTTTATCTTTACGTCTTTGATGTAACCCTCCCAATTTACGTTGGCACCTTCAAGCACCGAGCATTTAATTTGCGTTTGCGCAGTGTTATAATCCGCCCAAGATGGGGAGTTGCATTGGCTGTAGTAATCCTCCCAATTTATATGGTAAGTGTTGTCGTCATAGTCGGTTAAAAATTCGTTTTTGAGTAAGTTCTTTATGCTGGATTTCTCTTCGCCTATAAGTTCTAAGAGGCCTGAAGGTAAGCCGTCGTCTTGAACGTTCGATATGAACTGATTGCCGAAGTAGACTAGAGTAAACAGGCCGATTGCGAGCTACAAAATAAATTAATATTTGTATTTAATTGAATAAATAACATCATATTTTTATAACCATTCAAAAAGTGATTTATTTAAATTAATAATTCGTTTGCTTAAAAAAAAATAACAAATAAATATAATTATGTTGTGACCTAGATTGTAATCACAATTTTACAAATTTTCAAATTTAGAGTCACATTTAACTTTCTTATTGTATTTAATAATAAACAAGCAATAATTAAGTTCTGTGTCCTCACCTGAAAAGGTGTGACGAATTTCTTCGTGACTTCAGACTTGGCCAACAGACAACTAACAAAGAGACTCAAAAGGAATCCAACGACAATCGAAGCGGTATACAAAACTCTTGACAAAGTTATGTATTGTAAGAACGCGATAACAGGCAACGATACAGTCACTATTCCTAATAGTGGCAAGAATAGGAATGAACAAACAAGAGCCAAAGTGCCCCTTATAAGCCCATAAGTTGTACATCCATGCGAACACATAATAAACATTTGCAACCAACTTAAAGTGACACAATGGGGCATCGCGTACTTGAAGAAGCCTTGCCAATGACTCCGCTTCGCCATAACGACCAAAATCATCGGTATTAATAGCGAAAAGAAAACGCGGGCGTTCAAGCAAAACTCGATGCTATTCCCGAGAATATACGACGGATAATTGGATATGTGCAAGTCCAAAAATCGCCAGCCTTGGTGGACGACAGTGTCTTTTTCGTACGGGTATTTCGCTAGCACATTGATCGCGAAGGAAACCAAAGCTAGGATATCCGGGTAAGGACTACCATTGGTGCCGAAGGAGAAAAGAGTGAGGAACATGAGAAAGAAGGACAGAACACAGAACTCCGAGAACGGCACCCATTGAGTCGCTATGAACGGGTATAGGAACAAATTCGTGAACAACGCCAAGAAGAACTGAACAAATGGCCCCAAATTGTTGCGAACGAAAAGATTCTCCGATTCATCAGGTTGGAGATTACCTTCGCTGTACCTCAAGAATAAACCTGACCACTTTCTGAAGTCAATAAACTGCCTTTTGGCGTGTAACATCTTGAATGTACAGATGACCATTGCGACGAAGCTAACATAGTATAATATCAAAGGTACTAAATGGTAGAGGCTGTCAGTGCTGACAGAGAGATACGCTATGAGGAGAAGCGACAATTCGATATTCGACAGTCTGAAGGAAAACGTTGCGAAGTAATAAAGTAGTTTGAGATAGAGGACTTGTATGAATACTATGGGATGTAAATAGGCTTGTTGGAACAGTGGAATGTGATCTAAGGCTTTGAGACTGGGATCTGTGAGCGTTAACTCGTATGTGACTAGAGGGAGTTCGCCTTGGCAATAGTCTACGGCGGCTGAAACTAGATTGTCTACAGTGAGGTTGCGAATGTCTTCGTTGGAGCTGCTGGGCTGTGGGTAATCTGCAAAGGAAAGTAGGCTTTACTTATTAAGAAAACAGTATGTTTTTATAATATTTTAATATAAAGCAGAAAGATAAAAATAAAGATATTAAAGGGCAGGTACATATTTATTTCTTAAGTAGTAAGGAATTAGGACAAACCTAAATATTTTTAGTAAAGATTTTTTTTGGATATAAGAACAGGACGTATCCAAAATAATATTAACTGGCGGTCGCAACTTCGACAAACAAGCTTTAGCGTCGGGACTTTACCATAACTTCACATTGGGTATGCATTATTATTGGTGGTCCTTTGTCTATCTGACTATAAAGAAAAACTTTTACCCACGCGCCATCCTAGTTTTACTTTCGCTACAAAAAAAAATGTTCGTTTCCGTTACCAGACAGGCAGGTGCAACTTCTGCATTTATTGATAAAGTCAAGATCGAAGACATGACATGTATGGATTAAAGACATGAAGCATATTTTACCTTTGCTATGGGATAACATCAACAACAATACAGTCATATCAACATAGTAAAATATCTAATGATACACTTTATAGGAGCTCGATAGCGCAGGTGGTTAGCGCATTTGATGGTTAGCGCATCATGAAAATTAAGCAACTTTCGCAATGGTCGGTCATTGGATGGGTGACCAAAAACTTATTATCTCAAGCTCCTCCGTGCTTCAGAAGGCACGTTAATCCGTTGTTGGTCTCGGCTGCATCTGCAATTGTTAGCACCCACCAAATCCGCACTGGGCCCGTGTGGTGGGTCATTCTCCCTTTTCCATAGGGAAGTCCTGTGCCCCACCCCCCCTCCGGTGGGGTTAGTATGGGATCATGTCAGCTTAAACTAGCCAAATAATATTTTAGGAAGCAGTTGCACAATAGTCTGTAAATAACTGAAGTGTAAAGAGATGTTTTACTAGGAGATTCGCACGATCAGACCCGTCTTTCCCAGTGGGCACTTTGGGCAAGTGCCCAGGGCCGCGCGATCTATAGGGGCCCCCCTCAAATTAAATGCAAAGTCCCTAGTTCCTGTTAAATCACCAAACCGAAGTCATAGGGGCCCCATTATCCTAATATGCCCAGGGCCTCCAATAGGTCAAAGACGGCACTGCGCACGATATTAAAAACACCCTTAACTTATTTTAACTTATTTATTAAAAATTGTATTTATGGCATCAATATCAAACATTATTTGGAAAATCTAATACCTATAAATAAAACCAAATGGTCTTCCTATATTTCAAACCTAGTCTTAGGCAAGTTTCAGTGTTTCTATTATTTATTTAAACGATAAGACTAAAGGAGATTGCTCAGCTTTCATACATGTTTGGCCTAAAGACCAATAATCATGAAAAATTGTTTCCTAGATTCGAAATTATATATAAATTACTGTAGAAACGAATATTATTGACGGACACCCCTGAGAACTTCTATAAACCATATACACTGAACATATTAAAATAATAAAAAACAAGTTATATAGTTAACTAGGGAAATCAAGCCAAGTAACGAAATTATAGATTAGATTCAGGTATATAGAGCATGTAGATTATCAGATAGTTGCCTGTTTTTAAATAAGAGTAACTTTTAAAATCAGGTGTCATTTCCGGTTATAATAAAGTACTCTGTGACAGAAACTGTGTGATGATTGTGAATGAGCCACAGATTAGAGAGAATTTTTAAACTCTCGTTAACCAAAGAAAGCTAAGAGATTTAGGTTCTATAGCCATATATTTAGTGGCTTCATTATTTTTGTTATGTTTTTAAGATAACCATATTTTAGATTTTTAGTGTATCACACCTTATAATTTTATTTATTTATTAATTTATAGTCAGGGAACGTAGGCCCATAGATAGATACCTTAAAGTCTAACATATATATATATATAGATTATAATGTGTTTATGGAGGTGTTTGGCGAAAAATGTATGGCAATAAACTTTATGATGTCGCCTACCATCTATAATAATTGTCTGAGCACTAGTATTTGCATCTAGTGAAAATGATAATATAGTTGTGAATATAAATACCACAGTGTAATAAAAAAAATGATTTGTTTTATCGATCTTTACAAAATAGATTTGTTTTTATGTTACGAGTATATAAACAACTTCGATCAGTCTTTGGCTGAATGTTACTACACCCATAGCCATTAAAAATGATTCGTATGTTTTCCAAACCGGTAAAATTAAAAGTCCTTTTTAAAGTAAATATTTTATACAAAGGTGTCCGTTGAAATCTAATGACTGTAAATTAAATTATAAATTACGCCAAGAATTACCGTGTATGTCAATATTTTTTGTGCATTTAGGCCAATTTGAGCAATCTCCTTTGAAGATCAAAATAAGCATTTAAGTATTAAATAAAACATGTCGTTAACTTTGTGTTTATTAAAAATTGATTAATTGTACGGCATTAACATCTAGCGACAGGTAAGTCTTTTTAGGTTAAGTGGTTTATTTTTAAGTTTAAATTTAGCGTTCTCTAGATTTCTTATATTCTCTAAATCTCGAACAAAAAGATGGCTACTTGTTTAAAAGTCGAGAAAATTTACAGAAATGCATCTAAAACTTAATTTTATATAGGTAACCAATGGCGTAGTACGAAACTCCGCATTTGCTCTCACGTGTCGACGCAGGCACGTACATGAGCGTGTACGCGCGTGTCCGCTAGGTGACCGAGACATTTTTGCATGCTGGAAACGGCTAATTGTGCGATCTGACCTAATTATTTAAAAACATCATTGTAACCACAGTTAATGCAAATAAATTTCATTTAATTTCATTTCATTGTTTTCGAGTGGCAGTGGCGGCGCCAGTGTTTGCAAAATGGAGGAACTGATTAAAGCTGTTCGAATCGTTAATGACCACCATATTCTTGATGTTCTAAAGCCCGTATTATAGAAAGATTCTTAGTGACTGATCTAGTCTTGAGCATAGTAAAAAAGGGATGTCGCTATAGTAAAGATCAACACTTAGTTGTCATTCTGTAATACGGACCTAAATCTGAAGCAATCATCGCATGCACTTCCTTAAAATCGTTCCTTGTCATTCTAAAATATTTTTTGAACTTTCGTCTGAAAACTCAGAAGCTGATTTTGAATTCTCCGTGTGTTTTTCATTTGGACATGTAAGAGCTCTTCCATATTTTTTTCCGGATGATTTCTTTATTAACAATAATCTATTTGAAAACTCGTCATCACTGTCGGATTCTGAACTTATATCAATCGCATCCATCTTGCTTCGTTTTCGTCTACGAATAGTAGACACTGACTGATGTACGAATCGTGAAAGCAATTGCGGACATACACGTGTCCACCAATGTCAATGCGACATTGGAGTACCTAGTGTGTAATAGTTATAGATATGAATACGTACTATCTTCGTCGGGCGTATGCGTGGGCCTGAGAGTTCCATTGGTATGTATTTGGTCGCCGGCTTGCAGCTGCGACGGTTCCAACGCTTGCTCGCCTCCCAGAGCTCTTGCCTCCTCTGAAGCAAATCGATCAATGTACAGCTAACGAAGTCAATCACCTAACTCGTAAAGGCGATAATCGCCTGTGCTTAATGTAAAAGTATCTCGCTCAACTTAAAGGGATAATCGTTTCTTTATGTTTAAAAAATGGGAAAGTTATTAAAATTTGGACAGAAATAACGCACTATGTGAAGTTACGCCTACTATGGTTTAACTAATGGTGGAACTACAGAAATTTGCAGTATAGAAATAATTATAGTTTCTCTTCAAATTTTTTACTCTTAACTTACATTGTTTTTAATACCTTAGAGTGACACGCTACACCGAAATTAATGTTTCATCAAATAAATTATTGATTTTATGAGTACAGCCTCTAAATCAAGTTTACTTAATAGCGTGCGCAGACGAGGCACTTTTGTCCGCTAAAATGGATATTTTTTTTATAGGCAGGTAGACAAATGACTCTACTCCACCTGATGTTAAGTGGTGATAAAGTTCAAACGCGAAGATAGCTGGTACAGCAGTTGTAAACTGCTACACCAACCATCCTCACCTTGCCGGCCTGCAAAAATGCTTCTTCACGCCTCTCTTAAAGGAACCCAGAGTGTAGGAAGAAGGAAACACGTGCGCGGGTAAAGAATTACAACTGCATCCTGTATAGTACACGAGTTATTAAAAATCCCTGCGTAGAAAAAGTCCCTTTAACAACCGAGGACACTGAAGGACCGGATAAGAAAAAAAGTACGCGGATGCCTTCGAAAAAAAATAAATCACGTGTGACTAGGCGTAGCAACGCATACCTACAGAAAAGTAGTAGTATTCTCTTTTTCTTAAACTTCATGTAAATTAATTAGAATACGAGATAATCTGAGAATATTTACTTTAACAGCGTGCGCTTTACTGAATTTTCGGGGGACAAAAAGTTCGCACATCGTGTTCGTTGAGTCCATTATAAGTCCTCCTCTATTCTTCACGATCCAGGACCAGTCTGCGCAAGCCACAATAGTAAACGATTGCCAAAAGGCTAATGCCTACAATGTATTATCTACCGTCTGTAGTCACAATAATATTATAAAGGCCAAAGTTTGTGTGTGTTTTTAATTTTTGTTACTTCTTCACGTCTAAACGGTGAGAGCGATTATAATAAAATTTGGTATGGAGTTAGCTGACACCCTGGATATTTTCCCGCAGTAAAACGTAGCCTATGTGTTAAGGCTACGTTTTACTGCGGGAAAATATCCCTAATAAACAGCGGGTAACACCGCGGGGCACAGCTAGTATGTAATAAATGTGACATTCACCTGGCGAGTCGTCATCGGGCGAGTCCTCGTCGGCCTCCTTCCTGAGCGTGGTGCTGCAGATCTCGCGTATGCGCCGCTCGAGCTGCGCTGTGGTTATATACTGTTCCCCGTTTGACAAACTAGAGGAATGAAATTCATAAGCATTTGTTTAAGAAAGTAACAGCAGATTTATCTGAATACATTTTTTAAATCGTAAAGCCTCTTTCGAAATAATGCCATACGTGCCAGACACAATACAGCAACAAAAAATCTTTTTTTTTGACAGTGTTCTTTTAACAAACTCACCTGGCGAAGAGATCTCTAGCCGCTTTCCTAGCGACTGTTTCCTGCCGACTCGCGGCCAGACAGGACTTGGCCCGTACGATGGCGGCGCTGTCTTCGTCTATTACACCGCTACGGATACACCTGCAATCATCATCAGCCTATTAATGTCACCACTGCTGGGGCACAGGCCTTCCCTATGGATGGAATAGGGAGATTGGGCCATGACCCACCACGCGGGCCCAGTGCGGATTGGCGGGTGCTAACGACTGCAGATGCAGCCGGGACCAACGGCTTAACGTGCCTTCCGAAGCACGGAGGAACTCCAGATAAAAGATTTTTGGTCATCCAATGACCGACCACTGCGAAAGTTGCTTAACTTCAACGATCGCAGCCGAACGCGCTAACCACCTGCGCCATCGAGCTCCTCACATACACCTGCAAAGCACTTTTAATTGTAATTGCTGCAAAAAAAATCACCAATGAAATGATCACTTCACGAGTAGAAATTCGGACAGTGAATGCTGTTATGAATTTTACACAGAAGCCAAAGCACGATCTTTTGAGAGCTCCGTAATCGTATCGCATCATCAGCGCCTACCGAACGTAACAACAAACTGGCTACCACTTACTAAACTCATAAAAAGTGAAAAAAATCCGAACTCAGAGTTCTAAGAACTCATGATCTTCGACAGGGAAGGACGGAAGAAGTGTGACGTAACAAATTATGCATCCTTTAATACGTCCAACACTCGCCACGCAACATAACCGTTATTTGGTAATATTTTATCTTAACGTAACAACTTGGTGGCCAATAAAAAAACAAAGTTAATGGTTTCTTTTACAGCAGATCTTGTCATCCAGTCCAAATCTATGTTTAATCATTGGATCATGTTTGTTACATAGGAAAATGCAAAACTGGATTAAAATCTTACATTGACATTCGCAACTCTTCCCGCACTTTGTCCCATTTTATTTTCCACAGAGCGAAATCGTGAATATTTTCGCTCATTTCATTTCACTATTTGAAGCAAGAAAAACATCCGAAACTGTGCTTAATAAACACTACACTGTAACCAAATATCACAAATAATTACGAAATACCAATTCTTTGATTATATACACGCCTAGACACCGTATTAACTGTGCGGTAAAAATATTATCTTACTACTTTCCTTAAAAATATCTACTACATATGGTAGATATACTTGTCCCTACACACGCATACATTGACTGCTTTCAAACAACCTGACATTTACAGTCACGCGCACATTGCGCGTCGACATGAGCTGTCTTCTTTGCGTAGTTTATTTGGCTGATTCTATCGAGGCCTTAAAGCATATACCACTCTATGATCTAGGCGTATAAATTCTAGATACCGTATCAACTACAAGGACGTGGTATAAAAAATGTAGATTCTATATATGTCGACATCATTTCTCACACTAACCATACTAAATGTATGGGGGCGGATGGCTCTCTGATGCGTCGCGGCACAGTACATTAGATGAGTCTATTTACATCCATGCCATCACTCCTATCAGGCCCTGTCAGAACATCAGCGCTGATGCGACCATCGTCACACCAGCTCATGCTGATACAGAGTTTTGGTTAACCCTTTTTATTATTGTTATTCTACATTTTTTAACGATTTATTGTGTCTTTGAAATTGGGGTTATTAAAACCTTTTCCTACTTTTCTTTATATGGTAGTTATGCTCGTCGCCACACACGCACACATTATCTGCTTTAGTGTCAATTCTCGGGCCCAGCAAGTACAGTTTTACCCTATCTGATCGAATATATATTCAAAGCTAGGCGTTAATATAATCAAAGACCGAATATAAAGTACACAGCCGAACCATCGAAGGCTAGTTGAGATACTGTAATATTAGTGTATTGAATTTTGTTTATGTTTATGGAATGCTTGCAATTCAATACGGTTACCTCATATTATCATCATGCCACCGTTTCCTTTGTGTAGACTTTCTCGTTCATCCGAATGTTTTGGTTTTTGTTGACTGGGATTGTCAATATTTATCGTGACGTGCGCAGTCAATTTGACGCATCGTTGTTAGTTATGTTAACGTCAAAGAATGTGCATCAAAACTTTTTGGACCGGTCTTTATGTTCTTTTTTAGATTGAGCATCTATACAGGGTGGTCTAACTAGTAACATCAACAAATTATTTTTAGATTCCTCGCACCTGGGGGTATCCGAAAATACCGCATGTATGTTCCGCGATTTTTCTTAGTTTTCGAGTTATATTTTTTTTGTGTATTTTTAATGATTTCTTCCAGCGAGGTTCCAAAATTTCATATCTTTCTTCGTAGTAGGTATTTTGCAGTCTTTTTTTAGTGACATAATTGTCTTGAATGGTGTTTTAATACAAAAAATAACTAAGCTTCCTGAAATTACTTAAAGTTTAAATCTAAAGAAAATATAACTAGAAAAAATTCCACGTGGACCAGGCAGCAGACGGGACTCGAATCCGCACCCTTCGCAATCCGGGCGAATGCACTGACCAATTATGCTACCGCAGCCCTCACGGACCGCGTCGAAATTCCTCTAGCCATTCTTAAGCTGCAAGGCAGCGCCATCTCTTCGCATTATAGGTAACCCACAATGTCAAATGAATACTTTTACAAGTATTAAACATTTGAAAGAAGAAATAGCAATTATAGTTATAATTTTTATTTTAAATATTTAGATTTAAACATCAAGCAGTTACATGCCTTAAAAAAAATAAAAATTATAATTACTTATAGTTACTCAAAAAAGGCTTGAAAGATGGAACTTTAGTTTTTAGTAGGATTTACTCAAACATTCAACTTCAATTTAAAAATACAAAAAGGAGTTTCCATAGCTTCTGGTTAAGTTTAAAAACTCCGCATGCTTCTAAACTACCAAAAATCATAAAAAAAATACACACATCAAAAGTGTCTAGGGATCAAGCATTTTTATGCGGATTTCTTGAGATTGAGATGTGGCTTTGTAATAAATTTATGATTTTATAAATTTATATGGATCCTTTTTGGTGCATTTCATAATTTGAATCAGGAACTGTGAATCAAATTCGAGTAAAAGATGAAAATCAGCTGTCAATATTTTCCCTATAAAAACATACAACGCATTGAAGACATTATTAGTGCTACTGTTTCCCTACTACTGATTAAAACCAACGTTATTATGGAGCGGCGACGTCATTTAAGCAGGGAAGAAATGCTCAGAGCCGTGGGAATGATAGAAGCTGGTTCCCGGCAACGTACTGTGGCTTTAGCTCTGAATACAAGTCAGAGTGTTATCAGTCGACTTTGGACACGATACCGAAGCACTGGTACCGTGGCTGAGCGCCATGGAGGACGGTATCGCTGCACCACACGGAGACAAGACCGATACATTCAAATCTTAACTCGAAGAGCTCCAACAATAACCGCCATGATGTTAGCCGTGAGGCTTCATCACTCTTCAGGGAACTTAATTAGCGACCAAACAGTCAGAAACCGCTTGCATGAAGTGAACCTTCATTCCCGAAGACCGCTACGGGTACCACCTATAGCAATGCACAATCGTAGGATTCGATATCAATGGGCTCTTGAACACAGAAATTGGGCAGAAGAACAATGGCGTTTCGTGTGCTTTTCTGATGAGTCTCGTTTTGGTATGAGACCGGATACAAGACGTATACGACACTGGAGAACCCCTGGACGCCAACAGCGATTAAAATCCTGCCAGGAAGTCCATCCTTATAGTGGTGGAACCATCATGGTATGGGCGGGTATTTGGATCGGCGGAAGAACTGAGTTGATTTGGATCAGAGGCAACCTCAACGCTCAAATTTATGCTGAGACGATTGTATCAGACGTCATCGTTCCTCTACAAGTGCAAATCGGTCCCTTATTTCAGTTAATGCACGACCGCACACCGCAAGAGTTGTAAGACAGACTCTCGCCGCAGCTAACATCAATGTCCTGCCCTGGCCTGCTCAGTCGCCAGACTTGAACCCGATTGAGCATGCATGGGATATGCTACAGAGAAGAGCTCTGCCGAATATGGAGGGTATCCAGTCGCAAGAAGACCTTTTTTTGTTGTTGCAACGAACATGGGCGGCCATTCCACAGCGTGATTTGGATGAACTCATTTTGAGTATGCCAAACCGATGTTCTTGTGTTGTTAGTGTTCGCGGTAGAAATACGGATTATTAATTGTTTAAGTTACCCAATAAAATTTTAGAGAAAACTGTTATTTCAGTCTTTTTTTCGAACTTTTGTATTAGTGGTTCAAATGTCAAAAATCCCTTTATAGGAAAATGGCAAATTTCTTTATTAATGCAAAGGTGACTTGGTTTATCGTTACTGTGACAAACGAAAACACTTTATTTGATGAATCCTTAAAGAAAATTTTAATTAATATCAATCAGGAGAAAAGTTATTGCAAAAATATATGTTGATCCCTAGACACTTTTGATGTGTGTAGTACTCAATCAGCCTATTTTTGTTGTAATTAGCCTTCGAAGGCGGATAGGCTAAAAATCATTGAAACACGAGTAAAGCATTTAAAATTATTTTCTCTACTTTTTATCATTGATATGGTATATTAAACTTGAAAATGTAATTTCAAATTAAATTTAATTGAAATTCCTGTAAAATAACTTTAGCGTGTGTAATTTTACAATAATTTCGGTTTCATCGTATTCTCAAAGGTCCGTTAGAACTGTAAGTGCGAGTGAGCACCTCCTTATTATTAAAGAGTATTGCACCTCCTTGCAGCGAGAAATTGTGACTGTGACGTCGTATTAGTTTAGTTTTTTCTTGCAATCGCGCGTGTTAAGACTGCTCTCGTGTATTGTTATTTTCTATTATTTTCGTGTAGTCTCTGATCTGCCTCACGATTACCTTTGCTCGTGTTTCGGACCCTGACGAACAACCTGTGCTTGTTACTCATTGATTTGGATTGTTATTGTGCAGTACAATGAGTTATTCTCTAAGTCAATACGCAGAGATGCATTATCATTATGGCGTGACCCAAGGCAACGGTAGTGAAGCTGTGAGACTTTATCGAGAGGCATTGGCGAGCCGAGGAGAAATAATGGAGCATTACCCGGACCACAGGATTTTTATTAATACGCATAGTACCCTGATGGCTGGACGTATCCCCGGGCGAAATCAATCTCGCGGAGCTGTACCCCAGGATGCGGATCAAGTGGAAGCAGTCTTGGAAGAAATTCAAAATAACTCGTCTACAAGTTCGAGGAAAATAACTAGGCGAATCGGGATTTCACGGACTACGGTTTTAAGAATTCTAAAGGAAGGTGAGTGGTGAGCCATAAAAAGTTGGTACTTACATAAGCTTTTAATTGTTTTGTAAAAAAGGAAGGTTTGATTTAGTATGATTTTATGTAAGCATCGTCTAGATAGTAGTAAGCCTATCTGTGATTTAGGTGATTGTCTCTTTCTCCCAAACCCATTTTGTACAGACCACGCTGTAACCAATTAACCTGTATTGGGTACTTAACAATGATTTCTGTTTGCAGAAGGGGACCATGCGTACCACATTCAGCGCGTCGAGTAGCTCCAAGAATCTGATTACCCGACAAGAGTGGCTTTTTGTCAAACAATGTTGCAACGATCTAAAGAAGACCCTGATTTTTTTAACAAAATACTGTGAACTGTGACTATGCGGATTTAAGATTTTAAATCTTAGTGGTGAAACCGAAATTATTATAAAATTACACATGCTAAAGTTATTTTACAGAAATAACAATTAAATTTAATTTATAATAACATTTTTACGTTTAATTTTTATCATTGTTATGGTACAATGATAAAAAGTAGATATAATAATTTTAAAAGCTTTAATCGTGTTTCAATGATTTTTAGCCTATCCGCCTTCGAAGGCCAATTACAACAAAAATAGGCTGATTGAGTACTATTTTTTTTTATGATTTTTGGTAGTTTAGAAGCATGCGGAGTTTTTAAACTTAACCAGAATTTTTGTATTTTTAAATTGATGTTGAATGTTTGAGTAAATCTTACTAAAAACTAAAGTTCCAACTTTCAAGCCTTTTTTGAGTAACTTTCAGTAATTTCAGGAAGCTGAGTTATTTTTTTTATTAAGACAACATTCAAGACAATTATGTCACAAAAAAATGGTTGCCTGTAAAGTCGGTTTTACGGGCGAAGATTTTACGTGACAACGTCTTTTTCTCGGTAGAATATTTATTGATATGAATATAATTAAATTGCACAATAGGAACAAGGAATTGAATGAAAATAAGAATTGCACAAATTTTAACTATAGAAATATATTTTGTTTACTAAAACATTGTACATGTAAACTTAAACTCATCGTAACGTTACCGAGCGTTACACTTTTTCATAAGTGACTCCCAGCCGCAACCTAATTTAAGACGTTGTCACGTCAAAAAGACTGCAAAATACCTACTACGAAAACAGATATGAATTTTTGAAACCTCGCTGGCAGAAATCATTAAAAATACACAAAAAAAATTATAACTCGAAAACTAAGAAAAATCGTGGAAAATACATGGGGTATTTTCGGATACACCCAGGCGGGAGGAATCTAAAAAAAATTGTTGACGTCACTAGTTGGACCACCCTGTATAGGCACTTTTTTTTATTTATTTTTTAACCTAAGGGTTGTTTTTATGGGTAGGTTTTAAGGCAAGTATTATTTGTAACATTATTATTGGTACTATGATGTGAAGTAAACTCATTTGTTTAGATTTAGATTAAGCATATCTTACCTTCTCAACATTCTTCTGGCTTCAGGGTGTGCCTGTTCAGTCGCGCATATTAACCACTCCAATGCCTGTTTGAAGTTTGATACCTTATCTGCCTCTAACTCTGGAAAAATCGTATATAATTTAATTAGAAACTTTGGGTTTGAGTATCTTATTACTATTACATTTATGAATCTTTCAAAACGCCAACTTTCTTGTTAGTGTTGGGACATGTGTTTAAGAGCGTGCGCTGTGTTAAGCGGGGAACGGAGCGGGCGTCCGCTCGGTGTGTTTGTTTCTTGTTATTTCATAGCGCAGTGCTGCATGAGGCGCCTCGCGAGCGACGGTGCACGCTCTATTGGGGTCTTTTGTGCTCTCGTCCGCGTTGTCTTTTGGCTAGGTAGTATTATCTCAATAAATAATAATCCATTACCGACTGTTTACCCGCACTATTGAAATTATACTGACGGCGCTGCGATAAGCACCCGTCTCTCGCGGGTCCCCCGATGGATTGAACGGATCTTGCGATCGGTTGAAAGGATCCCGCGACGGGTTGAACGGGTCCCGCGACAGAGTACAGAACGGATCCACGACGGACGGCCGCTCAGGCTCCCGCTTAAGGCAGCGCACGCCCTATGGAAGGATATTTCCTTCAGTCAGGATATATCCGCCCATAATAGAATCCCGTCTACCTATCGATTTCAAATAAGAATTCATTGCAAATGAATGATTCTTTTTTATCTGTTACATACTAAAAATAGGGTTAATGCTAAGGGATTTGATTTGGGGAACTCCAAACAAGATCCTTGATAGGAGTTCCGGGCAGTGAACAGGCCCAGAAGCGATCCTACTGAGGAAAACCAAATCCGCAATGTCGCGACGCATCTCTAAAGGGTTCCCCGTACCGACCTGATTCATAGTGTTCTTTAGTACTTTAGCACAGATATCCAACAAACTTCCTCTGGATGCCTTCAATGCGAGACATATAGGTGGAATATCAATAGGACCTGAGATGCATTCTCCAGATGACTTCTAACAAAGGTACTGTACGAGTCACGTACAGTAATCTTGTATATCTGCGAAGCAAGCATAACCTACTTTAATCACTAAGCTGTATCTAAGAAATGCATCATAATACATCATTGTTCTAGGTATATAAAAACTTAACTTTGCATAATAAATCAATGCTCATCATGCATTCAACAGGATTAGTTGTCTTGCTTCCTTAACCTAATATCATTATGTAGGGGGTCACCCCTACAGTTTGGTCCTTCGAGCCGGATGCAAACAATCTACATTACAAATCAATTAATTTAGCTTTACTAACTATCAATTAAAACTAAGTTAAGCATAACATTGCTATCATATATCATCAAAGTATGCAAAAAACTGTAGGGGTGACCCCCTACATAATGATATTAGGTAAAGAAAGGACAACTAATCCTGTTGAATGCATGATGAGCATTGATTTATTATGCAAAGTTAAGTTTTTATATACCTAGAGCAATGATGTATTATGATGCATTTCTTAGATACAGCTTAGTGATTAAAGTAGGTTATGCTTGCTTCGCAGATATACAAGATTACTGTACGTGACTCGTACAGGTACAATATAAAAATTTGAGTGTCTTGGCTTGACTAAAGTCTCTGCAGTTGCGCAGAATAAACCTAGTTATTAATATGCGTATCGAAAAACAACTTCGAATCGTGAAATATACCGAGATCTCTTACAATTATTTCATGTTTTAATTGGGATTGTTTTAGTTTGTACTCAAACAATAACATCTTGGATGTTGCCCTTGACTTACCGCACTTTTCTTCCAACAGCTGCTTAGCGAGTACAACCTGCGATTCAGCACATCCATCCTCTGCTAGCTGATTACGGAGTCTCCTCAGCGAACCTTGAGGCCCATCTGAAGAAATAGACGCTAAAAAGTATATGTGGCAAAAACAAGTATTCGTCAATTATAGAAGGGCAAAGGAATTCAAATTTCAACCTTGTTATTAATTTATTAGAATTAGGGCATCGGAACCGGTTTTACCCGGAATCGAAAGAACCGGCAAAACCCGGTTCTGGGAGTATCTAAAAGAACCGGTTCTCAGATGTAAAAACCCGGTTCTAACGATTCTAACGGTTCTTTCGGTTATTATTTTAAAATATTTTGTTTAGCCACGCAAGCTTAAAAGTCTCGTATACAAAGATGAAAATGTATTAAAAAAATGTCGCTAGGCGCCGGGGGCGCCGGACAATGCAATGTCAGTTCGCCATTTTAACTGAAAAGGAAGCATCGTTCTGCTGTGTTTACGGCGTATTGTAGGTATGTTTGATTTTATATAGTTTAATAATGTTTATTTTTATATATTTTGGAACATTATTAAAGTTGATTAGTTGTAAGCAAAAAAAAGCATTTACATATTATAATTTCTGTTTATTTCGCAAAATTATAAAAGAACTGAATACTGTGAACTGAACTAATTGTTATTAATTTTAGAATTTAAAAATCGATGGTTTTTGTTAACATTACAATTTTTAAAGATTTTGTGTTTCTAATAAGTAAAACATGATTATTGATGAAAAATATTCATTGATTTTGAATAAGTACCTCATTATTTGATCAACTACCCTTTAAATAAATTACTTACCTGAAAAGAACCGGGTACCCGGTTCTGTGTTTTGATGGGTACCGAAAGAACCGGTTCCTAAAATGTAATCGGTTCTCGATGCCCTAATTAGACTGCTAAGTATATATTTGTGTCCTTAGATTGTAGGTCAACTTCTACAGCTCAAGTATTAACTGCTAGTAATTTGCTGAGATTTATATAAAAACAGTCTTGTAAGTCTCATACATAGTATTTCATTAGTTAAGTAACATAAAATATTTTATATCTTTCAAAAATACAATAAACAACTCATTATTTTACTGAAAATTTTAAGGGTGTATCTAATTTTTTATACTACTTCATAGGCTGTAAGGCAGAACCAGCACCATCTCTTCAGAATAATCAATAATTAAAATTAAAGGCTGATTAGATGATTGACTGAAGCTTTTGAAGTAAATAAATTAATTAAATGGAAATTTGAAGTAAATGGTTATCAATAAATTTAAAGTTTAATATTATATTGGTTGGTTTCATAAGGAAACTGATGAAAAGGATAAATATGGGGCATGAATGAAAGTTGAAACTTGGTCAATTTTAAGTCAGAGATGCTAAATGGATGTAAGAAAATAATTATTTATTAAGGTCTTGTATTGTTATTTCCATAAATTATTCAATAATAATAATTATTAATAAGTATTTGATAGATTTATTACAAAATGTACCTACTAACTGATCAATTGCGAGCACAGTATTGTCTTAAATTCGGCAGCTGAATAAACACTTTCAGTATTGATTTAGAATGCAGTTTACACACACACCAAATTGGGCTATGCAAAGAATATTATGAGTAATTTACTTATACAGTCTTCTGGAACTGTCTCTTAGCTGAAAGGTGTAAGTTTAATTAAGGTACTTTCTAATAAATGAAAAAATAATATCGAATACTAATTAAGTAATAATGAATCAACTAATTATTAACTTATTAGCTACTGGAACTTAGCTCTATAAACAACAAGAATGTTAACATGTTTGATGTACTTGAAAATCTGACATTGACCCCTCACATGTAATAACTTTTTTGGTTCAATCATTCAAATATTATTAATATAGCAACATTATGAAAAGAAAAACATTTTCTGGAAATTTCTATTCCGGTTCTCCCATTTTCATCTCATGCCCCATATATTATGTAGGTCATACACATGTGACTTATTTGCCTGCCATACATAAGTGGTGCATGTGTGTATGCAATCATTTTTATTAGAGACATTTACAAGATACAAGCATGTAAATATTTTTACAGCAACAAAAAGAAATAAAGCAATGTGTTGTTTGTTATAAACTACTGACTGATTTAAGACACATAGTCCAAGAAACTCAAAATAGGTGAAGAATATATGTATACAATATATAGATAAACATATAATGTGAAATAAGTAACATAGCTTTGGGTCTTATTTCATGACATTTTTGCAATAAAAAGTATATTCTTATTACTGACATTCAAATAAATACAACATGTTATATTATTACGTTTGTCTCTGTTTAACTGTGATTAAATGGCCTCATTGGCCAAATGTCCTCTGGGTACCTATATTTTATTGTTTACAACTTTAAAGTCTACAGATGGCATTGGGAATGCTTTAACTGTAACGTGAGAGATTTGTCAAGACCAAAACTTTGTAAGAGGATGTGATCCGAACCACATGTAGAGCAATCTTAAGCTCACAATGGCCCACGTATGGGTCATGTAAAGGGAATGCGATCATGTTAACACTTGAAAAGTTACGACAACAAATAAGAATGAAAAATGTGTATACCAATAACATATATTAATGAGTTAATAAATTTTCATATTAATGAAATAAATACTTTTTTCCTTGTCACCTAACATTCACCATATTTCCAGGAGATGAAGCTCTACTCGTTTTATAGTGAAGCATGCTGCATAAATTTGAAACTGTCTGTCTACTCTGTCCTAAAAAACCTTTAGAAAAAACATGGACCACATGCAGAGTACATTTTTTGTGACTTCTATTTATATGTGCAGTTAAAAAAAGATAATGCAGGATGCATTCAAAACTTTCCATGATTTTATTGTATATGTAGTGGAATCTCACTTATTCAAAGTAAAGTGGATAGACTATGCTTGAGGTTATTATGTATACTTTACCAGAGGAGCTGGTTTAATTCTGAATTATTAAAAAAAATGTTTATGGTTATGACAAGCGCAATAATTAGGATGAGCATTCCACTTTTTTATCTAATAGCAATTTTGTTTCTTATTAGCCTTATTACATGTTAGTCTGAGCCATATTAGTGCCTATTTAAAACAAAAATACAGAAATGTGATATACATTTTAATCATAGCTTTTTCTATAAATACATCAGTATTAAGCTATCCAAATGAGTTTCTTTTTGCAACAGTTCATGGTAGAGGTAATCTAGGTGTGTTCAACCTTAAATGATATTTATACTATCGAAACCGTGGAAAAAACGAGTCTTGACCAAAGAAAACCAACATTTATTACAAACTTAAATACAATCTAAGAAGTGATCAACAGAAAAGATGGATAGCGCAATTAAAACTGAAAGTAGATAGATATACTTTGGAGATGAATTAGAGCATAAGTATTAATTAATTCAAAACTTACCATGTAAATTCCACCGTTTCCGACAAACCGGCATTATTTTACCAACGTTATATCATATACCGTAATATTTTAATGAACACACACATGAGATGTTAAATTACATGAAATTATGAATTTTAATAAATTTATAATTGAAAAGAAAACACTTCTGTGTTTACCTACTCGCGAATAAAATTCCGTGTTATGTCAAAAAGGATTACTTTGACAAAGTGCCAATTATAATGCAAAAAACAAAACGCAATTTTAAGTCAGTTCACATCATAAACTACCTTTTCAGAAATTACATCATCACATTAATGTACTTATCAAAAAATGAACAATGAAGTTTTAAATGTACAAATTATACTTGTAGGTGAGTAGGTATCCCAGTTAACTATTACTCCACCTACTCAAATCTACACCCACGCAACTTTAAAGTAAGAGCACTTTTGCCGTCTTCGTCATTATAAAGGATTCTTTATCTAAGACTACGTGTAACAAAATGACTTTATTTTGGAAAATGCCGGAAGGTTAGTTTCATTAATTATAGAATCTTGTTCGAATCTTTTTGCGACCATTGATAGAGATTGTAAGCAGGTGAACAAAAATTATTAATGAATCTGCAAAAACTAAACGCGTAAGAAAATAAGTGTACTGTTTGTCAAATTACTTTAATATATAATTATACCACTTTTTGATTGGGTTTTAAATAAGTTAAAGTAAATTGGTATAAACGTGATATCTTATTGTAAAATATTAATTTAAAAAGAGTACAAAGTTTTATATTAATAATTAGACTGTATGTATTTGTAACCTTTTTATTACTTGAAAGGTAGTGACAATGTTGCCACTTTAGCCCTTTTCGGTCTATATTTAGTATATTTTTACTGTACTAGTTTGAAATGCTTTAGCCAGAAAAGAAAGCAAGCAAAAAGGAAATCTTTCTGATTTATCCTACGCCCCTTTTTCAAAGTCCAAAGTGGCAACACTAGTTATAGGTGACGGGTTTTGTTGTTTTATTTTTTGCTTTTCGATTTTTGTAAACTTATTATAAATCACATATTTTATCCATATTAGCATCACAGCACACATATCAGCTGCACTCGATGGCGCAGGTGGATAGCGCGTTTGATCTGCGATCGTCAAAGTTAAGAAACTTTTACAATGGTTGGTTATTGGATGGGTGACCAAAAACTTATTATCTCGAGCTCCTCTGTGCTTCTGCAGTCGTTAGCACCCACCAATCCACGCTAGGCCCACGTGTTGGGGCACGGCCCCATCTCCCTATTCCATTGTATTCCATCCATAGAAGGACATTAATAGGCTGGCGATAATGATGATACATTTCAACTCAGAAAGGGATCGATACCGACTCGTCTTTCGGCTTACTGCCAAACAGGATAAAATGCATTGTAGCCACGACAATGACCAATGCCGCGTTGGTTTGCTGTTAACAAACCCTAACGATGCAGTTTATTGCGTGGTGCATTCGGCCAGTGGCGAGCAACCAGAGGGCAACTAGTCGGTGCAGGTATACTTTGACGAGCACTCACGTAAGAATACGTCAAACCACTCCGCCTCCGACCGGCAGCCGGGCCCGCACCGCTTCCGCCGATCCTTGGCTTCTCTGTTCACAGCGTCGCCTTACTAGTCCCACGGACCGAAGTCCTAGCGGCTAACCAACCGACCTGCTCCAGTACCAGGTAAACTTCCGCCCGATCTACCACTCACTCTCCAGGCGTAACGGCGGGATCCAGTTATGAGTCGCAGCTTGTTACGCCTGGATTCCTACCCTCTCGCGATGGTGCCTCCTCCCCTCTCTGGCAGTCACAGGAGGTACTGCTAGAGGGCTAGCAGGTGGTCTCGGCGTCGCGTCGTCGACCATTCCTCCCCCTCCTGAAACAGGCGTCCACCTAACGTAAACGGATAAGCAGTTCCAGTACGTTTGGATATGCTATAGCTAGGCGACTCCGCTCTTACGACTCACGACCGCTAGTTGACAGCTAGGCCGCATCAATTTGATCAGCCATAGAGAAAGTAACCACTCCGTTTTAGGAGTAAGCACTTCCTTAAACACTAAAAACAAACGGAGTTGTTAATTTCTCTAGCCGAATGCTCCCAGTGCGGAGTGGGCCGAGTGCAGAATTGGCCCGATTTGACACACTCCTGATCCACTCCCGGTCCATCACTCACCAAACAAAATTTTAAACCAAGTCCACAACCACTACCATCAGTGGTCGCCCATCTCGCTGCCCATGCGGACGATGACCGTTCGTTGAAAATTTGTTTTTGCTGCTCTAGACGTTCGGCCCTACATAGAGGAAACAGGTATGGTGGGAGTACTTAACTAGGTGAAAGGTTGCTCCCCATATGTTATTTTGCCGCGCTCGAGTTAATCCAAAACTCCCCGCTTGGGCTCCCCTACTTAAATATAATAGCATTAAAAATGTCCAGAGGTCCAATCACTAATATACGTGGGGGCCAATTATTGTACCTCGAGGGCCAATGACTATACATTTGAAAGCTTGTCTGCTGGTTTTGAAATATTTTTATACATAATAATGTTGAGCTGTTTAAAGTCTTCTTATTTTGACAATTAAACCCTATTTAACAGCATTGTGGAAGTACATTCAATCGTAAAATAATAATTAATTTACTTCATACAAACAAATGAAGAATTCCGCTTAAGGGGCCAATCATTACATAGTCCATTCAATATGTTTTTTTTTTCATTTAACCGCATTATGGCAGAACTACACTTATCTGTGGTGTTGTGTTGTAACGCAATAGAGAGCTATCCATTTCGTACATTTAGTATGGTTAGAGTGAGAGCGCTGTCGACACATCGCGACATACAAATATAGTTCTAACCGTACTAAATGTGTAAAGCAGATCATGTCACAACACAACACTTAAAATATATAGTTCTGCCTTCAGTTTAATATTTTTGCAGCCGTCCTTTTTGTCTAAAAATCGTCTCTTCAGATTTCGAATCGTCCGAAACAAGAAAGCAGGTACTGGCAACACTGGACGTGACAGTTGTGTGTGAACAACACGCATGCTTCCGTTTGATTTTCTGTGTATGCGATCAATATGATATAAGGTTTTTGTTTTTTTTATTAGTGAATAATATTGAAAGTTTCTTTCTTTAACGCGATGTTGACACCACGTTTCAAGTTAAGTCAAGACGCTAATCATGTTTTTGTAATTATACATGCGCCTTATACAAATATTGGTGACACAGAAATCGATGTAGAGGGTGAAAACTTTTTATTCGTTTCTAGTCCTTATTTTCTGAGACTGCGGTTACCTGGCAGAATCGTTGACAATGATAGTTCTAAAGGGTCATATACTTGTGAGTCGGGAGACTTCAGTCTCACATTTGACAAAGAAACACCGGGAGAATACTTTGAAAACTTGGACATGATTACCAGTCTTCTAGCACCCAAGGATATACCTGACATTAATCCCAGTTTAGTGGAAATGCTCGAAGAAGACGGTATTACATTCGATGATAATGACAAAACTGATAACAGCAATAAATTCACATATGGATTTGCTTTCAAGATATCAACAGAATTCAAAGGAATCGGTAATGAATTTCCCCAAATATTTGAATTGAAAGCACCAGAGAGTGTTGCAGTTCAGGATCGTACTAAGATGAGAATAGAAAACGAAAATGACAAATTCTCTTCAGACCATTATTTGGCTGATTTATATGAGGATGAGTTAATTGCACCTTATTTGATGCACTCACCTCACTGGGTAAGTCCTGATTTCAGCAACAATATTGAGTTTATAGAAGAAGAAGTTGGTATATTGAAAGAATTACCAAACAAACATTACCTACTGAATAAAAATGAAAAAAAGCAAGTTCTGCTTGGCTTGATTGACATTCTCTTTGGTTATTGTTATGACAAGCGGACAACTTTAAATGAGAGCAATGTTGAATCTAGTTGGACTATAAATAAATTGTCATCAACATTAAGTTGGTTTTGTGTGTTTAATGATGTCAAAGAAGTATTGGTGGCTTGCTATAGAAGAGCGCTAGTTTATCCCATATTTAGAAACTTTGAACTTTGTGAGAAAGTAAAAGGTGATCTTGTGGTGATGCTAAAAAAAGGCAAAAAGTTAATTATAAAGTGCTTTATCGAGATACATCAGATGTTTAACACGAGTAATGATGCACGGTACATTCTCAATCAGTTATACATAAAAGATTATTTAGTATTCCTTCAAAAATGCAGAACTGAGGAAATTGATGAACTTTATAAAGATATGGTCAACATTAACATAACTAAGAATGATCTGGAATTAGAATTAGAAGAATTGGAAGCGGCAGCAGAGTTAGTCCAACAGGAAGAAACTGAAATAATGGAGAACCAAATGGCACTCAAAATGGCTTCCATGTCTTTGTTGCCAGGGCTCAAAAAGAATAATATTGAATATGATGATGACAGCGATGAATATGATACATCTTCTTCAGATTCTAGTAATGATTCTTCGGATGATTCATCAGATGACTTGGATTCTGATGATGACCCATTGTGACAGCACTGTTTCAGGTCCTAGTGCCCAAGCAAAGGCTTGTGATTGTTTCTGCTTAAGACTGAGTAGAATAAGAATTGTAAATGTCTGAAAGATGACCTTTTGCTGAACCACATTAGGATAGAGAACTAAGCTAATTAACATCTCAATAGCACAGCCTACCCTATAATATGGTACATGTAGATACAGCAGGCCTGTGATACTTTATGGCATTGTCATAGATGGAAATTAGTTCTGAATGTGCTTCACTGTTCTGTTTACATATTTAACTAATAAGATGCATTGTCAGTGTTGTGTGTTACGGAAACTAAAAGATCAAAGATAATAGTACAATTATAAAGTTAGTGTATTTTTATGCAATCAATATATTGGAAATTATATAGATACTATGTTAACCATTGTATTGTCTGTTCCAAATGAATTTAGAGAAAAGTAAACAAAGAGGTAGGTAAGTCTGACCATAGACACTTTAGTGATGGGGATTCATAGAGCCTTATGAAAATCAATTGATCAATTGAATGATATTTCGTTACATAACAAAACCTTTAATGAATGATTTTTTGCATGATTGATTGAATATCTAGGTTTGTCATCGTCATATATTTGTCAATTATATATGCGTCTGTGCTCTAAGTAAATCAAAATGATACCACTTTTTCATTTTAATATTCAGGAATGAAAAAATATGCGAATAATTCAAACACCATCCCTAATTAAGATAATAATAATAACAAAATATCAATAAAATTAATTGCTCATATTTGCAATAACTCAAAATTTACGTTCTATAAACTGTATTATTGATTTTGTTACTTATCAATTTCGAATAAATAATGAATTGGATTACCAATGTTAATTGAAATCATTTTAAATAGACTTGCAACACACCATAGACAACAGACAATTTCCATCTTTCAAAATAACCTTACTTTTCAAATCATGTTTTTATTTTCAAGTTTTCATATATTTATAAAGAAATTAGTGCTATAAAAGATATTGATTTAATAAGTCAAACCCCTAGAAATGCAAATGAATGTGTTGAGAAATCAATTATGGAGTCATTGCGTAGGAATTAGGAGGTAAAGTGTTTGTTTACCTTTGGTCCAAACTCATTTGGAACAGACTATAAACTATACTTGAATGAAATAAATAATGTATTTTTAATTGTCAAAGCTAGTAGGTACAAAATTATGCAGGCCCAAGATGTGCCAATGAATTTCAATGCTTTATTCAGTAAGAAAAAGTGATTGTATAGTACAGATAGAGATATTCTCTAAAAGGTAAAAAAAAGGAGATACTGGTGTCAATCAATTCTGACACGATTCGCTAAACCTTAACTTAAATTTGACAACAGTGCATCCTTGTCATTCTCTATACGGAATGAAAAGGAGAGATTGATGTTAAATTTAGTTTTAATTTTAGAGAATCTACACCACTGCTGTCATATTTAGCTTTACTATAAGTCATTCAAACATTGTTAAGCAGAAAGCGAGCAGGGGGCATTTATTTAAGGAAGCAACATTAAGTTCTACTAACTCATGTTAAAGTTTGATACTGTTTAATCATAAAAATGACCAACGGTGTTTTTCTGCTTTCACTATCATATTTTAACCTTGGTCCACAGAACTCATTTTTACTAGCTTCATAAAATTAATCATGCCAGTTGGCATGGAAATTGTAAGCAATCTAGCTTTGACTGTATGTTAAATGTTAAAAAAAACACTTTTTAAGCTATTTACTTTATAATATTTCTATTCATTGATTTTATTGTAGTTTAAGTAAACTGTTAATTATTAAAAAAATATTTACTCTTGTAATCTTTGTGGTAAAGCCTGGACTTTGTATGAAATAGCTCATCAGGTTACCATATTGTCAAAATTATATAACTGATTAAATTTGATGTTAATCTGTAAGGTTCAAAATATGTATTAAATATTTTAATATCTTCACTATTAATATTTGAATGTTGTGAAGTTCCTTTTGCTAGTTTTACTGCCTTTATATGTAATCAAATGGCTGAGAGTTTTAATAATTTTTAAACGCTAGCGTTTGTACGATCAGATTCCTGACCCTGACTGTAGAGTTTTGGCTAAAATGTAAGTACGTATCCCTAGACAAACTTGTTATCTTCTGAATAATCATATTTGATGCAAAGACTATATAATACCTAGAATGTACACGAAAAAAAAATCGTTAATCTAAAGTAAGATTTATATCTATAGTTATAGGATAGCTATTATCTTGATAAGCGGTCGCTAGAAAAAACGGTCCTGAGTGAGAAAGCATCCAACGGTAGTGTGTCCCTTTCTAACGTCTTGCCAGCTCAATTTATCATTGGGTTTGGTAGAAATGGTAGAAAATGTCATACTTTTCTACTTGTGATTTCCTGATTAATTACCGATGCGAACGATTCGTAAACTATGAAACGTATTTAAACATTTCTACAGTTCTTATATATAATAAAATAATTATTGATATTTTTAAAATAAATCTAAATCAGAGTAAAAGTAGTATTTAAATAGTTGAGCCTGGTAATACTGAATGTAAGATGGTGATTTGTTCACTTGATTATTAAATTGATTTACCCGCTTTGATTTCATTTAAAGTGTATTTTTTTAAATGGTGAACTCGTGTTGTGTAACAGGGTGCTACAATGAATCTTATCCCGGTAGCCCTTTTTCTTTTCACGGGTAAGTAAAACTTACAATTATATTCATTAGGTGAACCATGAATTTTGGAGGTAGACGAGCTTTTTTTCTTAACATTAGTTGTGTGAATTTAATGAATCAATTATTAAATAACGCGGTCGCGGTTACTTTCTTGTTTCGTAGGTACTTTTTAGAGCATTTTTAGACTCGTCAAGTCGGTCTTTTTTTTGTTTTTATTTTAACTTATCATCACAAATTACTTACATGTTAAGACAGTGGTGTCGATTCTAGCATGATTCTCTAAACTTAAAACTAAATTTAACATCAGTCTCTCCTTTTCATTCTGTATAGAGAATTACAAGGATGCACTGTTGTCAAATTTAAGTTTAGCTTTAGAGAATCATGCCAGAATTGACATCACTAGCAGATACTAAACACAATTCTCTTTACAAGCTATATTAAATAACAAATACTAATAACAATTTTTTTCCCGCGTTATGCTTGAATATGGTCACCTCATTAGAAAGGAACACACTACCATTGGAAGCCCTCTCTCCCGGACCGTTTTACACGCGATGGTGCAGTCTAGGTATTATATAAAGTCTTTGATTTGATGTGGCATATTTTGCCACCTTCCTGTGACATAATTCTGACATTGAATCATTCGTAGTTTTGCTCATGGACTAGATTTCCCTACTAATTTATTTCGATGATGTTTATGCATAACAAGGACATATTCCGAATGCCTATCAAATGTTAGTTATACAAGTACCCTTTTAGGGTGAGTAAGGGTTTGTCATAAACACTAATCCCTTTACTAATATAAACGCGGAATGAGCTTTGACTAGTTCCACCGTGTTTTTTTCCTATCACAAAAATACCATTTGTCCCATTACCATACCATTTGTTGGTTGCAATGAACAGAGACAAAACATGGAGTAACAAGTCCAAGCTTATTCTTCGTTTATTCATAATAGTCATGATCATGATACCAAGTCAGATGTGCAAATTTTTTGGTTTTATTTTTAACCCCAGGGATATGACTATTACCGTACCTGATGATAAGAAACAAAAAATAAAAGACAGGGCAAAAAAGATCAGGGCTAAAAATAAATGTATACTATAAGATTTTTCGCTGATTTCATAAGACTGTTGACTACCGCATGCCCTGCTGTAAGCTGTGGCTGGATGTATACTAAGCTGTTTGAGAGGGAAAAGTTTTTAGCATTAAATTACTTACAAAACTACAATAAACAAATGAAATTACAAGAAAATCTTGAAGGTGATCTTTTGTGGTGAAGAGATAACATTGAAACGCCCGTTATTCGGACCGTTACAATACTATGTTGTAAAAGGATGTAGGTATGTGGCTCCTGGTTTTATTGCACTGGACATACGTGAACATTCTTCACGCTTTGGGAAAAGCAGGGCTTTTTTAAATGCACACCGGCTACCTGCAATATTTGCCCTTGCGTTAATAGCTCCAAAGAATTTAAAAACTCTTTAGAATATGCTGCTTTGTTTTGTTTCCATGATTGTAGCTGATGACAAAATTACTCCTTCATCCTCTTTCATCTATTGATTTTGTCCCCGATTTCAATTCTTGGATCAAGAATCGCTCTTGCGCATACCTAACGAATGATCAGAATTTATATTTTTGTAGTAAGTTAAGGTAAACTTTAGTAATAGGTATGTTCCACATCGTTTCCTACCAAATTACAGAATTTGTCTGTAAGTACAATACTGCCTCCAACATACGAGTCCAACCGTCCATCGTCAATTTTTAAAAGATAATAACGATTATAAAGGTGCGCTCTCCTTTCATAGCCAGTTTTTTAGGGTTCCGTAGTCAAATGGCAAAAAACGGAACCCTTATGGATTCGTCATGTCTGTCTGTCCGTTCGTATGTCACAGACACTTTTTTCCGAAACCATAAGAACAATACTGTTGAAACTTGGTAAGTAGATGTATTCTGTGAACCGCATTAAAATTTTCACAAAAACATAGAAAAAATAACAATCATCTTTTGGGGGGTGATGGGGGTTCCCCATACTTGGAACTGAAACTCAAACATTTTTTTTCATTAAAACCCATACGTGTGGGGTATTATTGGATATGTCTTCTAAATGATAATGAGGTTTCTAATATATTTTTTTCTAAAGTCAAGTTTAGTCACTTGCAAACTGATAAAACGTGTATCCGCCCCCCGTGTAACTTTTAAAATAAGATAATGACAAAATTAAAAAAAAATATACGATGTACATTACATAAAAACTTCCATCAAAATTGGTTTGATTGGTTTGAACGTAATCTAATTAGTTGTTTCTTTTTATTCGTCATAACTCGTAAACCGCAATTAACCTTGTATTTAATCAACTCAAATATAAAAATAATAAAAAAACATTTGAGTTCTTAAAACCTCAGGCCGGGACTCCACCAAAGCGGAGATGAGACGAGCGGAGAGATGTTTTTTAAACAACCAATAGAAGTGTGTTATTGAGACATCACCTCAACGCTCAGCTTCAGTGGAGATCGCTGTGCGGAGATGTGTAATATTTATATGGCGCGATGGAAGCGGTGATGTGAGCTGTGCGTGGACGACGCGACGCACAGTGGAGACGAGAGATGTGAGCGGCGCGCGGCGTGCAGTGAGCGGTGTCACCCTCCCCCTTCTTTTCTACCTTATGTGTCAGAATCAGGGCCGGACTGTGAGTTTAGGGGGTCTTGGGCTAATACTACTTAGGGGCCCACCTAAATACTCAAAGTATAGAAAATGAGGCTGTAAAATATTTAATTTAAATAAATTGACATATTAAAACCTTATTTGTTTCTTAGGTTTTCACGCACATCACTCATTAAATAAAACTAGTTTTTACGGGTTAATGATAAAATCATTATTCTGACGATGCAGACCTGAAAAGGCTGCGAAACGTCAATAAATAAATAAAGTTTCGTGCATTAACCCGTAAAAACTAGTTTTATTTAATATTAAAACCTTTCCGCACTTTCCTTTAGCAAATTCTTAAATTTGCTTCTCACATTCTAGGTTCTTAGTTAAATCAACATTTATGGACAAAAAGGATAAATAGTTAAGTCGTAAGTTTGACATCGTCGTTCTGTATTTGTTCTATACACATCATCGCGATAATAACCGTATATAACCGTTAATAACCGTACGGGCACTTTCGTTTGATAGAAATACATACCGGGAGTTCAGGGTTAATTAAATTATGGATTCTTTGCATTATCGTCTATTTTTGACTAAACTTGACATAGCTGGGGGCCCTTTGAATCCACGGGGCCCTGGGCTAAAGCCCAATAAGCCATATGGTAGATCCGGTCCTGGTCAGAATACGTACTGAGCACTCAACGCCTCGCACCTGAGCTGAAACACTTTTCATCTTGCATAGCATACAGCACACCGCACACATCTCCGCTTTGCTGGTGTCCCCCGAGCTGAAAAACATCTCTTCTCGCACAGCACACAGCACACCGCACACATCTCTGCTTTGGTAGAGTCCCGGCCTTATGCATAAACCGTGAACCATTATTTTCCAATAATAAATGAATAACTTAGTTAAAAAAATACACTATTATTAAAACATCGAGCAAAGTTACAACAAACTACAAGAACTTTTGTATGATGTTGCTGTTACGGAACCCTTCATGGTCGCTTTTTTACTTTTGTCCATAAGCTTGGAGATTTGAGGCTGGCTTTAACCTCATCTGTAGGTTTACGTGTACCCCTTTGTATTGCCGGTAGTTTGCGGGAAGTCACCAGCCAGTAACTTTACCATCCCTTCCATAATATTTGTACTGTCTCACAAGTGCTTAGGACTTCGTCGGTATAATGTTTAAAGAATGGCTGCCATTCATTAATGTAGTGGCTTTACTAGAGGAAGAAACGGCAACAGCTATATTCTGGTATTTTTCAATGGACGCTAGTTATAAATTCAGCAGAAACGATTTTCCCGGTTCCTCCATAGGTATAAAGAAAGAAGAGTGCACCATTCTCTGATTCCACTTGACTTTAAACCTAGTGTAAGACGTTATTTTGTTCTGCAAATAACTGAGGAACTCATTCGGTTACTCGGTCTTGCAACGCTGTGACTAGGGATGCAAAGTCTTTTGAAATATCGATATTTATATCGATATTTATATCGAAGTCAGGCAAATATCGATATCCGATATATCGACCATTTTAACTCGATATTATCGATATATCGATATTTTTTTCTTTTTTTTGCTTTATATTAAGTTTGCAAAGCAAAAACCTAAAATTAAGGATGCAAAGGTTTCCGAAATATCGATATTGATAATGTGGGCAGGTAAATATCGATATCCGATCAGATATATCAGCCATTCCAACATTTCCAACACGATATTTTCTATATTTTTTATAGCGCTGTAAGAAGTATCAAATCAAAAGCAATTTCGAATCAAAGATATTTATTTTGTTTGAAATATTTGCACGCAGCCAAAATCAGAATAGATAATCATATGAAAAACAATTGTTATGAATTAGTAAAACCTACACATCAGGCTTCAGAATAGGGTAAGCCCAAAGCTTCCAAAATTACTATACCTATCTTACTTTCTTGACTTGGCGAGCTTAAAAAATTTACGATTTGTATAAGATTCTTAATTTTATTTTGTGTTATATTACAATGATATTAAATTTCAATTAATCAGTAGTTGACAATTATCTAGAAAAAGAGGCAAGGATTTTATTTAAGTGCATGAGTTACCATTAGGTATACGATTATACCTATATACGTTGGTGTCGATTCTGGCATGATTATCTAAATTTAAAACTAAATTTAACATCAGTCTCTCCTTTTCATTCTGTATAGAGAATGACAAGGATACACTGTTGTCAAATTTAATTTTAGGTTTAGAGAAACATGCCAGAGTCCACACCAGTTTAGTATATTTCTTGGGGTACGAGATTTTTTTAATACATCTATAAGCTCTTGCAATTTCAAAGCAATAGTTATTTCGATATTATTCAATTTAGATAGTCGTAGCAGGTAAATTAATTGATATTATTGTGTTCAAATTAAGTCTACGAAATATCGATATTTTGGAATTTCCGATATTATCGATATCAGTGAATTTTAAATATCGATATAAATATCGATATTTTGGTCTCGATATTATCGATAGTATCGATATTCCGATATATCGTTGCAACCCTAGCTGTGACAATATACATATTTCAACTCGCGAGCAAATCCGTTGTTTAAGTAATTTTTGTCTGATCTTCGAGGGCTTACATCTTGTAGGTTTTTTCCTGCCTTTGTAATAACCTTGTTTTTTTTACGCTACGTTGTAGTATATATGTGCTCAATATCATCAAAGGTCATATTTCCATTCACTCGCTGCAGGAGGCTCAAAATATCTTCCGCCATGTAGGTACACTGTATTGCATCACACTCATTTGAGCGGCTTCATCAGCAGTGGTATCCATCTTTATGGTGGCTTTTTTGTGAAAGATCTTCTCGTGTGTCCTCTTCAACGGTTGGATAGCGAATAACCCCCATTGAACATGTATTCACCATTTTTACAACATTAACTAATTAATTAACATGCGTGTATTTAGGGTTAATAATGCTTGAAAGTTATTTTCGCGGAGGTGCGATTTTTTTGACACCGAGTGTAGGTAGTGTTATGAATTTATGATGAGTCTATGATTTACTTGTAGAGAAACTGCAATAGATTGTGGCCTAAACCCCTATACGAGGTCGAAAGATAATTTATTCAAACTGTAGGAACTACTGTAGGTGCATAATTACAATGTGGTATCATAAAAAGGTGCGAGTCTAGAAAATTACTATGTAACATTATGTATTATATACAGTTTCTTTGATTAACATGCAACGTCTTCGAGGATAGATTAGCACGTTACCGAGTAACATAAGAATAAGTTTAATAAACGTTCATGCGTGATTTGCGTGAACAGTCTGAAATTCTGCAGCAAAATCGAATAATACTTACATTTGAATAAAAGTGTCGAAAAAATGTATAGGGACCTAAAGCAAAAACCGATATTTATTTTGTGACTTTGAAGCTAATTAAAAAATTTGATAATGTTATTTTTGGTGATCATACCTTGCATACTGTATTTTGTGTACGCTTGGCGGCGCAGGCGCAGGATACGCCGAGGGAATTTGCCGCCAGAATGTGGTTTGTCTTGGCCTATCATTGGTGTCGCCCATTTGTGGCTGAAAGGATGTAAGTAGTCAAATATAAATCAGTGTTAAATAATATGTTATGCAGGTACTTACATTAGCACCATCACTTGGCCGATGTACGGAATGTTAAGAGTAAAGGTCGTAGCAGACATATCAATTCTGAAAGGGATCGTCGCTCACCGTATCAACTCTAAACAGTGCCTTTGACCTATTGGAGGCCCTGGGCATATTAGGATAAGGTAGGTTTCATCTCAGATGCGCCTTATTTGGCATTAGTCCTGTCAGGTCTAAGTATTTAATTTCCTTGGGCTCACAAGTGTCACGCTTATTTCCGGACAATACTTCAGACTTGCTTGCTAGGTTGCCAACCAAACCCTTAACTACAGTAGTTTCCGAACATGCTCTATCTATCTATCCTTTGATAAGTTTTTATTTTCTGCGCTGGAAAGTTAGCAGCTGGCGACGCATTCTGTTTTCTTCCGCTCCTAGTGCAGTATAAGCGATTCATCTAATAACATTTTGTTTAATACAGCTTAAGCAAAATGTTATTAGAAACAAAAAAACACTCGGTCCAGTTTTCAGACGGGATTCGAACCAGCATCATTCTGTTTCTGCCCAGTGAGCCAATCGCCTAACCAGATTGCTTTGGAAAACGCTATCGCTTACGATTTCATTTTGTTATTTCTAACCGCCGAAATACCTCACGCTCATTTTCTTTAACATTGTTATTACCAATGCAAAAGAAAAAAAAAGAGCGCGAGGCATTTGAAAACCTCAGGGGGCTAGAAATAACAAAATGAAATCGTAAGCGATAGCGTTTTCCAAAGCAATCCAGTTAGGCGATTGGCCCCCAGGTAGCGGAAGATGATCTTTTGGGTTAGGAAAATGCTTAACAATAAAATTTTAACAATGTTACTTAGTTCCTTTGTTGTTTTTTTAGCTTTTTGGGAGAGGCTATTAGACATTCAAATGGATTGCATAAAAAAAGGTTCCGTGACATTGCTTCATGCTGGCATCAATCCTAATTACACTTATTACGGTAAGACTCAATACTCACTAAAATTTGTTTTACTTTACGAAATTATGCCACACACAGAAAAATGGCTTAATATTATATTTGTTCACAATTATAATAAGAATACAGAAGAACTTTATCTGACTTGCTTGATTTGACATAGGATACCTAGAATTTACTTTGTAATATGTAATTTGGTTAGGTCTTTGCTGGGTAATATTCACTAATACGCACTTGGCCCGCGTGGCCGTGAAGAGCAACTTGCAGGTCGGCAAGGGTCAATTCCTGTTGCACAAGCTATCTTCTCGTCTAGACTCCACTATCACTTTACATCAGACAGTGTGGAGACATTTGCTCGTTTCTACATGCTATGAAAACAAGCGAATGATGAAATATTAATTATTTAAACTATTTTTTGATTAGTTGCCTGTGATCCCGACGACGTTTCTACAGTGTTAAATTCGTGTTTAGAAAGAAGCTTTCTTCTCACGGATCATGTGAAAGCAGTTTTTGGAAATGGACTTGCAACATCGTCAGGTAAATAAAATGGATAAGCTTAGATTGAGTAAATACAATTTGAGAAGAACCAAAAGCCTTGGGAATATACTGCTCCTTAATAATCATTCGCTGGTATCAGCTGAAAACGCTTCCTGGTAGCTCAGGAAGTACGAGTAGAATGATATAGGGTCGTACGGTGTATATTTTGATGTTTTATTTACGTAACTAGGTTAAGGTGGCCAACAAACACATAGGTCGCCTCATCAGGCCATCAGGCTTACCATCGTAAGCCATCATAACCTACGCTTGCGATGCCGAGCTATCATTCGCTCATTGCTTGACAACTATACCTAGTGGAGCCCTAAAACCTTTTTCGCAAACAGAAATATTTTATCGCCAGTTCGGTTCGGGTGACAAAAACACTATAGGTAGGTATATGCCGTGCCTCTACTGAATTTTAATTATACCTACAATATCTGATAATCATTGAGGAGCTAGATGGCGCAATGCGGTACGGTATGTGATCGCAAAAAATAATCATTTAGGTCACTCAGTTGGTGCCCCTTATCATCATCATCATCAGCCTATTAATATCCCCACTGCTGCGGCACAGGCCTTCCCTATGGATGGAATAGGGAGATTGGGCCATGATCCACCACGCGGGCACAGTGCGGATTGCCGGGTGCTAACGACTGCAGATGCAGCCGGGACCAACGGCTTAACGTGCCTTCCGAAGCACGGAGGAACTCGAGATAGATGTTTTTGGTCACCCATCCAATGACCGACCACTGCGAAAGTTGCTTAACTTCAACCATCGCAGCCGACCGCGCTAACCACCTGCGCCATCGAGCTCCTCCATCCAGTTGGTGCCTCTGCAGTGGGAATATTAATAGGCTGATAATGATGAATTCCTCATAAAGACATTAGAATTAATGAGGAGGGTGGAAGCATTGAAAAGATAGCCCTGATGCCTTCAGCAATGGTGCCACCATTGCACCCAAAGAAAAATATGGCAAGCAAAGAATAGAAAAAAAAGCCTTTTTTTGACTTGGTTTACGAGAATGATTAATTTAAATAATGTTATTTTCCAGTTTCAGTTTGGAGGAGTCGACGAAAGAGGCTAGAAGCAGTTTTTAACAAATTGCAGTTTTCCACAGACGTTATGGTTAATGAGCAAACCATACTGCTTATAGAGGAGTTAGCACCAAAAGCGGACAAGGCAAGCTTTGATCCATCCCGTTATTTGAAGTACGCTATAATGAGGACTTTATTTAGTAAGTTTGTTTTTTTATGTTCTACTATAATTAATACTTCATCATCATCATCATCAGCCTATTAATGTCTCCCACTGCAGGGGCACAGGCCTTTCCTATGGAAAGAATAGGGAGACTGGGCTATATCCCACTACGTGGGCTCAGTGCGGATTGGTCGGTGCTAACGAAGGTAGATGCAGCCGGGTTTAATCTAACAAACGGCATAACGTGCCTTCTGAAGCACGGAGGAGTTCGAGATACTAAGTTTTTGGTCACCCATCCAATGACCGATCGTTGCGAAAGTTGCTTAACTTTCATGATCGCAATTGGACTCCTCTAACTGCCTGCGCCATCGAGCTCCTCTAATAGATTCTAAATTAATAGTTATAAATAGTTTGGATGATGCTCTCATCATCGCCATCATCATCATTGTATAATGGACCAGTTCAAGAACTATTCCTGGAAAACAGGCTGGCAATCTGCCACTAGGTACATACTCTTGCTAGTTGTATTGCCGCTGTCGCTTATTGGTAATTTTTCTTCCAGCAATGATCTTTACGGAAAGTCAACACGATGAAGAATTCTGTAAGCATGTAGATTTGTGCATTAAAGCTACAGAGAATGTTAGCAAAGCACTATATGTCAAACACAAAAATATATTTACTCATAATAACTTTATTTTCAATAACTGTACTAAAAGCAAGTCCATGCAAGAAGAGGCGATAGGAATACTTAACGATGTTATAAATGAGGTAAGTCTCTGTTTATTTCAGTAGCAAGTACTTAGTACCACCTGCTTTATTAAAGTTTCAAAGCAATTCATTAGGCAAGAGTTTGAAGGTGCTGTCCTTAAAATCAGTATAACCTAAATACTAAGACAATAAAAATAATATGTAGAATTGTTAAATAACGTATTCTTCATCGACAGAATATGAAAAAGGAAATAGCCATCGGAAATGAAGTGGAGAAATCACAAGTCACCGATTCCGAAAAACTGGGTTTGTAAATTCTAAGGTTTTCTTATTAGAGTCTAAATGGTTATAATAACTTCTTCTTATCGATATTGTTATTGACATACACCCATATTCTAGTGCAAGAAAGATTAGCTATCCAATCGCAATGAATAAATCGTAGTGATAGCCAAAAGTGCTGAATACACTCAGCTCTTTGCTAGCAGCGAAATATATTTGGTTGACTTTTGGTTGTTAGGATATTTTGGCCTAGAGAAAACTTGCTGATGGATGTGATCTCACGTGGATTTGTAACCAAGATAATGCCAACTTTTCAGTACCTACTTACCAATCACAACACAACAATGGTGGAGGTGTTATAACCAACACGTAGAACCAACAAAAGACGAAGCAAGTTTTAATTAACTATTTAGCTTAGAACCTCAATGTTTTGATTGGTGTGGTGTTACAGGGCTGTTAAACTACCTTCTCAAACTAAGGGCTGAAAGCATTTATAATGATGATGACGTTATAAAAGAAATACTGTCAATAATTTTCAGCGGTTACTTTACGATGTCTTATACCCTGTTAAATGTTTTGAATATGTTGGGTTCCCATCTGACGGTCCAAGAAAAGCTTTACAAGGAGTAAGTACCTATTGATATAATTTAATAACATTTTATAAAAAAAAGTGTGCCTATTTAACACCATTATTATTTTGTACCTATTCACATGATTATCTTAGATAAATATTTAGGATTAGAATATCAACTATTGCCTTAAAATTAATTGAATAAAACCTCAGAATAATTGTAGGTATACTTAAAAAAATATTATTCTTGTCTGGTACGAGTCGAACCCAGCACTCCGCGTTCAGATAGTCTAGGTCTAGGCTAGGTGGAATGCGTAGAAATTTGATTCAGCTCAATATTTTAGTAGTTCAAAAGAAACATTACGACTACAATGCTGGGCTGGAGAGACCTGGTTGACTAGTTGATTTACAAACATAATTAATAACAATGCAGATAAAAAAATTGATTGAAATAATGTGTGCAAAGGGAAAGTAACCCGGGAAGAGTCTAAGTGTCGCCGCACACGGGCCACACGCCACAGCCACAAACGCCACCACGAGAAGCTAAAAGCGGCTACTAAAGTGGCTGAAGCGCGCGACAGCGGCCGACTAAGGCAAGGGAGAGAGGGGTGGGGAGTCGCGCGAGTGACGTGTGGCGGCGTTTTGTATCGGCACGGTAATAATATCATACAGTATTCTATCTTCATACAAACGGTCGGAAAGCGAGTCATACCTACGCCACTCGAGTTCGATGTGCGCTCGGCGTGCACCCAGTCGCGAATGCGCCGCCGCGCCGCAACGACGACCGAACGGTCTGAATTGTTTTTTATGCAGTTAGCCGTGCTTAAACATGCGTTTTGTATTGTAAATATTTGATTTAATTAAGTAGATACCTACATAATTTAGTATGGAAAAGAACAAACGACGATCAATATCGTACAACAGCACAATTGCTGTTTTTGGTTGCTTGAACTCTTCAATAACACACCCAGAGATATCATTTTTTAAATTACCTGAAATATTGGAAAGGTGTCTTACCTTTATAGAATATTTTTATATACCTATCTACTAGTACGTTATTTGTTTCTAATATTTAGGTATTTCGGTTTTTCCATCGTGTAAATATCTGGAATAATATATAAATAAGTGGTTAGGATGAAAAAAGAGACAAACGAGTAATCTACCTACACTCGCGTTAAAAACAAAACTACATAAAATACTCGTACTGTAGGCTGGCGGCCCTACCGCGTGCCAACGCAGCGTTCAGTGTAGGCATTTATTTTCAAGGACAGGGCGGAGTCACAATACTGTATAGATAATATTACCGTGGTATCGGCGCATTAAGTGGCCGGTGCGGGCCACAAGAAGCGAGCAACGACGATTTGTAGCGTGTGGCGACCACCGGCGTACCGTATGTGGCGAGTCCATATAAAATGTATGAAAACTACATGAAATATGCCGGTGGCGGCGTTTTGTGGTTGTGGTCGGTGGCTCGTGTGCGGCGACACTAAGGATAAAGTAACAAGGAGGTAAAAGTGATAGATGCGGCTCACAGACTTGGATCTGTTAACAGAAAACTAAAAACTCTTTCTATTTTATTTAAGGCCTGGACAGTTCCTTCCAAATAATATTTCTCAGGCTTATTTTACTTATAAATATTTTGCAGAATTTCTTCTCTACCAAACACTTCAGAGAAAATTATTAAAATGGATAATTTATCTCAGCTACCTTTTTCGGATGCTGTAATAATGGAGACTCTGAGATTATATCCACCTATATCGTTTATATCAAGATTAGTAGACAAAGAAGTCGTTTTAGGTAAGTTGCTTTCCAATTATGTGTAGTTTTGTACCTATAAGTATACAAAGCAACTGCAGTAAGAAAAAAACAGGTCAAGTTGCGTGTCGTGCCACGCGCAGTGTAGGGTTCCGCAGTTGCTCGTCGTCACCACAATATATTTTGGAACGAGTATATATTTTAAGCGATTACTTCGTCTAAGTCATTTTAATGTTTTCTTCTAAGGAATTTTCCTTATGTCAGAAATATTCTAATACATAAGTTGACTGTTACTGTTGAAAGACTGTTACTCTTAAACTAACAAATCTATATCACCCTTTATAATTTTCCTTAAAAGTTCATGAAAAGCACTATTATCATGAAATTTTCCAGGGTTTTCAAACCAGCAAACCAGTTTAGCTTTTGGAGGGGTGAGGGGGGCACCATACACAAAATTAGCACTTTAAAACGGATCCCTTAATCGAAAAATAGTCCAAAGTAATTTTAAAGGACCTATTAAACGATACCACACACGATGGGGTAGACGATGAAAAAATAAAATCATCTCAAGGTTACATGTAGGGGAGCTACCCTAAAAAATGTATTTTTCAAAATTTATTCTACCATTTTGTTAAGATGTATGATCCACAAAATTACAGCAAAACCAGGGACGGACAGACAGACGGACATGACGAAACTATAAGGGTTCCTTGTCAGAATTACGGAACCATATAAGTTAATATGTAGTACATTACTGCAGCGGCCAGCAATGGAGGCAGTGATGGATAAACGGCCGAGGTGAAGTCATGTCACACATACGTAAGTCCATCAATGCCTAGTTGTGGCCAAGGCTTGCATAGTACTTTTCTCAAATGATGCGCGGAAATTCAAATAGTACAGTCAATCTGTCGAAAAAAATATCGTTTCAGTGAAAAAAAAACCTAAAGGGTAAGTCTTGTTTTTTCTGTTGCCAAATGACGTCAGTAAGCCACCTTGGCGATGGGCATGTTCAACTCGTAGGCGTTTTTTGAAAAACTCAAAAAAACCGTCAAAAATTTTTTGAAACGCATTTTTCTTGTTTTGTATGCATTTTAGAAACTTTTTTTTCGACCATAATTGTAGAGGGCGTTGAGTACTACAATTTATATCATTGTTGCAATCTCGTACAACAAAAAATGTGCATTGTAGGTGGCGCTAAAGTCTCAAAAAAGTGATTTTTCACTTTTTCACCCTGAAAATATCATTTTAATGGAAAACTTTAAATGGCAAAGTTGTTTCGTACATAATTACCAACAACTTTTGCATAAACATTTTTTTGTATCACTTACCGTTTTCAAGTTATATATCGCGCAGGTATGAGAAATCCAATAGAGCGGTTTTGGGCAGTTCAAGTACACATTTGCAGTGCACATTTCAATGTACGTTTTAGTATTTTTTATTTTTTTTCATGATTGAAAAACAAAAAAGAATGAAAAAAAATAAAAAAAAATAGTTTTCTTTTTATTTTTTTTCATGATTGAAAAAAAAATTGTAAAAACGTACATTGAAATGTGCACTGCAAATGTGTACTTGAACTGCCCAAAACCGCTCTATTGGATTTTTCATAACTGCGCAATTTATAACTTGAAAACGGTAAGTAATACAAAAAAATTGATTATACAAAAGTTGTTGGTAATTATGTACGAAACAACTTTTCCATTTAAAGTTTTCCATTAAAATGATATTTTCAGGGTGAAAAAGTGAAAAAACACTTTTTTGAGACTTTAGCGCCACCTACAATGCGCATTTTTTGTTGTACGAGATTGCAACAATGACATGAATTGTAGTACTCAACGCCCTCTACAATTATGGTCGAAAAAAAAGTTTCTAAAATGCATACAAAACAAGAAAAATGGGTTTCAAAAAATTTTTGACGGTTTTTTTGAGTTTTTCAAAAAACGCCTACGAGTTGAACATGCCCATCGCCAAGGTGGCTTACTGACGTCATTTGGCAACAGAAAAAACAAGACTTACCCTTTAGGTTTTTTTTTCACCACTCAACCTACAGATTGACTGTACTAAAACTAGGCAGACCTTATTATTGTAACATACCATTACCTACTATACTTTTCAAAATCAATGACGAACAACAACACGCATTCATTTGTTTTTTTTTTCAATAAAAAGCTTTCTGACTTGCAAATCCGTTCGAAATTTAAATAAAACCTTTGATAAGTTACCTCATATTAGGTTGCCATGTTTAGGAGTAAAGGATCATTTCATTTTTAAATAACACGTCAGATATGAGTTTACTATGTAATTTATTTGACTGCTAAACACGACAGATATAGATTTTCATACAACTTTTGCTGGCCGCTGCTCGCATGTATGTGGCCAGTACAGCAATAGGGTATTTGAAAAGATTAAGAAAACGATCTCGCGTTATTAACTAATGTTTATGGAGTCCATAGAAAATAGAAATTCATCATTCTGTTGCGTATTTGAGTAAAAAAGACCATTTTAAAATTGTAAATAATCCCCATCTTGCTTCCAGTCTTTTCTCTCTTCCTAAGTGATGTTAAGCCGTTGATCCCGCACAACTGCATTTGCAGTCTGCAGCAGATGAGTCCAAACCTGCCTGCCTGTGTGCTAACCTGCATGACCTGTTCCCTTTATTCGGCAGGTCTGTGCCCCAAAAGGAGGGACATTAATAGGCTGATGATGATACAATTTAGGATTAGAATTTTAAGTACTTATGATATACTAGCGGCCCGCCCTCGCTTCGCTTCGGTGTAGAGCTGAAGTGTAGACTACAGTTTCTGTTCTCAGGCTTGTATTATACACAATGACATTCATCTATGATTCATCTTATACCTGCATGCAAAGTCTCAGCCCGATCGGTTTAAAATTGACAGTTTCATACAAACTTTCATTCCCTATTTTATCCCCTTGGGGATAGAATTGATCAAAATCCTTTCTTAGCGGATGCCTACGTCGTAACATCTACTTGCATGCCAAATTTCAGCCCGATCCGTCCAGTGGTATGGGCTGTGCATTGATAGATCACTGTCAGTCAGTCACCTTTGAGTTATATATATATATATATATATATACATATATACATATATATATATATATATATATATATATATATATATATATATATATATAGATAGGTACTGTTTTCATATTTTTTTGTCTTATTTTTCTAGGTAAATATAAACTAGAAACTAATAGCAATTGCTTGCTGTGCGTCTACGCTATGAACCGTCATCCTAAATGGGGTGAGGATGCGGACGAGTTTAAGCCTGAAAGGTGGCTAGAGGATGTTGCTTCGAAGCCGTTCGCCAGTTTTGGGTTGGGAGAAAGGAACTGTATAGGTGAGTTTGTTTAGGTCATCACACTCAGCATTCCAAAGTAAACTTACAATTTTGGACATAGGAGATTATCTATATGTCCACCTATTAACGTCACCTAGTTAAAAACATGTCAGCCATCCTTGCCGTGCTGGCTTGAACACATGCCCCCCTTACCTAGTGGAGTACTGTAAAGATTAGGTACATGTTGATGTTACTTGATTTCTTACTCAGCAATAGAAACATGGTGGCCATTTACCCACCAAAAGGCACTTCAATCGAGGCAAAAAGACGATATGCCCTACCCTTTTCTATATGTAGAACTGAGCACAAATTTCAACCTACCTGATGTTAAGTGGCGGAGGAATCCAGACACGAAGCTAGCTGGTTCAGTAGTTTGACCACACCTCACCTTGCCGGCCTGCAAGTTGCTTCTTCATATCTCTTTTGAAAGTCCCCGGGACTTTTACAAGCTCTTGTGAAAGTCAAACGCTATGGAATGGGTTTGTAAATCTAAGGCGGAAGACTTTGTACTGAGAAGGACCGGCAGGAATCTCAGCACCTTTGCTGTCATTCTTTGTTCGTCGAAAAATACTTACACATTTTGAATTTTCAGGAAAACTGTGGTCGTTGTCAATAATGAAGAGGCTTCTTATAGGCATAATGAGGGAGTATGTTGTATATAGAAATGCTGATGCAATGACTATGAAGCAAAAGTTATTTCTGCATTCTGAGAGCGGGCATTATATCAGTTTACAGAAGCGATCTACTGTTGAGAAGAAAACTGTAAATGGAGAGAATATTAATAAATGAGCTAATAAACAACCAAGATTATCAACTTTTATAGTTTAAGTAGAAATAAGTATATAATAAGAAATATAGGTTCTAAAATAAAAATTTTTTTTTGTTACCTTTGACCATGCCTTCTATCCTTAGTCTGAGAACTGACTGAGTGGGTGAGCGGAGAAAGTTCCATTAGCATCTGTTCTGACCCCAAAATAACAATAGAAATATTACGAGTTAGTAACTTTTAAAGTTATTATACATATTTTTATTTTTAAGCATTGACTACTGCTAGTTGTTTAAATCTAAAAACAATACTAGAAATACAATCCACTTGATCGAGGGCTTCAGACCAGATCTGCCCGAGAAGCGGAAGATGCGAGTTCGAATTCCGTCTGAAAACTGGAAGTTTTCTAGTAAAATTTTCTTTATTATAAAGTTAGTTTAAAAAGCCGCAAGATAATTCCAATTTCCATGTTCTGCAATATAAAAACAAAGCACGATCCTATAAACTCATTAGTGTGTTTTAAACGTTGTGGTCTTCACTTTGTGATTAGACATTTTGAAATAATGTTTTTATGTGTGCTATTTTGTGTTAGTTGCTTGGTCTATATCTTTTTCACGTCGCAAAAGCAATGGGACCGCCCACCAGTTTTTCCTGGAGACTTGCCTCTGATCGGGCATGCACATCTGCTGTTTGGAGATGGGCAAGGTATGTACTTACAGTTAATACTTAGGTACATAAATTACCTGCACGCCAAATGAAGCTAGATAAGAAAGATGGAATATCCCACTACGTGCTCCTAATGTTATAAATGTGAAAGTTTTTATGTTTGTTCCTCAATCACGCTAAAACGGCCGCATGGATTAAGATGAAATTTCAATGGAGTTCAATATGTCCCTTGTGACACCCGTTGATGATAAAGATTAGAACAAAATGGATTCAAACAGTTTTGTACAGTTGGAACATTTTTCACCGAATGGGAACTACATTGTTTCTGTACTCATAAAAATACAGAATTGCATATTCTTATAACTACAGTAATAATATGTCTTGTGGTTATTTAACTGCCAACTCATTATTAACAATATTTAATCTGCTCTTTGTACATTGAAAAAGAAAGGTAAATAAGAAGGTACCTACATATTTTGTTCTAGATTCCGTATTGTGGTAAGGAGCCATTTTAAAGTGTTTTCTCTCACTCTCTCAATGATTACAATTATGGATATTAAATTAAAGACCTTGATGAGCACATTCCAAAACTCTGATTGATAAGGGATCATTCCCGCTCCTCACCGGTGCGGTGTGTAGTAGGATTTTTCTTAAAAATAATCTCATACGTCACCCCGAGTTACGAGTGGGCTTTAGTCGATTTCTTCTTCTAACTGCTTACATCACAGACCAAGTAACTCTTTGTTTTAAGCTAAATCTCTTTGTAACATTACAGCCTTATGGAAGTTTGTGAATAATTTATCTAATTATGGCGCAAAGAAAGGTGGAACCTACATTCGATTAGGACCAAAGATATTTTACGGTAAGTTTGTTGCCTGGTCAGAAACGTCAATGAAATTAAATGCTTCCTTAAATCATATGTTGTCTTAAGATCAGGAACATGATTCGACTGTGCATGAAATTTGAAATTTCAGTTCTGGGTCTTTCGCGGATCGTCCTTCCATTATATTTCTTCTATACTTTTATAGGAAAGCCTGTGCCCTAACAGGCGGATGATGATAATTTTTCATAATTTTGCAGTGATCTGCGATCCTGATGATTACCAGACAGTAATGGATAATTGTTTAGAAAAAAATTACTTTTACCAGAAGTTCCTTAAAGCGTGGGTTGGACTGACTTTCGTAACAGCAACAGGTAATTTTAATAGTTTAATCTCAATAAGTCAGTGTTAAGTGATATTCAAACTTTATGATATTGTTGTTAAGTTCAAACAAACTTTATGGTATTTGTTGTTAAGTTCAGTTCAGTGAAACTCCATGTGCACCTAGAACTACTAGGTAGGTACCTACTTACAGTTCGTTTACCATATCTTATTTTCCCTAACTTTACAGCCACCATTAAGTTTGAATCGTACCGCTTATAGTAGGGAAGTCCAAGCTGGGATTTACTCGAGCGCGGCTGAATAACAAAAGTTGGGTCTCACCCAATATTTAGAGTCACATTGTCTCCTGTCGTCTACTGAATAATTGATTATGAATCTGATCATATGCCCATTGATAGGCTTCTTACTTCACCTGTATCTACACAGGAGAGTTAGCAACTGAGCAACAAATTTTCTTTATTCTTTGTTTGTTTATTTGTCTGGTTTATTAACGAATTTTGTTAAACTTGGGAAAAATAAATGGGCAAATTTTTGCAGCGTAAATAATTGAAAATCAGGGTAAGTAACATCTTACAGTAACAGAAAACACACAACTTTTTAGTGGTGTTATGTGTTTGTGTCGGTAAGAGAGGTTATAGGGCTTCACGGGGTAGCCTAACCGCATGGAGGAGGAATCCGGGCCGGAGGAAACGTGGAGAGTCTCCGGATCCCACAAAACCCATTCCGGCAGGTGCGGAAATACTGTTGGGTTTTTAATGGGTAGGGTCCCCACTAAAAACCGAACACGACTTCTTCATACCAGGTAGCCGCTGAGCCAGTCCCAATGGCTGGCTAAGCGGGTGGGCGGGATTAGTCCCACATAAACTCGTCGTGCCAGGGGCGGGTTATGCGTCACGCATTTTTCCAACATGAAAAAATAACAAAAAAAAGGCACAGACATATTTTTGGTTTAGGCGGGACATAATAAACTTGTTTGTCAGCCTTTTAACATGTAAAAGATAAATGACTTGTTACCATAGTACCATTAAGGAAACGCTACACCAAGATGCTGACTCCAGCTTTTGGGAATGGGGTATTCAGGGAGTACATGGATTTCTACAACAGCCAAGCCAGGAGTTTGGTCAAGCAATGGGCGCCATTGTCCGGGAAAGGAGAATTCAATCCAAAGCCCCACCTGAGACGTGCCGCCCTACAAACAATTATTCGTAAGTTTAAATATAAGTCAAGACTTTGCTTTGCCATATTGTAACTTCAAAAATTTGCGTCTAATTAAAGGCTAAGAATTTGGTTATTAAGATCAAGTAAGGACATTCCTCTGCCATATTTTCTCTAATCTAAATACTTTACCGCTTAGGTAGTACATACACACATCAAAAGTGTCTAGGGATCAACATATATTTTTGCAATAACTTTTCTCCTGATTGATATTAATTAAAATTTTCTTTAAGGATTCATCAAATAAAGTGTTTTCGTTTGTCACAGTAACGATAAACCAAGTCACCTTTGCATTAATAAAGAAATTTGCCATTTTCCTAATAAAGGGATTTTTGACATTTGAACCACTAACACAAAAGTTCGAAAAAAAGACTGAAATAACAGTTTTCTCTAAAATTTTATTGGGTAACTTAAACAATTAATAATCCGTATTTCTACCGCGAACACTAACAACACAAGAACATCGGTTTGGCATACTCAAAATGAGTTCATCCAAATCACGCTGTGGAATGGCCGCCCATGTTCGTTGCAACAACAAAAAAAGGTCTTCTTGCGACTGGATACCCTCCATATTCGGCAGAGCTCTTCTCTGTAGCATATCCCATGCATGCTCAATCGGGTTCAAGTCTGGCGACTGAGCAGGCCAGGGCAGGACATTGATGTTAGCTGCGGCGAGAGTCTGTCTTACAACTCTTGCGGTGTGCGGTCGTGCATTATCATGCATTAACTGAAATAAGGGACCGATTTGCACTTGTAGAGGAACGATGACGTCTGATACAATCGTCTCAGCATAAATTTGAGCGTTGAGGTTGCCTCTGATCCAAATCAACTCAGTTCTTCCGCCGATCCAAATACCCGCCCATACCATGATGGTTCCACCACTATAAGGATGGACTTCCTGGCAGGATTTTAATCGCTGTTGGCGTCCAGGGGTTCTCCAGTGTCGTATACGTCTTGTATCCGGTCTCATACCAAAACGAGACTCATCAGAAAAGCACACGAAACGCCATTGTTCTTCTGCCCAATTTCTGTGTTCAAGAGCCCATTGATATCGAATCCTACGATTGTGCATTGCTATAGGTGGTACCCGTAGCGGTCTTCGGGAATGAAGGTTCACTTCATGCAAGCGGTTTCTGACTGTTTGGTCGCTAATTAAGTTCCCTGAAGAGTGATGAAGCCTCACGGCTAACATCATGGCGGTTATTGTTGGAGCTCTTCGAGTTAAGATTTGAATGTATCGGTCTTGTCTCCGTGTGGTGCAGCGATACCGTCCTCCATGGCGCTCAGCCACGGTACCAGTGCTTCGGTATCGTGTCCAAAGTCGACTGATAACACTCTGACTTGTATTCAGAGCTAAAGCCACAGTACGTTGCCGGGAACCAGCTTCTATCATTCCCACGGCTCTGAGCATTTCTTCCCTGCTTAAATGACGTCGCCGCTCCATAATAACGTTGGTTTTAATCAGTAGTAGGGAAACAGTAGCACTAATAATGTCTTCAATGCGTTGTATGTTTTTATAGGGAAAATATTGACAGCTGATTTTCATCTTTTACTCGAATTTGATTCACAGTTCCTGATTCAAATTATGAAATGCACCAAAAAGGATCCATATAAATTTATAAAATCATAAATTTATTACAAAGCCACATCTCAATCTCAAGAAATCCGCATAAAAATGCTTGATCCCTAGACACTTTTGATGTGTGTATTTGACTAGACAAAAAATGTTGTCAGTGGCGGATTTACAAATTTGCCGCTAATAGGCTATTAAATTTTTGCGTCTCTTACTGACCTTTGAAATTCAATACGCTAGTTCACAATTACATTCATTCTGAAATTGCAACTTTATGATTTGTGTTCTATCGTCCACATTACGCCGGCTTTTCCCCGTTAGTTTAAAAAATTACTAAATTTAAATTGTGATTAATATTGAAACGCTAATGGAATATTTTAAAAATTCAGTATCGCATAAGTACATACCTATATTTTACAGTGCGTTTAGTAATCTTTTATATACGGATTACGGACGTAAGAGTGTTGAGTATACTGTGCATTACTAAAATATTAAAATTATTGTCACTCGTTTTTCTGTGTAGATTTTGGACCAAATTTGCCGCCCCCTTAAATCTGCCGCCCTAGGCTCCAGCCACAGAGTACTCCAGCCTACTGAGCCTACTGGTAAATCCGCCACTGAATGTTGTCTAATATATTACGTGCCAGAGATTCTCAAACTTACTCGTATGTCAACCATCCGCCCCTTTGACAATGATAGATTACCAACTTCTAAAATTGTAGAAAGCTGTAATGAACTAGTCTTCATTTTTAGATTAAATTCCAACACAAAATAAACACCGATCATGTTCACAGCCACTTCGTCATTATTAAATTTAATCTTTAGGCCCACATTAGCGCTTTTATTTATCACCGACTGAAAAAACAGACTCCTATTTCTATTAATAATAAAACATTTGAACCGGGTCATCTTGAAACTGCAAACTTCCAAATTAGGTATATATTATTATCGTTAATATATTACTCACATATTTTGGTTAAGGATAGCGCCTAACACTTCATTAAAAAAAAGTATTTTTGATGATACGGTCCCAGTAAGTCATTATAAAATACTTGTGTTGGGCCTGTTTCACTCCAAACCTTTATAGCAAACTTGTTTTGTCGCAGGTACTACATTAGGGCTGCAAATAAAAGAAGGCTTGACGAGCCAAATGCAACTCTATTTGAAGTCGATAGATGAAATTGTAAATGTTATCACAAAACGAATTCAGACCATATGGATGCATAATGATTTCCTTTACAATAGGTCTTCGTTGAAAAGGAAAGAAGAAAACTGCTTGAAAATCATTAACGCTTATTCTAAACGGGTAAGAATGGTTCATACTTAAGTCTTGTTTTAATCCGCAGACCGCATAGCCATGACCGAAATAAAGTTGCTCCGTTTCACATAACATCTTAAGGTAGCTAAAACAGCACTTTGAACGCTTTCACTTACCTGTGATACATTTTTCTAACACTACAGTTAACCATCTTCTATTCTAGGTAATAAAAAATAAGAGAGAAGCTGAAAAAAATGCACAACCGCAACAAAATCATAAAGGTACAGTTTACAATAATAGTGAAGACTTCCTTTTTTTCTTGATTCCATATGACGCGTGACCAGACCCCTCTTTCCCAGTGGACACTTTGGGCAAGTGCCCAGATCCTCGCGATCGATAGGGGCCCCCCCCTGTTAGATCAAATACAAAGCCCCTAGTTCCTGTTAAATCACCAAACGGGGGGTCATAGAGGCACCATTATCCTAATATGCCCAGGGCTTCCAATAGGTCAAAGACGGCACTGCGCTTGACGTTACTTATTCGTACAATTTTCACTAAAAAGTGACGTCACGAGCTCCCACTTCCCAACTTTGACGCTTTATCTACGTAATTTTTTGATTGAATGATAAAATCTAACTGACTGACTAAATAGAATTTCGTTTAGTTTACCCCGTCATCGAAGTTTAACGAATTATTTTTGTTTTCTCCCAAGCGGTACAGTGACGACCTTTTAGCTTAGAGGATATGCTCCAAGTCATTTATTGACTAAAATACACAACTGAAAGGGATGATGCAGCGTTGTCTTAGCTGTATACCTACTAAGGAACAAGCTCGCGACAATTTAATTATTTCTATACTTTTTCAGGAAGAACTCAAGGTTTCTTGGATTTAGCACTGCAACTGACGAAGGACGATTTGATGTCCGATCAACTTCTTCTGGAACACATAAACAGTTTGACGTTCGCTGGCTATCATACAGTCTCGGCATCTTTACATTTCATATTGCTAATAATAGGTTCATATACAGAAGTGCAGAATCGAATTTACGATGAGTGAGTATAAAAAACTTACTTTAAATTCAAAGAAGTGATATTTTCATAGTGTTCGAGCCCATAAAGATTGGCTTAACTTTAAAATTTACTAAAGTTGCAAAGTCAGTAGAACAAGAAAATTTTATATCGATACTACCTACTTAATAAATTATAAATACGAAAGTGACTTTCCGTCTGTTAGGTTAAATCTTCATGCTTAAATCACTGAACCGATTGAGATGAACTTTGGTATAAAAAGATAATTTGAGACCCGGTGAAGGACATAGTTTAGTTTTTATCCCAGCAATCATCCTTAGAGGGGGTGAAAAAGGGGATGGAAGTTTGTATGGGAAACCAACTTCCACGCAGACGAAGTCGCGAAGACAAAGTACAAAGAAATTCAAGTAAGAGTTTGGAAAAAAATATTGGTCAAAGTGAAAAAATTATTGTAGATTACACGACGTGTTAAGAGGAACAGCAGAGGAAGATATTACAGTTGTACAGCTATCAAAATTGGTGTATATCGATGCTGTTATAAATGAGGCAGCGAGGCTGTATCCTGTAGCCCCAGTTGTATTAAGATATATAGAAAAAGATGTACAGTTACGTAAGTACCTACAATAACAAAGTGGATTTTATCAAAAGATGGTAAACCAATGGCTTAACACGGGTCTTATAGACGCCCCCTTATAGAGCACAGAGAATTTTTTGTTCAAAAAATAAGTTATAAAAAAGGTAATTCTTGAAAAAACTAATAATCCTACTGCTTAATTATTACTTCAAATAAAAACTGAAAAGAAAAAAAAGGTCCAGTAGTCTTATAATTCTGTTAAGAAAGAAACAAAGCTGCTTTAACGGATATTGATATTGCCCAATCTACCCTGCGCCCTAGATTGCCCCTGCAGCAGGTGTGTCACGCGCGGACCGTTGCATAGTCAAGATGTCGCAGAGCCTCGTGAAAAAATACTATTTGTCAATCAATGTTTGTTAATTTAACTCATTTAAAGCAAATATTGTTCTATTACTTACTATAAACTGGTTTCTTAGAAAATATTTATGATATTCAAATGCATGGTCAGTAATATAGCCGTCTCTTTTGCTCGCGGTCCGTACCTGCTACATTGCTAACAGCGTATTCAGAATTGCGCGTAGTGTCAAAGAAATAAGGTCTTATTTCTTCTACATACAGTTGATCATGTAATTGTATCTAGTGTATTTAATATAACTGAACATCGTTGCATTCTTTTTGCTGATGACATATCAGTGGTAATAACAACTGATAGTAAAATGACAATAGATGACCATATAAATGACATTGAAAAAACAATTGGATTAATTATAAATTGGCTTCAACATAATAATTTAACTATTAATATTAATAAAACGTGTTACATAAATTTTAATAGTTCCGTTGGTCAGTCATTGAATAAAAATTACCACGGACAAAAGCTTAAAAATGCAAATACAACCAAATTTTTAGGCATAGAAATTGATCAAAAATTAGACTGGAAAACACATGTGGATACTATATGTAACAAAATTAACCGTTTTATATTTGCTCTCTATAAGTTGACGAAAATAGCTACAAGGAATACTGCTCTTACAGCCTATTTTGCGTATGTAGAATCAGTTTTAAGATATGGTATCGTTATATGGGGAAATAGTATAGAAGCAAAAAGGGCTTTCATTACACAAAAAAAATGTATCAGAGCTATATGTGGAACTCCGCCTGATGAACCATGCAGACCCTTATTTAAACATTTAAAAATATTACCACTGCCTTGCCTATACATTTTTGATGTTGCTAAATTTGTAAGGTTAAATATCCACTATTTCAGGCAAGCTGTAGATATATATCCACGTAATACACGAAATGGTGATAGATTGGTTTCTGCAATTATTCCAAATAGCATGAGATTTCAAAAAAATTGTTATTGGATGTGTATGCAAATTTACAATAAGTTACCAACTTATATAAAAAAATGCCTTTTAAGAAATTTAAGACTGCCTTGTACAGTTGGCTATATGATAGGATGTTTTATAGTGTTAAAGAATATTTATGTAATGAATGCAGCTAGTGACAGTTTTTAGGTTTTATTATTTGTATTCTGCACTTGGTTGACATTTTTATTCTATTGTACTCTGATTGACATTTTATTCTATTGTGTTTTGTTTGACATTTTATCCTATTGAATTTTGATTGGCATTTTTTTCTATAATTGACATTATTAATCTACTATCTTATATACATAATACATAAATTATATACATAAATTAAGAGAGTTGTAATTTTGATGACGATAATATAATGTAATTCGCTTTTAAGAATTTATTAATGGTATGTGAAATTGATGGCATAATGATTGTTAATGATATTGATGTAGTTAATGCAGTGTTGGGTATTTGCATGCTATTGTAAATGGCAGAATGGGCTGAACTTCATATTTGTGACATCTCTAGTGTACCCCTATTCTTATGCAAATAAATAAATTCTAAATTCTATCGTTGGTCGCGGTATACTTCTTGAGCAAAACCCACACGCATATAAACTGGCGTAGTAGACATTTTTCTATGTAGAATTGCTACTGCCAGGCTTCCTTGTATATGGTCGTTGTTCAAGAAGTTTCCCGGTATGTAGATTTAATAGGTTTATTCTTAATTTTTCAGAGAATTACACCATGAAGGCCGGCTGCGATTGTGTCGTGATGCTGCATGAACTAAACCGCTCCCGTATATGGGGTCCTGACAAAGACCAGTTCCGACCTGAACGATGGTTAGAGCCGGGCCTGTTAGCGAACGCCAAAGATTATACCGGGTTCGGAACCGGTCGGAGAGCATGTTTAGGTAAGGATGAGCGTCAGGCGTCGTCCTAATTGATAACGATCGTACGATGACACGATGCCATCTCGTCGTGCGATGGGTTCAAACATTGTTCAGCGTCCATACATAGCCTAAGAACCAACAATCATGAAATATTATTTTCTAGGTTCAAAATCGTAAGTAAATGACTGTAAAAACAAAGATTATTGACGGACACTTCTGAGAACTTAAATTATTAGGAAAACTAATTTTTTTTTGAGGTTATGTTTAATATTCTATGAAACATAGTTCAACCCATGAATTTAGAATGAACTCAGTATGAAGTGAATTAATATTACAACTAATTCATTTTATTCGGTGCGATTTTAAAGAATAACTATTAGGAAAAACTTGGTTAGGTAGGAATCATGAATAAATAAAAACTGTAGTTTGCATCTTATTTATTGACTATTTTTCACATAATTGTATCATATTGTTTATTGTATTTATTTGTATATCACATGTTTTTTGTGTAAATATGCAGCGTGAATGTGTATCAGGTGTTCTTGAATAATTTGGCAGTATGATCCTCTCAGGATGTTATGGCACAGGTTCACTAGCACTTGGTAATAAGGGCTCTGCTCTTTGGTAACATCGATGGCATATTAGATAGCCGAAATAGTTAAATTAAAGGAAAAACAATCGCAAATAAACACACAACAGGTAATCCGAAACGAGAATGCACTTTCCGGTATATTATACTACTCTTTGGAATGCAGGAATGCCACAGATTACTACAAATGCAAACTGCATGCACCACAACCACAGAGTAACGATTTTTATGCCTGTCCTTCACTTGACAATAGTTTGTCCTTGTCATGCTTGATAAGGAATGAAAAGGACAGACTGATGTCGTGTTTTAAAATAGCAAATACGAATAGCCAAGTGAAGTGCCGGCATTAGGAAGAAAGAGTATTTTGTTTGCACCGCTGCCATAGATTATACACATAAAATGGTATTTATTGTCTCAGATTATTTTTCAACTTTTTGACTTAGCTTACTTAACTGGAAGTGTCCGTCACAATCTAAATACTGATAATTATCGCAAAAAATATACTAAGAATTATCATAAATGCCAAATTAGTGTTGGTTCTTAGGCCAATTTTAGCATTGTCCTTTAAAGATTTCTTCAGAAGTGTTCCAATTAAGCTCGTAAGCAGTCGCACGAGTTCAGGTACATTATTTACATCGCACAATGAGATCGTATCGTGTCATGGTACCATCTGACGCGTCAGCCTCAGCATTAAACATCAACTCATACCCTCTTATTCCAAAACGCGAACTAAATTTAGTATTGGTTAAAACCTAATGTTGCCTCTGTCTTCTATTTGGCAAACAAAAGTGACAGCATTAGTTATTATTTAGTCCAGGTTTAACTTTAGTCCACGTTTTGCAATCAGGCGGTTAAAGTTGACTTTCGATTATTTATATCGTGGGTCTTTGTCGCTCCACACACAACAACCATAGAGCAACGTGGCTGACGCGGCAGTAGGCATTCACAGCGTCGCCCTCTGTAGATTTTGGGCGAGCTCAAAAACAAAACTAGTTGCGCGTCGGATATTTCACTAGTCAAACCGCGCGAGTGTATGTTAGAGATCAAAAATGCCTTTGTAAGTTTAATATCTGGAATATGAAACTTACACAAGAATGGTGTTAAATATAATTTTACATACTTTTTTTCGCTTTTTATAAATTATTGTGTATTTTTAGTCTCTTGTTTTTAACCTTTATTATGAATATGGGGTGAGCTTGTCCGGGTCCTCTGACCTGCATTTGGCGAAGATTATTTTTATTCTCTCATTATTGAATTTTGATAATCTGCGTGTTTTTGAATTATTGAAAAATCGGTTGAATATTTATAATTGTTTACATGATTTTAATTGTTATCTTATTTCTATTAATAAATTGTAATCGTTTTTGTAACAGTTTTGTTCATTATAATTACGGTTTTTTCATGATAATGTCTGTCATAAAAAGTTATCTGTATACTTCCAGAATGTTCGTAGTTTACGGACTAAATCTAATATTTTTTACCGTAATTTAATGCTTGCGGATTACGACGTTATTTGCTTATGTGAAACATGGTTGTTGCCAGGAATTTACGATTTGACATATATTTTGATTAGCCGCTAAAATACCTATAGATGTGATCGCGATTATGTTTCTCGTGGCGATAGGTCGGAGGGGGGGGGGGGGGGGGGGGGGGGGGGGGGTTCTTGTAGCTATACGCCGTGAATTTTTGCTCCACCGATTTTTGTAAAATTTTATACGCATATTCAGTATGTCTGAGAATCGGACAACGGGTGTTACACAAGTTAAGGGAGGTCCACCCTTGAAATATTTTTTTTGTACAATTTTTTTTCTTTTTATTACATCATACAAAAATACATACAACCCTAAATTTTCACCCTTCTACCGCCAACCCCTATTTTTTTATGGCGGTACGAAGATCGCTGGGACAGCAAGTAATCATATATATGAATGATGCGTGCGTTGCTCTATTCCCCTATGCCTTAAATTAGGCGAATTTTAGGTTATTTGGGAAAATAAGTTTCATTTCAGATGTATGGTTCTTTCACACAATTTGTTTTACCTAACATGTACTTACTTCACTCACGCCAAGTACTATCGGTTGTACAAGTACAATAGAACTGGGTAGATAATTTGAAGAATAAAAGCTAAAACACTGCCTAGACTAAACAAACAGATTTACTTTCAGGTAGATCATACGCAATGCTGTCTTTGAAGACAACACTGGCCCATTTGATACGCCGTTACAAAGTCACCGCTGATCATACCAAAATGAAAATTACACTCGAAATCAATTTGGAACCCGTAGAAGGCCATGGAATTAGCATCGAATCAAGATAACTGGAGAAAATCTAAACATACGTATTAACCTGGGGATGAAATATGAATTCAAGTTAAAGGGAAACTTATTTTTCAAATATGTTAAGACTCAATATCGAAATAGGTAGGTTCACCAAGAACTAGGATAATTTACTTAAAAATATTAAATTCACCAACTCTCTAAAATTGGCATGCCAACATCTAAACCCCGCCTCCTTTACGTAGACGTACTAAACGTAATAGCTAAATTTTAACTCATAATGAAACCAAGTTCTATGTAGTGGCACTTGACTTGACAGGAGGACGCTGCTGGTGAAAAAGTGGTGCAATGATAATCACTAAGTTCGTACAATCACTAAAGGAACGTTATAATTTATAATAACTTCGAAAGAGTAATAGAAACTTTAAAAGACTTGTTAACACCTTTCCCTAACTTAAGAAATTCCTTAATACCTTTTTAAAATTTATTATGTTTATAGAGTGCAACCAAGATTGGGAATTATCCCATTTCGGCCACGCGCAACAAAATCTTGGTTGAACTCTATAAACATACATCAGTTGATATTAAAATAAAACAAACAACATCTAAACAAAAACTAAATATTTATTTAACATACTGTGTGATTACGTGCAAATAAACAAGCGACAATAATCCTCAATAAATTAATACACGTGTTTATACTTAAAATAAATGCCGTCCCTTTATAAATTCTGTGACCGTAACTTTTCCACATAGATCGAGTTCACAATTCCTTTCGGCTGCTTCGCTATTAAATAAGAGTCCTTTTATTCGATTTATCACAACAACGATCTGAAACAATATACGTGACTACATGACTTATCTGAACCAATATAAACTAGACGCGGACTTTTCTATAGAACTTTTAAAGGGAAACAATACCATTATACATAATTTTTTGTGTAACTTAATGGTGTACGCAGCGCACGTAACGAAATTTTCTGAAAATATATTTTTCTCGTTTTTGCAACATTTTTCATCGATGCTCCGCTCCTATTGGTCGTAGCGTGCTGTTATAAATAGCCTATAGCCATCCTCGATAACTGTATCTAACACAAAAATATTTTTTCAAATAGGACCAATAATTTCTTAGAATTCAACGGGTTCAACGGAACAATTTTGACATTATTAATTTGACTTTTGAATTTTTTAACCATTTATTTAATCTTGAATGACGTTTTATAAAATAAGGCTGACACTTTTGTATTTAACTGAATTATTAATTATGTGATGAATTTAAATTTATTACTATTGATATTGAAAAATGATGTCACAATGTAACTGAATATGTATTAGGTTTAATAATGTAGTGTAAAATATTTGCATGCTATTTAAGATGGATGAATGGTCCGAAGTTCGAAATATTCAAATGCAAATAAATGAATTCTACTGTTCTCAAACAAACTCATGATCTTTTTGAATTATTTTAGTATTGAGGCAGATGAGATTCTGGAGAGGTCATAGGCTATTTTTTGTCATTACCTATTTCACGGTAATGAAATTTTGGACGGAAGTAATCAATACGTCATTGGTAGAAGTTAAACCTTTACGAAGTACATATTTTAATTTTAAAATTATTAAAAATGATGATTCCTATGTAATATTTCATACTATGATGCAATATTTTTTTAATGAAGTCAAATTCAGCTTCACAGAACATGAAACATGAAAATGAAATAAAGAAACTTACATTAACTCCATCTAGTAGAAGTGTAAGGAAGTATTTGCTGGTTCTCACTTTAATTTGTCTTCTGGAAGTACTCCTTGCTCTCCTTGGGATTTGGTTTTATTGTATCAGCATTGGTGTCCGGGTTCCAATTGGCTGGGCATACTGTGTAATATGAAGTTAATAAAAATATGTAATCACTATAATGTGTTTATTTTTTATCAGTCATCATTTTTAGCTATGGGGGCATTATTAGTCTGTCGTTACATAATGATAAAATATTATTTATAAGGAAAAAATATTATTTTAATTACATTATCAATGCAGCTATATTTGTGTGATAGGTATCAGGGTGGCAGCTTATAATCTTAATATATATAAATCTCGTGACACAATGTTTGTCCTCAATGGACTCCTAAACCACTGAACCGATTATAATAAAATTCGCACACCATGTGCAGTTCGATCCAACTTGAGAGATAGGATAGTTTAAATCTCAAATTATAGTCGCAATTTTAATTTATTGCAAATTATTACTTTTGGGCGGTACGAAGTTCGCCGAGTCAGCTAGTCATCCATATAAACACCTTGTAATGTTGTACGTGAATATAGGTCTAATTATCAAAAATTTATAAAATTAAAACTTAACATTTTTAAATTTTTACCAAATCAATGAAAATAAGTTGTATCATTTTATTATATTATAATTATATAAATTTGATTTCGATCATCTTACCTTCACCATGTTTATCAGCAAACATAAAAGCTTTGACCAGCCTCAAGGCTTCAGCAACGGATCGGCCAACTGGCAAATCATTGACCGACATATGTCTCAAGATGCCATTTTTGTCGATGACAAACATACCTGGAAATAACTTGATAATATAAATATTAGGCAGTTAAAATAAATCATGTTTGCTGTATAGATTACATTGTCCAGTGCAAATGATACCTCTGAGAGCAAATCCATCATCAAGGAGCACTTCATAATCTTGAGATATTTGTTTTTTATAATCGGCTAACAGTGGAATTTCTAATTTACCTAGACCTCCATCCTGAAATATTAAAACAGAAAACAATATTAAATAACTTGTGTTTGTCCATGAAAAACTAAGATGAAAATATTCTTTTTCCTTTCTTGCAATTGTTATTACTATAATTTTACCCTTTGATCTTCTGCTTTATGTCTATTTTCATATTAATACATTATCTTTTAATTATATATTTATTATCAATAAATAAATTAATAAAACATAATGTTATGTATTTAAAAAAATATATGTTTGAATATGAGTTTTGGTACTTTACTGAACTTCTGTAAATTAGTTTTACTAGCCTGAACAATGAACACCTCTCATGAAAAATGAACTAAGTACCTCTTGTTTGGCTGTTGTGGCTTTAAAATGTTAAAACTGTACTTGTTGGGCCAGATGACACTTAACATTTTTGTTGTGTAATGTTTTTTTCTTGTGCTTCGCCGTCTGCTACAGCAGCACGTTTGCTTGGCTCGTGCGTCATGGTCACGACACTCACATAACCTAGTGAACTCCAGGACCCAAGAAGTACAGTTGGGTTGATTACTGTTTCAACAGCTACTATTGGCAGCAAGACTAACAATCTATCATATAAAATGTTGATTTATATTTATTTTATGCTAACTGATAGGTTATTTATTACCTTACTTGCTACCTCATAGGTAGCAACATAGCCTTATTAAGATTGAGAAATATTATGTGATATTGTCCTTTCTAGTGGAACCGAGAATATACTGGAAGAAAATCTTAAGTGGTTGAATGGACACTAGACACTTAAAATAGTGGACATTCTATAGGTGTCTCTTACATACCTTTCTTGGAGTGTTGATCCATGCTAGATGACTGAATTCAGAGTCTGTGGATACACCAATCACTTGACAGCCGATATTTTCAAATTCTTTTGAACGGTCACTGAATGCTATTAGCTCCGTTGGACAGACAAAGGTACTGAAAAACAATATATATATAACAAACACCGAAACCATTTGTTTTGGTAGTGTGTAAAAATTCTATTATAAATAATCAACTGATAATATTGGGAAATATTTAAATAATCCTAAAAAAAATAATAAATGATCACCCAATTGGTAGCCAAGGTTAAGTTAGACTACTAACTGTATTTTTTTATGGATCAATTACAATTTTTCTGATGATCCTTTAAATATGTGCTGATAATTTACATATAACACATTTTTTTTACTTTACTTAAGTAGACAATTATATTATACAAGTAAGAGGTAAAAGCATGAGTACAGGTAAGAGCTTGCAAATACATTATCAATCCATGACAAATAACACTACTTTACAAGGTTTTTTACCCATATATGTAATTAATGTGAATCAGTAGAGAAATAAACCCTATGTTAGATACTGAAGTGGAAAAAGAATAGGACGTCAACTTTTTTAAATATTTACTATAATATTTGTTTTTAACAATTTTTTTATGATGTGACCTACAAAAAAATCAAAAATGACACAGATAACTTCTTCTTTTTTACTGATTAGCATCAGTTTCTCATTATAGACCAGCAATAATCACCTAACATATTTTTATCCTAAAAACTTTGGTCAAACTCTTACTCTTCAAAAATCTTCAAATCTTGATGAAAACGTTTACCATCTTCATCATTTACTCCTCCTAGGTTCTCAGGAAGAAATCCAGGGGCGAATGTAAAAAATAAATTTTTAATGACATATTCACCCCCATCTTATGGTAATTCTTCAACAAATTGGAAACAATTTCTTCATAATCTTCTGATTTATGGTTGCCCAAGATTTTTTTTACTACTGCTTTAAATGAATACCAAGTATCTTTTTCAAAATATATATAAAATATAGCAAAACTTATCTGGATTTAATTAGCACTGTCTTGAGGCCATTTTAAAACCAATCAAAATGTTTAATACAGCAAAAGCGAATATTAACTTAGTACCATGGTACTGTAGTAACAAGTTAACGAAATAACTTAATGAGAGTGTATTAAAAAAACTTGACATGATAAAAATATAAGACACATATTTTTGTAATGAGAGGGTAGGTAGAAACCAAATTCAGTATTAATAATTGTCTTTGGGTGAAATATAGTTTTTTTGTAAAGCAGTGTAATTATAGGAATGATCAAATTAAAAATAAATACCTACACACTACATACAGGCCATAAATACAACTATTTTTTATTTTCTTTGCACAAGTTTTAAATTTTAACTTCTAATGGGACACTGCAAATGTGATAATAATATTATGAATTTGTTTATTGTGGCATAGTTATTATTTGTTCTTATTTATTGATAAACTTACAAATCAAGGGGATAAAATAGCAGCACAACATATTTCCCTGAAAAATCAGACAGCTTCAATGTGTTGAATTCTCCGTTTACAACGGCTGTTGCTTCAAAATGGGGGGCGGGCTTCTGCACTCTTGGCGCAAATGCTGCAGTTGCTTTAAATGAAAATTATACAATTTTAGCATTAAAATTGATCTGTACAAGGAATATCTCAGACATGATTTAATTTTGTAATAAAAGAATAATAAAACATTTATTGGAGGTAGCTAAATATTCTGGGTGAAAGAGAATATGAAATGTGACTGAATCCCACCTTTTTTTTAAATTTTTGCTAATTATGGTAGATAATTAGATTTTCAAACTTTTTCATTCAAAGCTTCAACTTGTCAGTGTAGTGATTGAAACACAATAAGGAATTGTGCGAAGTCGCCAATTGTAAATTTGGGTAATGTAGAAAGAAACTGAATTTTTTGGGAAATATTTTCGCGTTTCTGTATTGGCAATAATGACATTGAGAAATGTTAGGTTATGTAACTATACATATTTATGTTATTATACATTTGAAGTTATATACTTACAAGTAGAAAAGTTTGCTTGTTTAACTGCTGTTAAAGCCGGTGCAAGCACCTGTAATATACAAAGATATGTTTAGAGGTTGAATTTGTTAAAAATGCAAAATGTGAGCAATACGGAAAAACTTACCCTGCGGCTGAACTGTTTCAGGAAGAACGACATTTCAAAATAATTTTGAAAGTAAAAGAAATTTCTAGATCCGATAAAGATCTTGAATATAAATTGCGGAGGGTAATTTATTCAATAGTCGACGAATAATAAAAATACATTCAATTCACCATCAACTACACATTTGCTTTTTTTTAACGTTTTTTCTTTTTAAGGATGGCAAAGGGAATAATGCCCATACAGCCTAGTCTTCACTATTCTTGGTTCTTTTTTTTACATTAGAATGTGGGTGTGGCGCATTCTAATGTTTCTTGGAGTGTATGGCACGAAATCTATTGATTTAGCTTTCTCGGTAAGCTTCTGTGTGGTAGTCAACACTACAATAAAGTTCTCACGTCCACTTGACCGGAATAGCGTACCTATATTTTAAAGATTTCTTCAGTTGTGCAAGCGGTTGTAACACAAAATCACGTCGATTTTATTTCAAAATATCCACTATTAACGAATTATAGATAAATCGACAGAGGGGAACGCCGTGATTGCCGAATCCCCTCCTGGCCGTATCGGCCGCGTTGCTCTTTGTTTTTGGGGCACGGTCAACGATATTATATACCCTAGATACACCAACACGAACAAAATCATGCCCGAAACCTGTCCAAAAGGTACATTGGACGATCCACGGAGCTCCGTAAGGTGATCGCGTATTCAAAAACAATATATGGTATTATGTAAACGCATGCGTCAAAGAGTTATGACAGTTCGAAATGCAAGCTCGTAAAATTTTACGACTTATTGCTGAATGCGGAAGAATATAAATACAGTAGAACCCGTTTAATAAGATCACGCTTAATACGATTTCTTGCATAATACGCCATTTTGCGTCAGTCCCTGCAACTTGAGACATGTTCTCATACATTTCTTAATGCTTAATACGATTCGTCATCCCGTTTAATACGCCTAAATCGCCAACACTTAACCCACATATTACCTTTTGCGGCAGCGGCCAGCGATTGACGTGACGACTGTCGAGCGACGCATGCTAAGGGATCCCCAGGGTTGTTCTGGATATTCTTCCTTTGATGACAATGTACCACCGTACGAAATTTAAAGTTCAAGATCTTATTGAGAATGTATATAACACACAAGAATAGGGCCTCTTCATGTAGTGATAATGATCAAAAGAAGATGAGTCAACTTCGATTTTGTCACACGCCCAGGCATTATCAGCAGTTAGTGATTTAAGACACTATGTAACTTCTTTGAATCAAAGCGAGGACACACTGCAAAAGTTTAATTCGAAAATCTTGTAATTAATTGCTAATGCCTTAAAATATTTTTGTCAAACTAGAAAAAGTGATAAATTTAAATATAAACATAATAATAATACACTACATTTTATATAACGTACATAATTCTTGAATATTCCTACATTCGAAATTTCCCTATCCCGCAATCCCGCATAATATATACGCTTTCCCGCTTAAGACGTGTTTTTGGTCGAGTCCCTGTGAAATCGTCTAAAACGGGTTTTACTGTAAATAAATAAATATTTCGAACACAGTCCCAAAGTAAGCACTGCAAGGCTTGTGCTATGGGATGTTAGGGTAACGGATAGAATACATACACTGTACATATATAAGTATATTCATAGAGAAATATATATTAAATCATAGATAAATGATTGGTCTGGCGAGACCAATCATTCATCTATGTATTAAACATCCATGACTGAGAGTACAAATGCTCGTATTCATCATACAAACATCTGCCCCCACCGGGATTCGGACCCGGGACCTCTCGAGTCGGCCTTAAATAGACCTTATTTCTATGATTCTACGCGCAATTCTGAATGCGCTGTTAGCAATTTAGCAGGTACGGACCGCGAGGATAAGATACGGCTATATTACCGACCATGCATTTGGATATCACAAATATTTTCTATTAAATCAGTTTTAATTAATTATTAAAAAAAAAATTGTTTCAAATGCGTTAAATTAACAAACATTGATTAAATACATGTCAATATCTGTCGAAAAAACCACACTTTACGTACTATTAGTATTTTTTCGCATTTTTTCACGGAGCTCTCCGGCAACTTGACTTTTCAACGGTCCGCGCGCGCGTGACTGTGAACCAAGAAGTGGTTTTCAAGCACTTCATGATTGGGACACATTTTGAGCGGACGTGGTGTATCTAGGGTATTTAATATCGTTGGCACTGGTTGAATATTACTTAATATTCAACCAGAAAAGAATGGCGAATAGAAATCAATGGCGTCAAATAAAAAATATCTAATAATTTTGTTGAATATTATCGCCTTTTAAGCTATTATAGATTGATTCTAGACATTGCTATCTGCAAAAAAAAGTTAAATTCAGATCTAAAGAGTGCTCAGGGCCGTGCCTGACGGGCGTTCATTGCGTGCACCGCACGCAGGCGGCCGAAATTAAGAGGCGGCCAAATCGTTACAAGTTGTTTACTGGGCAAAAATACAATCGGTTTGTTTTCATTAATCCTTGTTCTTTATGTTTGATAATTTTGTCTGTGATTATAAAACCAATACCATAATTTTTTTCATGTTATTATTTTTGTTTAAATTTTAAATAAAAAAATGTTTATTTTGTGCATTTTTTTTCTTAAATTTCATCCAAACATATAAATCTCATAAAACCGGTTTTTAGCCGGTTTTTCTTTTCAGAAACCGGTTTTGGGAACAAAACCAATATTTTTTTTTGTTCTCGATTTCGGTTAACCAAGAACTGATTTTTTTCCCGGTTTGATGCCCTGTGTATAATAATAAACATTAAAAATTAAAGTAGTTTTTTTTAATGTTATCCTGGGGGCGGCCATACAGACTGGCACGCAGGCGGCCATATACCCAGGCACGGCCCTGAGAGTGCTATAATACTGTACCCATCTTTCAATACTGTTAATAAAAGAGAAACTAAATACAATTATGCAAAATAATGACGATTAATTCACGCTTCTTTCGCAATATCCTAAACGTGTTCCTTGCGATATTGGAAAGCAATTAAAACTGCCTGCTGCGCTCGGGTATAATTTCCTGGATGAGATATTACAGAGCTGTCGCGAGGCGAGCAGTTAGACGAAGAGTATTTAATTGCTTTTCAATTTCGAGGTGGGTTATAAATATACTGTTACTAGGAATCTATAGCAATAGGTATTCTTGACCTTCACAAGTGCTTGTAACAGCCTAGACTGAATAAATGACTTTTCATTTCATTTCATTAGATAATGATTTTGTCTGTTATTTTTTTTTTGAAATAACTACTTACCCTATTACGGTTGCTGAGGTTAAGTAAAAATATCAAAGTTTAATATCAAAGTAATAACGTTATATTCATAAGAAAGAAAAGTGACAAGTAAAAAACAGAAAATAAATGTATAACGGCCCCTCTTCACAACAGCCCATGATGGGTGATTATAGACACGCAAGATTGTGTAGAGGGCATTCGTTTATGAGTGGCCATCATCGCCTGTAATCGTGCGTAATCGGGTGCGGGATGCGTGCCGATGATCGTGCGTGCATCCACTCAATCGCCCATGATTCTAAATAGCGTGTTTGTAAATTAAGACCAAAGGGTGCTAAAGTTGTATGAAAGTTCCTTTGGTTAAAATACTGCTTTAGGGGAGGGCATTGGACCCCATCAACAGTGGGCCGAAATCGCACTGGACCGAATCCGCACTGGGTCCAACCGCACTAGGTCGAATACACACTCCGAACTGGATTGAATCCGCACGGGGTTCAATTCGGAATGATCGGTAGAATACATTTTTTTATGGAATAAGGAGATGAGGCCATGACAAGTCAAGTCGCCCCGCTGCACTGGCCCAGTGGGATGGTGGGTGATGTATAAAATTTTTTAACTTCCAAACGAGCGTTGCACGGCACTCAAGCAATGTTTATTTAGTTACTGCAAAAAAAATGTATTTGGTTTAATTTTTGTGAACGGAACCCTTTCCATGTGAGTTAACTTGTTTGATGCACATTCCGATATTGGTTAAATAATAATACTGAGCAAAGATAGCAAAGGAGCTGGATGCGAGTAGGCCAAGATCGATCTGAGTGGCGTGCAATTTTAGAGGCATATGTCCAGCAGTGGACGTCCATCTTAGACGCCCATCATGGGCCATTGTAAAGGAGTGCCTTACTGACATGCAAAACAACGAAAGAGTCTCTAACTTACCCCATGGATGGAATAGGTGATTGGGCCATAACTCGCTACGTGCCGACCTAGTACGGATTGGTGGGTGCTAACGATCGCAGATGCAATCGTACACCTTAACTTGCCTACCGAAGCAACAACTGAGCATGTGTAGTTCGCGTAAGAACTAGTTCGTTAGTCTTGAATCAACTGTCTGGTAATAGATTTGAGCCTCTTGTAGCGAAATGAAAAAGGATATTAGATATTAAGATTTGATAAAAAAGGTTTATTATTTTTGCTTTTCACATTTGCGCCGGTTTAACTTTTTTGTTAAATACTCTTTAAATTTCATACAAGTAATAAGTTAAACTTAAAATACCAATGTAACATTACTGTAGCAAAAATTGCGTTGTGCAACCCTGTGACAGTTTTCGTAGACAACTAAGCAGATTTGTTATGAATGAGAATATTAAAGAAAATCGATTTCAATTGGCATAGGGCTGTAAAATGGGGATGTTTTAAAACTAATGATTATTTAAGTGCGAACCAAAATATAATATTTATGTCCACCACAAAGCTCAGCTCGCAAACTTATAGGTAGGCGTTTCCGACCAGGTCTGAACACCAACATAATTAATTTTTTATCACATCTATTCGAAAAAAGCTAGTTTAAATAAATAAATATTTACAACACTCACACCAATTAGCCTAGCCCCAAAGTAAGCACTATAAGGCTTGTGTTATGGGATGCTAGAGTAACGGATAGAATACATATACTGTACATATATAAGTATATTTATATAGAAATTCATATTAAACATCCATGACTGGAGTGCAAATGCTCGTATTCATCACACAAACATCTGCCTCCATCGGGATTCGGACCCGGGACCTCTCGAGCCGGCGACACCATGAAACCCGGCGTACAAACCACTCGGCCACGGAGATCGTCAAGAGTTTATTATCTGTTTGCAGGAACCAAAATAGCGGTTTAAAACGCTTTAGAATAGGAAATACGTAATTGCCAAACGAGACATCGATAAAGC